AAATATAATGTCTTGCTGGCTTTGCTTCCATGTGCTCATTGAGTAAAGGAGCTGATAGTCAGCAGCTCAGGTTGAAACTTGAGAAGGGTGGAAAGGTGAAAAGCAAGGGACACCTGAGCTCATTGGAGTAACGTTAGCTCTGGTGACACGGGCGCAAATCTCTCAGATGCGTCAGCTGTTTTGAGCAGCTCTGGGTTGGAAGCAGGGACGGTGGACTGGGCAGCTCCTCTTCCTATTGTCCTTCAGGGATCTCGATTTCAGGGAACACTGACATTCTCGCCTCCTCTCTCTCTTTCTTCTCTCTCTTCTTTTCCTTCCTTCCCCTCCAGTCTCTTCCATTCTGTGCCTTCCTTTTTGGTGGTACCAGGGATTGAATGCAGGGCCTTTACAGTGACATCTCCAACCTTTTATTTTTATGGCTAACTTGCCTGGGATGGGCTCTGATAGGTTTTTTGGTGGGAGAAAAGAGAGAAAAAATGTAAGGGAAGAGTAGCCTTTATTCTAAGGACATGGAGAGAATTCCATGACCACTGGGGCCTGGCTTTCTCTGCCAGAAACGTGGGGCATGGGACATACACATAATTTTCGACTGGGGTAGCGCTGAGGGCGGGCATTGCTGACACACAGCAGCTGATTGGAATTTTCTGCACGTGCAAACAGAAGCTGGGGAAGAAGCAGGAAGTGGTAGGCGGTCCTGCTTTGGCCTTCCGCCATGTTAGGCCACCACCATAATTTCTACTGAGGCAAGAACCTTTCAGGCTCAAACTCGCCATCCTCCTGCCTCCACTCTCCAGAGTGTCGGAATTACAGGTGTGTACCAAGCACGGCTGTGTTGACATTTTTCTTTTTTTTTCTTAAATTTTATTTTGAAAGTAGTAAAAATGCAACAGCACAAGACAGAACAAAGCCAATCGAGACAATGCAGTGAAATTGGTACAGGATTTCACAGTAGGATACTGGGAGAGTAGTAATAGGTACTATGGTATCTGTCTTTAACTTCACAGTAGTTGTCCAGTCAATTAGGTATAGCAAAATCAAACCAAAAATAGAACATTATAAAACCAATTGAGAATACTGAATAGAGCAAAAGAAACATGACAAAACAAAACAGTGAAAACAACCTTTGCCTTCAAACAAGATAGAAGGAAATCCCCCATATTTGCTATACTGCATGTGGTCATCCTCCCAAGAGATGCTGAAACATCTATCCCCAGTAGCTAGATGGGGAGGGTGCTTGATTTTCAGCCCACGTGGCAGTAGGCTCACAGGTAATGGTTTCTCCAGGCCTACGCTGCAGGCTCTTACCAAGAGGGTGAGTGAACAAGCTGCCTGAGTCCCACCATGTCTGGATCTCGGGAGTTCTCTGTGCTGAAATTTTTCAAGACAGAACTTCTAAAATAGCTTAGTTGTTTCCAGTCTATGGGAGAAAACAAGAGGGCAGGCAAACCGCATCACTTCTTAAGCTCGTTGGCTTGAAAATGATGCCACTCTCTCTCTCTTTTTGCCCTGGTTAATGGTAGTCACACACCAGCCCTACTGAGATGGAAGGGCAGGACGTGCTGGGAAATGCATCAGTGCAGAAATGGAATTAGAAAAGAAAATGCACATTATTTGTGGATGGTTTTCTATTTGTGCCCCCTAAAAGCTCACACTAATGAAACTGATCTTTCTGGATTGTGTTTGGAAGAGAACTCGAGGGTGGCAGACGGCAGCCCTTCCAGGGGGAGAACCAGCAGTGTCTCCTGAGATCCACGCCATGTTGGAACTTATATTAGTTGGAACTATTATAAAGATAACAAAATATACTGTGATACCTATTACTGTTATCCCAGTAACCTGCTGTGAAGTTCTGTACCAATTTCACTGTATGATCTTAGTTGGCTTTATTCTGACTTGTTCTGTTGTACACTTTCTTTCTTTCTTTCTTTCTTTTTTTTTTTTTTTTTGTCTTTTTCATTTTTTATCGGTACCGGGGATCGAACTCACGACCACCTGCTTGCAAGGCAGGTGCTTATGCCGCTGAGCTAAACCCCCAGCCCCTGTTGTACACTTTCAAAATAAAAAAAAAAAGAGAGAACCCATGGGCACCTTGCTGGTGTTGATTACCCATTCACATCCCTTGAACCTCTTGAAGTGAACAGGGCAGGCAGAAGACCCACCTGCAGTTGAGAGCATCTTCAAGGTCAGGTGAACCTTTCACTGGGTGGAGACTGGGGGTGGGGTATATGTGTGTACCCACTGAGTGAAAGACAGAATGAGCTGGAAAGCTTTGAGTTATTTTTAAAATGTTACACAACATTCTAGAGTATAAACATATTCAACTGTTTTTTTAAAGATCTGGTATATGGTAACCCTGGATGAGCTAGGGTTCAGTGTCTATTTCAATGTCCTTCTCATCTGTCTGTCTGTACAGCAGAGGTAAGGTGATTAGAAACTACATTTCCCAGAATCTCTGTGCCTAGGGTCTGGCTGTTGCAACAACCTGAGAGGAACCCATGAGAGCTATGGAAGCCCACATGAGGTGAACATCATTGTCTTGCTCTTCTGTTAAAAAGGAAGGTGTGGCAGGGACTGAGCATGCTGCAGTGCATTAATGTTCCTGGTCGAGATAGTACTTTAACGGAGGCTCAGAGCATCACAGTGGCAGCAGTAGTCAAATGCAGTGTTTCAGGGTCCAGTCACTAGTCAGGGGGGCTACGAGGTGGGAGGACAACAGTGGCAGCAGCAGTGGTTCCTAGACCAGAGCTGCAGCTCTGTGAGCTTGTGCCTGATAGATCCGGAGGTAGCTTCTTTTTCCCCCTGCCTTTGTGACCACCATCAAGACAGTGGCTCTCCAGCAGCTCCCCTGGGACCAGTTCCACTGTCAGGTCCTGGAAGCATTGCTGCAGACAGCCCACCCCGTGCAGCCTGGTCTCCTGCCCTTCCAGCAGATTTGCACACTGACCCTCTCCTCCCCCTGCATCTCTTCTTAACACAGCCAGGAGATTTTCAGTTTTCAGCAAGTGACACTGGCATATGAAATGCTCTTGTCTTCACCTTTTTGTGTCAAATTCTAGCCATTCCTGTCAGAGCTGACAGGAATCCTGGTTTCCAGACCATCTTGATGGAATCCTTCCTTCTGAATGCTTGGGTTTTGGCTGTTTTTGGTATACCATGCAAGAACGTACTAGAATACTTTACTTTCCTATCTGTCATTTTAGAAGCTTTTGGCTTTATCTTTTTTGGTTTCAGAAAGACTGAACCTAGGGCAGTGGGTGTAGCTCAGGGTTACAGCATTTACCTACCATGTGTGAGGCCCAGCCACAGCACTGAAAAGAAGGACGAGCAAGGAAGGAAGGAGGGCAAGGATGGAGGGAGTGGGGGAGAAAGGAAGGAAGCGATGGGAAGAAGGCCCTAAAAAAAGTGTGTAGAAACAGGGACCTCTTACAGAAATCAAAGGCAGAAATGGAGAAGTAGAAAGTCATTAAGTCATGCAGCTAGCCTTTCTCCACCTGCCACTAAAGCCACGTGGGCTGGCTTGTCTGCACATCTCCCTCCTCCCCCTCCTCCTCCTCCTCCCCCTCCTCCTCCTCCCCCTCCCCTCCCCCTCCTCCTCCCCCTCCTCCTCCTTCTCTTTCTCCTCCTCCTTCTCCACTGCCCCAATTTGGGGACTCCACCATGTGGGTCTTCACTCTTCCTTTCCAGCAGAATCTGCTGTGAGCCGGGCTGGGGATGACACAGAAGCAGGAGGAAGGCGCCTGAGGTGTTTGAGTATCTAAAGCTTGACTCTTCTCTTCCAGACCATTGGTTTGTATTTCTCCACTCACTTGAACTCAAGCACAGCCAGGTGATCGCTGGCCAATGCCATGTGAAGGAACCTGATGGGGATCACCTCTAAGCAGAAACATTCAGATGAAGAGGCCCTCCCCACATCTCTTTCCTTGCCTCTGGGTTTGCAAATTCCTGGACAGACACGGGTCATCTGGATCTCTCAGGAGTACCAGGAGCACAGCGCCCTCTGTGGGTCACGAAGGCTGGGTAGCATGGATGAAGAGCATTTGGATTTTAAAGCTGACCCCAACTGATTGTGTTTTCTTGAGGCACTCACAAGCTACTAGGGAAACAATGAGAAACAGGCTAGAGATGTAAAGCACAGGCCAAGTATATAGCCAAGTACGTGTTCGAGGTTTCCATGAAATAAGGCACATTGACCTCCCTCTCGCGTGCTCTGGTTGCCCTTCTTCATTCTGGTGTCCATCCCTGATCACCGCCTGTCCACTTGCCAGGCTTCTCACATCTTAGATGGACGATCTTCAAATGGACTGGGCTCCAGTACTGGAATAATATGACATTAAAAGTTATTGCACACAAGCAAACAGCCTGAAACTGAACCCTAATACTTGGACTAATCAAGAACATTTGCAGAGGAGAAAACATTTTGCTCCCAGTCTCATAAATATTCATGTTCTTGTTGAGTCATTTCGAAGTATGGAAAGTTTACAGCTGATTGCAGGATCAGTTATTCAGGAAAGGCCATGCATGGTGGCAGACACCTGTAATCCCAGCACTTGGGAGGCTGAGGCAGGAGGAGCACTGTGAATTCAAAGCCAGCCTGGGCTACAAGGTGAGTGTAAGGCCAGCCAGAACTGAATAGTGAGACCCTGTCCAAAAAGACCAAAAAAAAAAAATGCAGAAAGAACACTGCATTAATTGGATATACTTCTCTTTTATTAAGGATAGATAATAGTAAAGGAGTATTTTAGAGGAGTTTGCCTTATGCCTAGCCTTTGCTTTACTTCAGTTCTTGTCTGCCTGTTTTCACGTGCAAATCTATCTCAGAGCAAGCACAGATTTTCTTCTGCCTTCCTTCGCCCTATCAGAATATGAAATGATCCTCAGTTCCCATCATACTGCTCATAATAGTGTTCCACCCTGCTGGACTCTGAACCTCTTCGTAATTAATTTTTCAGAAGTGATAAATGCTAAACTTTAACCAGAACGTCTGTTATAAAAGGCCAGATGCCGCCACGCAAGACCAACCGCTTTCACAGAGTTCTCAGGGAACACGGGTGACCATGACGTGCTGCGAGGGATGGACGTCCTGCAATGGCTTCTCTCTGTTGGCTCTCCTTCTGGTAGGAGTGGTTCTCAATGCAGTCCCCCTGGGCATCAACTTAGTTGAACAAGATCGAATTTTCCAGAACCCCATCTCTTGCTATGAGTGGTGGTTCCCAGGAATCATCGGAGCAGGTTTGATGGTGAGTAATATTTGTTTGACTTGATTTGGAGAAGGGCTTCCCTGTTTGACCAGATCCTAAACACTGTCTTTCAGCCTGGCAGTAGGCTATGTTCTGTGGTATAGTAAAGGTATATAATGGTCATCGGTAAAGAAGAGTAATTTAATTCAAGTAAAGCTACTGAGTTTTGGCAAAATAAAAAGAAATCGATAAAAGGTTATTGAGTGATTACTTATCTTTCCTTCACATGTAGGGTGACTCTTGTAAAATTTATAGATAGACTTTTTTTCTTACTATTTCATTTGTGGTATCTGGGATCAAACCCATGGCTTGTACCTGCTAAGCACACGATCCACAGGACCTATCACTGAGCTGCATTGCCGGGCCCATGGCACATTTTAAATTCACTCCTGCAACTTTCCCCAGCCTGATACCAGTGTCTAGGTAGGCAGAGAATAGAATAGGAGTGGGGAGGTGCTCTGTAGGAATAAGGAACGCTTCCTGGACCATCATGGGAGGCACAAACGTAGCATTGCCTACCTCTGAATGGAGTTGGCTTACAAGACACAGACTCCAGTTCTGGGTCTCCGACCTCAAAGATGTCTTGATTTGCCTGTTACATAAATCTTAGCACATCATGGAATTTAATAGCTCAATGATTATTCCCAGGTCTACTTTTTTAAAAATCTGGAGCAGACTGTGCAATAAGGAACTCACGCCATTATCTGGGTATGAGCCACCTCAAGTACTTGCAGTGGTGAGATTTATATTTGCCCCATGGAATTCTGAAGCAGCAGGACTGGGGCGGACTAGCTGTGAAACACTGTTTTCAAATCTCAAAGAATATCATGCTGTAGGTCTGTCTCCTACACATTACTGTACATAAATCATGTGTGCGATTTCTTTGTGGTTGTTATGGTTTTGTTTTGCAGCACTGAAGACTGAACGCAGAGCCTTGTTATGCGAGGCCAGTGCTCACCCACCAAGTCCCTCCCAGCTCGTTTTAGAATTTTTGAGACAGGGTTTTGCTAAATTGCTCAGTTTGGCCTTAAACTTGTAATCCCTCTGCCTTGGTCTCCTGAGAGCTGAGATGACAGGCACAGTGATCAAGTCCACCTCATACTCTGGCTTTATTTATCTGTATCTGTGCAATGGGAATGTGGATGTCTAGGTTGAAAAGTAAGCATCCAGGGACCTGGATTTCATTGCCTTTGCCATTTATGTGCTGTTGTCTAGTTTGTGACAGAGCAATGAGCTTATTTGCATTGTGTGTGTGTGTGTATGTGTGTGTGTGTGTGTGTGTGTGTGTGTGATAGCCACACACACATATACACATTATCTCTAAAACACTGGAAATCAGTATTTTAGGGATAATGAGTCATATAGGTAGCTTTTAGGGAAATCCGGGCCACACACAAAAGAAAAATAAATCCAGAAATTATTAAGAATTCTTAATGATGACCAGACACTGCTACTAATTTGGATATAAATTAAAGACACTCTTGGGCCATTATGTATTCAATTTTCAGTACAACTTTCTGTTTGGCTGGAAAAATGGATTCAAGATCACTTTGGCATCACAAAGCCATTCTAGGAAGCACTGTTCAAAGACTGATGGCTTCTTTTCCTTTTTAGCAGTCTATTGGTTTCCTTTAGGTGCAAAGAGTGAACAAAAAGCTTTTGGAGAGTTCTGGGCTACTTCTTTCAACTGTCCTTAGAGCTCTCTTCCAAGCAAAGAGGAAATAAAGTGCTGAGTTGCAATTCCTCATGTGCGTTCTCCCGCCTTGCAGAAGGCTTCTCTGCCCGAGAAGGCTGAGGCTGGTCTACATCTGGTGTAGGCAGAAGCCAGGAGAAGCTGGCCAGGAATAACTTAAGATGGCAATTTTTATAGAGTTCACAACTGTTTCTAGGGCCGTCCACTTAGATGAACTCACGTAGCTCTAGATACAATTTCTTACTAGTATGAAGTAAGCCAGAGGAGGTGCTGACACATATCTACAGATCTTGAATTCTTTTGCAGGGAACCAAGGGCAGAAGAAGGAAAGAGACAAAGACATGTTTTTTTTTTTAAAGACAGAGGGACACAAATCTTCTGCTTATTGCCAGCTTGCTAGGTGCCAGCTCCTGGGTTCATATATTACACTGTTATCTCTTTTAAACTACAATGATCTCAGCAGATGAAATTTGTACTTTATAGATCAGCGAATAGAAGGCTGGGTTTATTAATAGGTCACACGGTGGGTGCAACCCAACTCCAGGTTTATTGATTCCAGAGTTAGTCACACCCCATCGTCTTCCATATCTGTTCCAAGCAGACAGGAGGGCATACATGCAATCCACAACTTCATCCATAAAGTTAAGGGAAGAGGAAGCTGAATCGTAGAAAAATTCCATACCCTTGTAAAACTGTTTCAGAGAAGCTGGGCTTTCTTGTTCTGCAGTTAAATGGATTTTACCACCCTCAGTAAATATTAACCAATTCAAGAAAGTCACTAAAGCATCAAACTCATTGAAGAGTGCAATGCACACTTTATTTACCGAGCCTTGGACCACGGGCAATGGCTGCAAGCCAACAGGTGGGGAGCAGTGGGGCTCAGGATCCAGGTGTGTGGTCACGATCCCCAGCTCTTATTAGCTCCGCGGAAAATTCGGTGCAAATGTTATCTGCTCAGGCATTGAAATATAAACAGGCATTTTTATTTTATATGAGCTTAACTGTAAGCCTGATCTTAGTCATGCTTCTATTGAGGTCGCTTATCTCACAGTCCTAATTTATCAAGGTCAATTATTAAAATATTAACAGAAAACAAATGGTTGAAGTTTAAACAGATGAGAAATACTCTACAGAATAGGCATTTGTAAAACATAAGTTTCATATTTATGTTAGCTATAGCTTTGTTTTACTTGCATGTTCAAGTATTTAGAGAATTCCCAAAGTTTGAATTCAATCACAAAATAGTCGAAAGCTCTTCTGTACTTCCTTTGTAAAAGTGCATAACTAACTTCTAAAACTGGATGAGAGTTTGCATTTCTGCAAAGAAAAAGGAACAATACTCTAATTCCTTTATGCCAGTTTTCAGTCTCATTGCATTATTAATCTTAACTCATTCATTTCCTAAGTAGTGGGTGGTAAACTTTTCTGTAAAGAGCCAGACAGTGGCTGTTCTGACTTTGTGAGCAGTCTCCTCTACAGTAGCTCCACTCTACTGCTTGTGTGCAAAGGTAGGCACACATGACATGCAAACAAGACGCAGTGATGTTGTCCCAATAAAACTTTATTTACAAAAGGACATAGCACATTCGGACAGTCTGTCAGTTCCTATTCTAAGTGATGTTTTCAGCACCTTAGAAGGCAGTATAGTTTGCCTAGACAACAAAAGTGGTGAAATACATGAAATGCAGGCACCTATTTGGGGGCTAAAAATTACTTCCTCTTCATCTGGACTTTCGGTTATGCCCTTGGTGGTGGCACAGCCCTTATGAACAAGTGGTCTCTGAAATGCAAGGGTATGGGTCTTCAGGGAAATGTGTCAGTGATACTTAGGAACAGTGCAAGTGACATGGGTTGGACACATGGCTGCACAGGGTGAAATCTGGTAGGAAAGCCGCTTATGAAGGCATAAATTTTTTTTTGTCTTTTTGAGACGAGGTCTCACTCTGCAGTTCGGGCTCGCCGTGAGCTCACTTTGTAGCCCAGGCTGGTCTCGAACTCACAACGATCCTCCTGCGTCAGCCTCCTGAGTGCTGGGACTACAGGCGTGAGCCACCACGCCTGGCTTGAAGGCAAAAATCTTAACCTATTCTGAAAAACAGGGGTAGATGTGTTCTTGGGAAAAGAGGAGGGAAAGGGGCGGGTAGAAGGTCCATGAAAAGAGACAGGGCAGTGGCGGCAAGGGAGAGAATGAATGCATTTTACATAGGAAGAAGAGAGTTTTGTGGTGCTGGGGATTAAATTTAGGGCCTCATGCATGCCAAGCAGGTGCTCTATCACTAAGCTACTCCTGGACCTTTTAAAATTTATTTTGAGGCAGGATCTCACTCATGGCTCAGACTGGGTTCAAACTTGCAATTTTGCCTCAGCTTTCCAAGAAGCTGTGGTCACAGGTGTACACCATTGTGACTGAGAGAGGAGACTATTACTTTTTTTTTTTTTTTTTGTCTTTTTGAGACAGGGTCTCGCTATGCAGTTCAAGCTGGCCCTGAGCTCACTTTGTAGCCCAGGCTGGTCTCGAACTTGCAATGATCCTCCTGTCTCAGCCTCCCAAGTGCTGGGATTGCAGGCATGAGCCACCACGCTCCACTTGAGGAGACTATTAACAATCGGTGTGGGCCAGTGGTGCCGAACCTGGCTCTGAGGTCCATGCCTAGCACTGAATTCATCTCTCTCTGTTTCTCAGGCAAATTACTCAGACTGGGCTTCAGTTTTCTCCTGGGGAAATGGAGATAAAATACCCACATCATGGGGTTGTGGTGAAGCTAGAGTGACCTAAAGCATGCCGAGCATCTCTAACACGGCCTGGCATATAGGTGAAGCTCAGTGAAATGTAAGAAAATGTGCGCGGGAGAGAACCACTTAGCAGGAGTTGGACTGAGACTGCAAAAACCTTTACAACTGAAGTTTGATAAGTGGAAGGAAGTCATTTATGCTACATCCCATTGATACAAAACCCCTTCTAGAATTTCTAGCCATAGCTTCTAAGTAAGAATTAAATTCTAAATTCTGAGACTATGATGCCATTTCTCATCAGTACACAGTTCTCTTTTAATCACCTACCTGGTCAAAGACTGGTCAGACTCAGGATCTGTTGCTCAGATTGTGACCTATTAGGTTTCTTTTGTCGCTGCTGTTGGATTTTTTTTATACAGTTCTATACATCTTGTTGATAGGCCTCCATGCTTTTTTTTTCTGTACAGTTAGCCTTGTTTATACAGTGCAGTGATTTTTGTTGCAGTTTTATATTGTTATACATACAGTACTACATTAAGAGTCATGCAAATACCAGCAAAGCCATCAAGTTAAGAGTTTTCTCGGGGCTGGGGATTTAGCTCAGCGGCATAAGCGCCTGCCTTGCAAGCAGGCAGTCGTGAGTTCGATCCCTGGTACCGATAAAAACGAAAAAGACAAAAAAAAAAAAAAAAAAAAAGAGTTTTCTCTGATCTTTCCTTTGTTCTGAACCTTGTAATGTACATACTATGTGCAATTCCTCACTGAGGGAACAACTAACGAGCTAGTCACAGGTCTAGAACTTGGTCCCAAAGAAGTATCTGTAATCTTTAACAGAGAATGCAATATACATGTGACTTCCAAATATCAGAGTAAAGGAAGCTCACTGCAAATCATGGATTACAGGAGCAGAAGAATAATGTGGGACCAAAAATAATTGTCACATATGGGTTTAGCAAGACTAGACAGATGATAGTGACCCTGGGAGAAGAAAGTTAGGTAAACAGGGGAGTGGTGACCAAGGGATGTTAAAAAATACAGTGAATGCTTATACAAACATAAAAAAGTATTACAGGAAAAGACACGTACTATTCATGCCCCCTTTGAACACACTGATCCCATCATTCTTCTGAAGCAGCTCTGGAGGTGCTCTCTCAGGAGTGTCTTTAAGTTGGGCTGTTGTGGCTGCTTCGTTGTTCTGAGCTGATTCAAAATGTTCACCTCGAATGATCATGCTGACATTGGGGATGGCCAGGGGCACACAGTGCTAAGTCCGGGAAGGGGACACATGAGGACGTACCGCAGAGCTTTGCAAGGCTGCCTGTCTGGTGGACGGCCTCAGCGGCAGCACTCACACCAGAACTTGCAGAAACACTCGTGAAAGCAGGGTCCCAAACTGCTTCAGAAAGTGGCAACAACAATTGGAATAAGTGTGTTTTAAGCAAAGGGGAGTATTTGAGGAGGATTTGTGGCGTTGGGTCTTTTACCATATTATTTTTAAACTTAAAAAAAACCCTATTCACTGTAATTTTTTTTTTAATCACACCCTGGGATATTCTCTCCCGAGGGCTTGCTAAAGTAACTCATAGAGTTTAGCTTTATAGGAAATTGCTAAACTAACTATAGGAAATTGCTTAACTAACTAATGCTAGGTTGTAACAATAGAAAGAAGGAGAAAGAAAAGCAAAATTTGGAGGATGTAACCAATTCTTCCAGAAACACTTCTTCCAAAACAGGATACAAACAAGTCATCCTTCTTAAAACCCAAGTCTCTCTCTAGATGACTCAGAGGAAACTATGAATGCAGATGCTAGACTTTTCTGGGTCTCACTATGCAGTTCAAGCTGGTTGAATTCACTTTGCAGCCCAGGCTGGCCTTGAACTCTCAGCAGTCCCCTACCTGAGTCTCCCAAACACTGGAATTACAGGCGTGCCCCTTCCCCATCCCTTTTAATCTTTATGGCTGAAATTGAAACCACAAAGTTAAAACAAGGATCTTGTTAAATTTCCTCTTCCACTTTGTTGAGCTTTGCTTTTTTCCCAACTAGTGATAAATGGAAGACAGAGGTTACTGCTTTCTCATGAGAAGTGATAATGCTCACCTTTCCCGTAATGCGATTCCAGGTCATTCCAGCAACTACCATGTCCTTGGCTGCAAGGAAGCGAGGCTGCTGCAACAACAAAACCGGGGTGAGTGTGCTGCGGTCGCTCTGGAGGCAGAAGTGCCTTCACAATTCCTGACATCCCTGCTAAGCCAGCCTGAGTCACAGCAGGGCAGGGCTGCAGTCTCAGCGACATCCTGATTTTACAATCATGTGGAAAGTGGAGGACATTCTTCTTCATTTCTTACAAAACCTTACTTTGAAGCCAGCCCCCAGTCTTTCTCTTTTCTTCAATGTTTTTTGGTACCAGGAATTGAACTCAGGACCTTGAACTTGCCAGGCAGGCGCTGTGCTGCTGAGCTTTATCCCCAGCCCAGTCCTTTCCTCTTTCAGTCTGCATAAAGGTTTTCAAAGAGAGATTTGTAAATCACACCAGAGCAGTTGATTTAATAATTTCCTAATACTGAAATTTGTGCTCGGCTGTGATCTTAGCACTCAGGAGGCTGAAGCAGGAGGACTGCTTTGAATTCAAGATGAGCTAGAACCACACAGCAAGTCTCTGTCTCCAATAAAACAAACAAACAAAAAAAAAATAAATGTGTCCATTTTATGGTGTGTACAAAACAGAACCATGTCTTCAGCTCTCTCATGAATAGGAAAGGTTGGTTTACTGCGATCAGAACAGTAACCTTCCTCATTCAGCTCAATTAAAGGAGGCATCAATTTTCAAATATTTAATGCCTACCTACTCCGCATAAAGTTGAACTAAGAGTCAGTTAGCAATGAGTAACCTAAGTGTTACTCTGCTCCAAACACTTCCAGGTATAGAAGCAGCAAGATCTGGGAGAGGGCGGGTTTGGACTAAGAAATTGATGCTCAGAAACACTGAATAATTTGCCAGTGTAGCATAGCTAGAAAGTAGATATTTTGCTAATCCACCAGACTCCAGAATTCACAATCCTTGTATTATTTACACCATAAGCATTGCTTTTAAGTAACACTCAGGGTTCTCCTAATTCCCCAAGGAAGAAGGTAGATCAATAACAAACAGTCACAGTAAGCATGTCTGACTGAACCGGACAGATTTAAAGGTTTTGCAGGAATACAGCTCAGTGGAACAGCGTTCAATTCCAGGTACAAAAAAAAAAAAAAAAGATTTAAAGGTTTTAAAGCAACAATGCCCAATAAGATGAGAAAATTTACATAATCAGGGAGACTTTAAAAATCTCAATGCCTCGGTCACTTCCTTTCCAAAGTCTCAGCATCTGTGTTTTTCAAAAGCATCCAAGGTGATTCCAGTGTGCTACTGGGGTTATTTTTACTTTTCCAGGATCCAGATTGAACGCAGCACCTTGGGTTTGCTTAACAAACACATTACCACTGAGCTATGACCCTGGTCCAAGAGTCAGTGTCTTCAGGGAATATTTGTACCCGGAACAAAAGATCCATTTTTTTTTTTTAATCGGTACCGGGGATCAAACTCAGGACCGCCTGCTTGCAAGGCAGGTGCTTATGCCACTGAGCTAAATCCCCAGCCCCAAGATCCATTTTTTAAACTGCCTCCTCTGATATACTTACCTAGGATTAATTTTTGAAATATTTCTGTATTTCAGTAAGTTTTGAAATATTTCTAGTCTGTTTCTGACACATTGTAGGTATTCAATAACCATTAGGTCTCAGAGTCTCTTGCATGTCACTTCCCAAACTATAATGAGGAGACTGTAATTGCTTCTGGGCTGTATTCACAACATTCTTCTAAGACATCCCGAAACACTTTCGAACCCTGAAACTCAAAAATATCTAAGCACTTACTAACATTTTTCTCAAATCACATGTTCATTAAAAATCTTTTTTCTGGCATATACTCTTCCATGAACAAGCCATCATCTTTTCAATGATCTCCAAATTCTGTGTCCTTTGAGGATACAGCCAGCTGGGAGTGACTAAGCCACTTTTTACGTAGGTTTGGGCTCAGTAATGTAGGTGGTTTTGCTCCTTGATACTGACCTCAGAAAGAACTCAGTCGTGCTGCAGGCTAAGCCAGATGACTCCAAGCTGAGGGTCTCCAGGGCTCCTGGAATGCCACGGTTGTACCTGATAACACTGCCCACGCTGTGCTGATAATACTGCCAGCTATTTCAAACCTGCCTTTTTATCTTGCCTAACTGGTATCATAAAAACCATTTTCGCAACTTCATTCACTGAGGGCTGGTGCTTAAATTAACCTTAGTATCTTCTAAGTCTAGATAAGACCAGGGCATCACAAAAGAGACATTCTAAATCTTGAGAGGAAAGGGGTCACCAAGCCTTGCTTCCACTGTAACTGTTCCATTTTCCCTATAGCTCTTCCTAGGTATCTTTCTCTGGTTTTTATTTCTGTATACAAAATGGTTTGACTGAATCATTTGAATGGATCCTCACTCTTTTAAGTACAGATGTTCAGAACACTTTCAGGGCCCCTTTGTAGGAAGTCAGAAAGCAAACACAGTGGTACTTTGTGATGAATAATTTAAGTAACGTACACAAGTCACACGAGTGTGGGTTTGGATCTGAATTTCATTCTAAGCCCTTTACTCTGTGCTTAGAGCTAAGAGGATGTAATTTAGTGCTCAAAACCCATGCACCCATGTTCCTGGCTGTGACCCCAAGTTTGTCAACTTCTCTAAGCTGCAGTTCTCTCTTCTGGAAAATGGGAATAGTACTACTATTTCTCTTGGGGTTGTTCAAAGAGTTAAATGAGATAATGCAAGTAAAGTCCAATGCCCTCAACACAAAGATTGTACTTGGAAAACAATGTGCACATCAGTTTTCATTTTCTATGCTAAATTCCATGCTTTTTTTTCTGTTTTTCATGACTCTGACTCATAAAAGATGACAGTAATGTGGGTGATGTTAGCCCTTCTCCACACCACAGGGACACCTGGCACTGCCTGGAGACATTTTTGGTTGTCATACTGGCCTGGGGGAAGACTGATATTCACATCTATAGCATAGGAATGCTGCTGAATATCCCACACTTCATGGGACAGATCCCCATGGCAAAAAGCCTCTGTGTCAGCGGTGCAGAGTCCAGAAGTCCTGCTCTAACTTCTGCTGCTGATCAATCACTGAAGGACACTGGATGCTGGCCACTCAGCAGCAGGGCCAAGTGCAGGCTAACACTGGGGAGCCAAGAGCTGAGACATCAAACTGTGGGTGACTAAGGTCTCGCTGTGGTTCTACAAGTAGGAAATACACAAAATAGGGAGCAGAAGCCAGAGACCTCAGTGGCAGATTCTGCCCTCTGCCCTTGACACCTAATCTAACCACTGTCCTAAGATCAAGGACGACCGGCTGACAGCAGTTGATTAGACTGTTAAGTGCTTCTGAAATGTGGAACAGGCTGAAGACACGCAGTCATGTGTGCAAACGGCTTTTCCTTTTCCAGATGTTTCTTTCATCACTTTTGAACGTAATCACAATCATTGGTGCAGTGTACTGCGTGCTGGTTTCTGTCCAGGCTCTCTCAGAAGGCCCTCTTATATGTAACTCTCAAGTCAATGGAACTGTCAAGTGTGAATTTTCGCTGAAAAACTTATCGTAAGTAAACTGACTTTCCTTGTCTTAGTGTCTTATACAGCTGCAGATACAACAGATCATACAGTATGCTGATGATCCCACATTTTTCTTTGATGTAATTACTGGGACATTCTTAGGGATTTAGTTTATTGATCTTCAAAGGCACAATCTTACACAGAAATGAATCACAACCTGCAGAATGTTTTTGGGTATGGTTTTATGTACCTGTAATCCCAGCTACTTGGGAGGCCGAGGCAAGAGAAGTACAATCTCCGGGCCAGTCTGAAATTTAGCAAGTGCTTGTCTCAAAATAATATTTTAACAAAAGGGTTGTAGCTCAGTGGTAGTCTGTGCCTAGCACGGACGAGCCCCTGCATTCAATCTTCAGTACTGGGGGTTGGGGACGGGGACTAGGAACATATATATGTAATTTTTGGACCCCTGAAATTTTCATCCTCAGGGCATGTGATGGGGACACCCTGGAGGAATAAAGGCAATATTTACTTTCTATGCTTTTGAACTAAATACACTTGTAAATTATGGGTAAACATCAGCTCTACAACAATGTTAATAAAAGCACAGTAAATAAAATTAGAGCCTTGGCTGCAGATCTTAAAAGAAACAGCAGTCAGCAGATTCATGCTGACATGACAGTTAAGAATAAATAAAAACTTAGGCCATGTAATAGCAATATTATAAAGTGAATGTAAATAGCTCATTTCAGTCTCTAAGACGGTTCTATGCCTAATGTGGGCATTATTTGTAAAAACTGTAAGAATCATCTAATTTATAAGCTCTCCGTAGACTTTCAGTTCAGGAAATAACCAGATTTTACCTTTGTACTTATTTATATAAACAAGTGTTTTCCCATTTTCCTATCACTTTGATACATCAAAAAGAATAAAGTCCCAAAATTTGCACAGCACAGTTACTATGAATTAAAACTCGTATGAACAGGTTTGAAGAGGAAGAGTAGAAACATCCACTGCAGGTCCTAAACACATTCAGTCCTCAGGGAAGAGGCAGCAGGCTGCAGCAGTCAGCCCTCGGGCACCCCCAGCCTAGGAGGAGAGTGTGGGTGCAGTTAAGTCACGCTCTGGGACCGTGTGCTCCTGGACTTCACAAAACAAGAGTCATTCATATTCCTCGTGCTGCAAAGACTGTTGTTTCCCCAGTTCCAAGTCAGTTGTTAGAATCCAGAAATACAAACACCCCAAGAACACTGCATCTCACTAACCAGGGAAACGCCACCTTGAGAGAGTGGTGCAACTTCGAAGGCTTTTTGTTTTCCATAGTGCTGTGTGAACAGGCACTGACTGAGTCACATGTGCCTGGGAAAGAACCACACATTTGGCTGAGCAGATGCAGCAGTGTGGTTCTGCGTGAAGAACCACGCTCCTGCCAAGGGGAGCACTTGTGCCCCGCAGCCTTAGCAATAGGAGTGCCTGCATGAATAGGCTAGAGCACGGGCCACCGTGGACACTCAGTCATTCTGGACGCAGAGTAAGTTTCATGTGGTTCACCCTAACATAGGTGTTCTATAGAAATGCTTGTTGAATGATGGGCTATAGAATGAACAAAATTTTATAACTGGATACACACTCAGAAAGCCTGCTCTGAGCTACAGCTGCTGGGCATGATATTTCAAAAGCACATCGTTTTATAGCCTCACGCTCTCACCCGGGAATAATATTCCTTTTTCGTTTTTGCTTGTCAGTAACATTCATTCCAAATCCTTCAATCTGCAATGGTTCTTGAACGATTCCTGTGTGTCTCCTACTGGTCACAAAAACTCCAACCCCAGTGACAACATGGGAGCCAGCTGGAAAATCCCTAGCTCTGGTTCTGAAGAAGACAGATACAGAATCGTGCACTTCGCAGTGTTCCTGGGGCTGCTGCTGGTTGGAGCCCTCGAGATTCTGTGTGGCCTCAGTCAGATAGTCATCGGTCTCTTCGGCTGTATGTGCGGCGTCTCCAAGCAGAGAGGCCGGATTGTGTAGGCCAGCAGCAGGGAGACAGAAGTCTGCACTTTTGCGTAAGCTGAAAATTACACTGCTTTTAGGAGAATGGTACTTATGGGAGTTCAACAATGGAACATTATCTACAAAGCTGTATGAGTCATTTTAGTACAAAAAGTTGTTTTTTAAGTCATCTTTGGGGTGATTAAAAAAAAAAACATCTTCACACAGACAGCATGTTGATTCATGTGGAAAGAAACAAAATCCTCACTATTTGGTTTGGAGGAGAAGTGAAGAAAGCTTCTGGTTTGTCTCATTTGCTCCCCGTTTTCCAGTTTCTCTGACTACATGTGCTGTGTGTGGAGGGGGAGAGGCCGAACAGAGAGGGGAAATGGGAATGAAGCCATCCCGGAAGTAAAAGCCATATGGGGAGCTTCTATTATGTTCTTTTATAGTTAAGGGGAAAAACCACAGATACAGCCTGAATGTAATCCAGTCTTTCCCTCGATTCCCAGTTTACAGGAAGCAACTGTCAAACCTGAAAGGTGGGGTAGTAAACCAAGTAGCTCCATTGCCGACAAGATGATGCTACAGAAAAGCTCTCACGACAAAAGTGGTGGACTGGTTGGTGGAACTGTCCCAGACTGAAAGAACCAGGGAAGCCAGGGAGATGGCGCGTTCGTGAAACCCCAGTGCTCTGGGAGGGGAGGCAGAGGCAGGAGGCTGTCAAGCTGCGGAGACCCTGGTCGCACCATAAAAAGGGCTGGGGATGCGGTTCAATGCACAGGCCCTGGATTCAAGCCTCACTGCTGGGAGGGAGAGGGCGTGTTTTAACTAAATGCACTGCGTAGATATTAGGGACAATCAGGGCATATGCAAGAATTGGGCTAAATTATATTAACAAACTATTAATTTTGCTAGGCGTGATAACGGTTACACAGAAAATGTCCTTGGCTTTTTTTTTTTTTTTGGTACCAGGGATCGAACTCACAACTTCACGTTTGCCAAGCAGACACTTATGCCACTGAGCTAAACACCTTAGTTTTTGTTTTTTTTTTTTTGTCTTTTTCCTTTTTATCGGTACCGGGGATCGAACTCACGACCGCCTGCTTGCAAGGCAGGTACTTATTGCCGCTGAGCTAAATCCCCAGCCCCCTCTGTCCTTGGTTTTTAAAGAAAAGCATATTTATATACTGGAGTGGGGAGCACGATGGTTTTAAAATACGTCAAAAAATAAAGTGAAAGAAAAAAATGTTCACTGTTATAAATGACAGGTGCACAGCAATTCATTATACTCTTATTTTCCTAAGCTAATTTTTAATAATTTTTAAAAAAACACCTAGAGAAAAAATTAGTCTTTCAAAAGGTGGTTTCTATATATGACAATCTTCAAAACAAACAAACAAAAAAACCCCAGGATAACCAAATCATGTATTTGCCATATGAAAATGTTCTAAAACAGACAAAACTAAAAGAATCTGTAATTTTCTGAATGCTATCACTCCTGCATTTTATTTCAACTTTTAAAATGTTTGCTGGGTTTAAGGTTCCAGTAACAACAATACTTACATGGTGGCTGTCCAAATGAGTAATATCAACAGCTTGTGAGCCTTTACTGCTAAACTCCTTTTGTACACGCCTACCTGCACCTCTTTTCCTTGGTGTCTAACTTAATATCCACTCGAGGAAGTCTTCAGTGCACATGACTCCAATCAACTGAGTTAGCAGTCACCAAAGCCAGTATTACCATCCCAGACCCAGGTAGCTCGTGCTTTTGCACCCTCATCACTACAGAATTTGAGAACAAAGGACCACGTCCTCATCCATTTATTCATCAGTCCCTGCCACCTAAGGTCCTTAAAAGACCTCTGCTGTCTCCGCCCCACACCCCACCTGTCTTGTGTCTGGCTGAGTTCTCTTCATCCTTCAGTCTTCAGTACAGATACACTTTTTTTTCCCTCCTGAGATGCTGTGCTTAGCCAACTAATGAAAAATGGTATTTTGGGGGTACTAGGGATTGAACCCAGGAGCTCTGCATTGAGATACCTCCCCAGCCCTTTTTATCCATCTACCCAGCCATTCATGTATCTCCCTACATTTATTTTGGGATGAGGACTTGCTAAGTCACTGACTTGCCCAGGCTGGGCTTGTACTCATGATTCTCCTGCCTCAGCCTGCAAAGTGCTGGGACTACAGCCTTGCACCACCACACCCGGCTTCTTTTAACTCTCTCCTTCACGGTGCTTATCACATGGCAACATATCTCCATTTGTGCTTGCCCTTTATAGTTCACTGTCCTGCACAGGATTTAAGTTCCGTGGGCCCAAAGACAGCCGCATTAATCAGCACACAGGGCAGAGCCAGGTGCAAAGCAGGGCCACTGTAAGTGTTCTGTCAAAGGAATGGTGACTCCTATCTTTAGTACCCAGTTTTTAGTGAAGATTTTATGCTCACTACATGAAGACTGCTAACTGCCATGAAATTAAAACAGGCAAAATGAGTATGACAGTGTACTCTACGTGAGTAAGTAATAAAGTCAGTGAGGATGTTCCAGCTTTCTTATTTCCATAGCAATGGGAAACAGGACTGCAGTGCTCTGCAGGCCTGGGAGAAGGACACTTCAATCTCTCATTTCAGAGAGCAAAACACAGGATGACTGGCAGTAACACAATCAGCTGAAGGAATTGGTGGCTTTTTCATTCCTTAGAATTATAGAAATGTTGCCATGAATTAAATATGTGAAAGCCTATGGGCCACCTGCAGTACCTTTTAGGGGTACACCATCTCTGATCTGGTACCTGAACTTTCAAAAGCATATCTATACCACACATGGCCACATACCCTCCGTTCTAACCCCCACACAAAGTGCACCCAATCATTTGCAAAGCTCAATGTGTGTGTGTGTTGTTTTCCTAGCTGTACTTGGGGACTGAATTCAGGGATTCACACTCATTAGGCAAGTGCTCTACCACTAAGCCACAGCCTCAGCCTCTCATTTTTCTGAGACTGGGTCTCACTAAGTTGCCCAGGCTGGCTTAGAATTTGTAATCCTTCTGCCTCAGCTTCAGAAGAGCTGGGATTACATGTGTATACCAAGATGCCTGGCTTAATGCTTCTTAACTCTCATTCCGACGTCCAAGTTCAGTCTCTTTTTGGAATCTTTATGTTTGCATTTTTTACTGTATCTGCTCCCTCCCTATCCTGTACCACACATTCCAAGTTCCTCTTTCCTAGGAAACAAAAATTGTTCTGTTTTTTTGAGACAGGGTCTCACTATGTAGCCCAGGCTGACCTCAAATTTTCATCAGTATTTCTGTCTCAGCCTCCCGAGTGCTGCGATTGCAAGTATGCAACACCACACCCAGCAGTAAAGTTGTTTTTATATCCTCTCATTCTTTAATAAGCCTTATCTGCACACCCCCATTAATCTCTCAGTTCCCCAAGAGCAGGGTTTGTGCACTATCTTCTATAACTGCTTAGTCCTCAGGTCAGTCTGCGTGTCAGCAAGTGTGCACTTACTGAGATAATTCTTTGAAATTAAAAGAACATTGATGATAAACATTTCTAGACTGCAGGCCCAGAAAAACAACTCAACTTCAATTCCAGTTAGAGCTCAGAAGCTGAAAAACAGACATTGCAGGGAAGGAAGGAAAGCTTTCTTGAAAATACACAATTTTCATAAAATCATCTCTCTGAAAGTAAATCACCTGCAAATGCTTCCGTAAGTATTCCCAGAACTGGGGGAAACAAAACAAAACAAAACAACACCCTAGAGTTCTGGAAATAGTGTAACAAAAATATACTTGCTATTCTTGACTGTACACTTCAGACTCCCAGCTGTGCTCTTTCTCCCTCTGCTCCTTGCACCTGGAATCTTGTTCTATATTGTTTGCTTGCTAAGAATCACACATTTATATCTATCAATCAAAGTTCAACTCAAGCATTTAAGAAATATTTTCTGATTATCCTGATCGGCATGAATGCACTGATTTTAATCTCAAAAATCATTCTTTTCTTAACAGTGATGAGTAACTTTTAGGGGAAATGGGTTGGAATAATAGAATTTAACTTTGAAGTTAAGAACGAAGCTCTACTTTCAGATAGGTGACAAGTTCAGGAAAGGCATGTTTTTGTTGCCCCTTCTTGAGGAAGATTTCTCATTTGCCTGTGTCATGGAAGGAGTGTTTGAGGTCCCTGCTTCGGCCATGGGACTTCTGTTAGAGCTCGACCAAGGAAAAGAATTTTATCTACTGCTCCTTTTGCAGAACCATTTAAAAATCCAGGTCTCCAGCATTTGACAAAAAAACAGCCTTTGTTCTCATCTCCCAATTCCTCCTTTCATCCGTTTTGGTCTGTGGGATCCTTTTCATGCCTGTCCAGCAGAAGGAGTGGTTTTTTTTAGTCATCATTTTTATTATTTTTGCAGTATCAACTGGGAGGGTCACTTACATGAGTTACCTTATGATGCGTGTAAAGCCAGAATTAATATAGCCATGGCATCATTAGAGTATTGTCAACAGCCAGAAGACGACTACCATGGGCCAGAAAATACTATCATCAAGTTCACAGTAAACCTAAGAACAAAGAAGAATCATCTTTCTCATATTTTTAAGAGGAAAGAGCAAAAGACTAAGCAGAACAAGGAATCTACTCACATCTGAGGAATTAATTGCTTTTCCCAACACTCACTGCTTTGGTAGCAAGGTACATGCGTAGAGAATGCATAGAGAATGTTATATTTAACTGAATTCTATCTGTTTCTGAACAAAAAAGGAAAATAGTTTTGAGAAGTAAACACAGGACTTGGTTTCATTGGTATGTTTAAGTCTAATAAGATTTATATATTAGCAGGTAACAACAACAGAAAAATAAGACCCGGAAACTCAAGGTATTTTAATCTGAACCACTTGACACACATAATAAATGAGAAAACCACCTACAGCCAGTGCCCACAGGATGCAGACACGACTGGGGCCTCCATTACTTCCCGGTCCCCAGCCGCACTGCCCAAGACAAGCAGACTCAGGGAAGCAACACCACGTGCGTGCAGGTCACAGCACGGGGTGGCCAAATGACTCGTTCCACAGACAAGCATTGCTTTGGTCGACAGTTTATTAAATACACTACATTTGTACCTATTCTGTCGTTTTTTTCTAATTGTTCACACATGACTTAGTAAAAATGTACTTTATAGAAAACCATCTGCAAAACTAAAATGAAAATAATGCACATAACACACATACATTACTGCTGAATTGTTAGCAATTAATTTAATCTGTACAGGTGATCATGAAATATTAGGTGGTTTGAATTTTCTTAAATCTGGTACCAGACCATGACTTCAAAAGAGCTGATGTTGAAAGGTGGTGCAAAAATGCCTGTTAACAAAACTGCCTAACAGTGTCGAGAAACAGCACAAAACACTTTTTTCTTTTACAGATACCTTTCTAAATCCATTCTTGATGCATTCTCTTTCCCTTTCAGAGAATCAGTTGTGCAGACTGATAAGGTGAAAAATCAATTTCTCTTAAAAAAAAAAAAAAACACAAAGTAGAACCTATTTACAAACCATGCAAAAGAATTTTACATATGGTGTCACTGCAGAATTGGTTTTAAAGAGAGTACAGCGGAGGGACAGAATATACTTTTACTTCTACAAATATAGGTCCTTTCCCCTATTTCCGGAAGAAATACATTTTTTAGAGCACGGGCTATAAAATGGCATACAAGGCAAAGACAGAAATGAAGAAGTTTGCAAATCCTTTATATTTCCAGCAGTTGAGACAATATTTTAGTGCTGAGGTTACCTCTAGCGGCGAAACCAGAGCCAGCTATTAAGCAGCCAGAATGCAACAGTAATTGAATACATGATCATTTCTCTTTTAGCACGCTCCTTGTTCTCCTCTTCTAGAAGCTGCAGGCGTCTATTTAGTTTGATTATCTATGTAAAAACAAACATACAATACAAAGTAGAAACTTTAATGCATATAGCAATCAATTTTTACAAAGTAGGGTAATAACTAGTCACAAGAAGGATTACAAACATGTAAAGTTTCCTTTGAAGCAAAATAAACACAACTGCAATGAGGAAACAAAGTTCCCCATGATAATGTAAATCCCCTTATCACTCCTCTCCACTTCCCTTCCTCCAGGCTGCATGTTAGAAAGGCTGCATTTCCTTCCCTGATTAGCTTATGAGGGAGGATAGTGTTAAACACCTGAGGCTTCCAGGGCAGGAGGAACAGGGGCTCCGCCCCTCTCAGCCGTCAGCCTCAGCTGTGCCTCTTCAGCCTGCTGTGACTGTCTGCTGTCCACTCTCTGAGGCACTGAGTGCAACTAACCTATTACAGTGAGCCCTGTGATGTGCCCCCCAGATGACTTCCCGGCTGTTATAAAGACCGACAGTATTTTCCTCAACTAAAAAGAACCCTGGTGGTAAAACTGCCTCACTTAAGCCCATGTTCCTTTACTGATCTTCACTTAAAAATATTTCATTTTGTCCAGTGTCTATTTGGTATACAAAGTGAGAACACGAAATATATTTTCCTCTCGTGTGTGTCTGTGTGAGTATAAAGCTGCAGGAATAAACTTTAAAATATGCATAGTCCAAGACAGGACTTCCTACAGATTGTAAAAACACGTTTGTAAGGACACTGTGCACAATGAAAACAGTGTTTTCCAAAACAGGCCATTAGACACAGGAACAGAAGCCCCAAAGTGACTGGTTCACACATCGAAAGCCAAACAAGCAGTTTATGGCTGTACTGGATCGCTGTGGGTCAAGGTTTCCTGTTACTGGTCAGAGTTATATTGACCCATTTTGGTAACACTGCTTAATGCTTATCAAAATCATGTAGATGGTGGCTTAATGGATCTTTAAGGTAAGAAAATAAATTATTTACTTGACACATACTTCAATTCAAGGGTTCAACAGAAAACATGTGAAATGCCACGAACCATCACTGTAAAATGAAGGTAACTTGGCCACATGGCACATTACACACCTGTCGTCTTAATGAAGCTGCGTCTACCACAGTCATGTCCTCTGCTGTTCCTTCAATGACTGCGTCTACATTTGAAACGCCATATCTAGCAAGTACAATAAAAAATACAAGTTGATATTAAAACAGAACGAAGAATAACTGGAAATCATGTACTGTATAATGCTCAAAGTATTCCAAAGACCGTCACTTTTAGCAACATAGATCAGTAAAATATTTTTTCATCTGAATTAACATTAATGAAGGAAAAGAAAACCTTAAAACAACAACTGCTGATAGTACTGGAATAGTACATTAACACTTCAAGAACAAGAAGAAATCCTGGCTGAAGATACAGACAGACACCTCTCTGAGCCAGGGAGATTAGCAACATTAAAAAGGGTCCCTGGCTGGACAGGGTCCCAGCTGGAGCGGCGTGCCAGCTGCCACAGTACGCTAAGACACTGCTCTTATACAGACCCACGTCCATACCTGCATGGCTCCGGAGACAGCAACCCACTGGCAAGGGATGCAAAGCGAAAATACTGAAAGATTATTAATTTATCTCTCCTTTTCTCACTGTCTCACTTCTCTGACTGTTCTTACTCTTATTTCCAGCTGTTTATTGTCTACTCTTTGTCCCACGGAAGCAATTATAAAATCTCCTGAATGTATCTTGCCACTGCATTTAGATACAGAACTGGCTCGAGAATAAACAATTATGAAGTTTTGGGTAAAATAATAATACTAGAAAACTACTCAAACAATCCAGAGAAAATATATTAAATAGTACTTTTTGTTCAAATGCAGTTACTTCCAAAAGGAGACTGGTTTTTAAATGAATGACAATATACTTCCAAAAAAAAAAAAAAAATACATACAAGCGCCAATCCTACCCTGTGCAGAGTTCCATGTTTTAAAATTTATTTTCATTAACAGCTTTACTGAAATGCAATTTATTTACCATACATTTCATTCACTTCCTATTTTAGATCTTGTTATTTTAGTAAAATGACATAGTAACTTTTCTGAGACTACAAATGAACTGAACTCAAAGGTACTCCTACATAACTCACAGAGGATAGATGTACATGGATCATCTATCCTAATATCCCCAGAAAGTCTTCATTACAAAAACCATGTCACCATACAAAACGGCTATGGAGTGGAGTCATATTTTTCATCTGGGCACATTACAGAGAAATCTATTTAGAAAATCGTATTGCTTCAAATGCTGAAAATAATGTCAAAATACTTTAATCAAGAAAGCAAAATGAAATTTAAATAATTGATGGTGAGCATTGACATTAGATTATCTGCAGCAATCATGAATGATCCTTTCATGGCTAATTAGCTTCCTCAGCAGTCATTCACTGCCTCTTTATGAAGATAGTAAGAATCTCGGAACTACTGAGGGTAACTGCATCAATTAGAGAAGTCAATTCCGTAGTAAGTAGATGTTGGAACTATGTGTTTACAAACACCCGAGTTAATCTTTCTTTTGAATACTGTATTAAAACCAAATGATTTGCACTGGGGAATGTGGCTCAGTGGTAGAGCATTTGCCTGTTATGGAGGTTCAATCTCAGGCAACAGAATTATTAAATGGTTGAGTGAAAAAATAGGTATGAGAGTCCTCTTTTCTACAACTGACCTCTAAAGAAAACCTTTTCTGTTGCCTTGAAGTCACATGAGATGAATAATTGGGGGGGGGGGTGTGAACTATAGCAGAAACTGACTCAAAGATTAAGGGATCCAACCTAGAATGAAAATAAAATATAAATGAAAGGGATTAGTCACAATGAAAACCCTGAATTAACTAAGGTCCTAGAAATCTGTGTAAGAAATTTGCACTTGCAAAAAAATCTAGGGAAATATAAATAAAACTTAAGACCAAAAAATTCATAGAATGTACTTTAAACAAAAACCTGTATTTACAAAATTAAAACTTCTGTAAGAAATGCTAAGGCAGACCATTAGCTAAAAATATTTCCACAAAGTTAAAGAGAAAAATGTCAGGGAAAACTGCACTGGATTAAATTAAGATTGCTAAAGAACCAAATCAGCAGAGTGTGGAGCACATTTCTCTAGCATAAATTCCCCATTGAGAAGGAAGCGATGCTTCCTTTGCCTTTGCTGGAATGTGCCAGTCTCTTTTGCTTCATGGAAACGTTTCCAGTTTTAAATCTCCTGCTGTAGACAGTACATTTTTGCATGAAATTAAACTGGTTCTGAAAATTAGAGTGACAGCATCTCTGTAAATATAGGTTTTTGCTTTCATTTCCTGAGGAAAGGAAAACTAATCGGGTATTTTGGCACCTGAGAACTGTCAAGAAAGCAAACTGAAATGCCACCGCTATCCACCCCTGTGCATGATAGGAAGAGATAATTACTCAGGTGAAGCAAAACTGACAAGTATAAAAAGGGCAACAATAAAAGAGAAGGGCTAACATCAAGAGATGGTAAAGACACTTCAAACTAAATTTCCTTTCCAAATGTTCAACTTTCCAAACTACTCGGAATGCCAATGCTGGTTTTCTCAATTCAAAAACAATGCATTACAGATGGGATTCTCTACACACTGAAAGTGACATTATAACTAACAATTAAAAAGGAAATGCTGCACTGAATGGAACCATGTATTTAAACTAAGATGTGAGATTATTTTTCTGTGTTTTAATAGGAACTCCTGTAAGTTATTGACACTTACTGAAATGTCTCACTGTTCATATCATGCCATCCCTCAATTCTTAAGCATTTTTCCTCATACTCAGTGGCCAAATATGACTGATTAGATCCCTTGTTTTTAGAAAGAAGTAGGATGGCTAGGAAGGGAAAGCAACAGAAATTCGCATTTTAATAGTCACGGCTACTTCATGCATTATGTCCTAAAAACACAAATCCCATCACCGCTGTGATTCCCCTGGTAATTATGAAGTCTCAAAAGTTACCTGACGTTGTCATGATGAGGATTAGAAGTGGCGGCGGCGGACCCACCACGCAACACAGGTCTAAGGCAGGTTTTTGCGGGAGAAGGCACAAGACAGAATCAGGAAACAGAGAAGTAATAAAACAAAAGCAAAAACAAGACAGATAAATGTCAAATTGGATTATATTGTATGCTTCAATACAATATAATATTTCTCAAGTACTTAGACATTTGTCTCATATATCCTCCATTTTATGATTTTCATAACATTTTAGAGTTGACTGAAACACAAAGGAAATATGTGACAAAATAGCACCAACATGTAATTCTTTTCAATGCTTATCTCTACAAAATTCAAGACAGGGGACCAGTATGCTTAAAAGGCATAGTATCTCACTCTGCTGAGAAACAAACCCCGCTGACAACTGGAAAAGCGCAGCAGGAACTTGTTAATAGCACCCACATGATCGTGGTTTGCTCATTCACAGTTCTCAAAACCTATGGATTTAAAGAGATTCCCATCCCCCACAATCCCTCCCCTCCCCCCGCGTTAATTCTGGTGACTGCCTGATGTCTTAATCCAGCTGTGTCTCATTCACACCTGAGAGGCCCAGGGACATGCTATGGTACACTGCAAAAGCCCCAGTGTGTGGGTCTGACCTTGAGACCACCAGGAGTGGCACAAGGGCTGCAGGAAATGAGGACTGCAGGGCACGGAAAACTCTGTGGGGCTTTCCACTCGACTCACCACGTATTTTGGTGCCAGAGGACAATTAATTCTCTACTTAGACAAGCAGTAACCTTTCCAATAAAATTTGTTAAAATCAAAAAACAAAAGTGCTACACATCCACTAGTCAACTGCCCCTGAAGTAATCAGCAATACTCACTAGCCAGGCAAGGGAGCCTGGGGAACAGGATCAGAGAAAGGACTTTAAGAAATTTTAAATTCTATTTGGAATGTCTCATTCTCAAAGTTACTGACCACATTTTACTTGACTGTAACTATCAAGGCCATAACTACAGTAGGTAATACCAAATGTACTACCTTCTTCTGTAACTTGGCACAGCTGTAGAACACAAATCACCATTTTCTGACAACTCAATTATACTAGAAAATTTCAACGTGTGGTTTCTCGATGTCCTAAAGGTACAGTTGGAGTTTAAGGATACTTCTAGAGCCTAGAAGCAGTGACGGGGAACCTTCTCGAGGTTCAGTGATCCACACAGCCCGCTCCAGCATGCAATGCCACAGCTCTGCCTCAATGGGCCGAGAGGTTAAGGGATTGAGATGCTGGTGGAAGATGCCTGACTTACTCTGTTTGCTAAAAAACACTGAGAAATCAACTTGTAAGAGGTTTAAAGCTCATCTGAAGATTTACTCTGTGAAATCAGAAAGAGTATGAATGAAATAGTCTTTAATGACAAACCTGAGAATGGTTAACTAAATGAAGTCACTGCTGTGTGCCTCCTAAAGTTTTAATATACTAGTACATTCAAATGGTCTGCCACATTCAACGGAGTCCACCACAGAGATTTCCCTTGTATAATGCAGAGCCAGAAAATAATGCGGTTACCTTTCATAACGTATTTCATTTTGTCTTCTTACACTGGCAATTGACATACAATATAAAAGTGTATTAGACAGGTATTTGGCAAAGTTAGAACTTCATTCAAGCACCACTTTCTGTAAGTATGCTTTAACTCAGACATCTTTCAATAGCATGTTCTATCATTAGATCTAGTAGCAAAGGAAAGGAAATCCAACGCTACAGTATTTTAACGTTTACTTGTATATTGATATTTTCGAGTAAATAAATGGTCTCTTAACAGAATATGTGTTTCTTTGCTATAAAAATGTAAACTACTATAGTAAATAAGCAATTTGTTTAGGGAACCAGGAATTATTCATTTTTTTAAAAGAAAAAACTCAAATAACAAATGCTGTGTCTATTGTGACTATGTTTCAAGGGCTTCTTTGCTAGACATTCATCCAAAATGTAAATTACTCACACATCAGTTTTTTATTCTATTCATTTCAGGTAGTACAATCTGCTTGGGAAGAACTAAAAAAATAAGTCCCCTTTGAGGATAAAACTTAAGCACAATTCTCTATCAGTGTTTAAATGACATTCTAATACACAAAGTACAGTATTAGAAATGTTGATATTTCACACTGGAGAATCAGATATACAACATTAACAGAAAAAAGGAAAGGCAATGCAGTTCCTAACCAGGAAAGAAATAAATTTTAATACCATTAAATCCGCCTTCCAAGTGAGCAAAGTGCACAGCTGGTCTTTGCTCCAGGTACATTGGTAAACTTTCAGTGTATCTGCTTTCCAAATGTACACCGCTAACCTACATAAAGGAGCTTTTCTAATGTGTACCTAAGATTTAACTTGGTTTTTAGGTTGAACTTGTTTTTAGAGCATCTATGTTCTCCTAAGATGCGAAAAAGAAAACAGTGCATAAACCTTTTGACAGTGACCCTTAAACCGAGACTAGTCCTTGTGTAAAGCAACTGTGTACCTGTACCATTTATGATAAAACAGGTAGAAAGTTTTTTCTATTTTTCTTTCCAGAAAATAATTCTAGTTTAGTTATAGTCAGTGTGATGGTATAAAACCAAAAGTTAGGATACAGCAATAGCGTAACAGCCAAAAGTAATAAAATAGAAAAGAAAATGAAATATTGAGCAAGAAACATAAAAGCACTTAAAAACTTTATAGAGAAAAGTAGTATTATTAAGTAATCATGCAAGTAGAACATTATCCAAATTTCACATTCCCACTATTATATTAGAAGTCATGTAGACACATCTCATACTAGAAATAAAAAGTGTTTTGACACTTAAAATTCTGATCCACTCTTATCCAACACTTAGATTGTAAGAAATGCGAGTACAATTTAAAAAAAAAAGTACCTCATTTAGTAATGAATGCACCAATACGACAAGGACCAACCACTGAAGAAGTATGTCCAGGAGGAAATTATACCAGGAACTATTCCACCTAGCTGTTGTTTAATCTATATAATATTATAGGAAAATTTTCCTCATTCAGATATTTTTTACTTTAAGATATACTCTGACAATAACCTGGTCTCACCAAAGGACCCACTAAAATGCAAAATTAAAGAGGATATTTGGTATCCATTTAAAAGGAGGGAAATAAAAATGGGCCTTTGCAAATATTCAATTTTTCAGGCCAGGTATTTTATATTCAAAATTACTTGAGGGATCTTCTATCATACTAAATGAAGAGTGTGAAGTCCTCTAAATTAAGTAAAGGTGGAAACGGGAGACTGCTACTGCTCATACAACTGCATAAAGCTAGGTGGTGGTATCACTTCTCCACCCTTGGAGGGCCAGAAAAGGAAGTCATTTCCTTGAGACCATCTGTTATGACATTATTTGGTGAGGTGGACCAAGACAAATCTGACTTGCAAGTCAATGGTTTTTCTTCTGAAACTTCTTGCTTCTTATAGTTTTCAAATATTCTAAGACAGTCTCTGAAGCTCTGAATAACATAATAAGGACTCTCAATATGTAGTTTTAATTTTATATGAAGTATAAATTACGTATATATACACATACATACATGATTTTCTCTCTATGCTATGATTTCAGTCACTCTTTTTTGTTTGTTTGTTTTTTGTTTTTGGTACCAGGGATCGAACTCATGACCTCATGCTTGCCAGCAGGTGCTTATGCCACTGAGCTAAACTCTCAGCCTGACTCTTCTCACTCTGTACAGTGTACCTTCCAGTTCCTGGGCTCAAATGCATACCATCAGATTAACCCTGGAAAGATTGAGGGTTATTCAACAGCAGTAAGTAGTATGGACCAGTGCTCAAGAAGTACAGTGAAAGAACTGGGGTCTTGTGAGAATTAAAAAAGTAACCAATAAGCAGTTTGCTCAGAGCGAGCCAGAAGATACATCAATTCCTAAGGTGAGAAATAGGCTTATTAGGATGATCAGCTTCATTTATTAAGAATTATCCAAAAGCAAAAATTAAGTCTATAAAACAATAAGGAAAATCCAAACAACACTGGCTCTTAATGTAAGTGTTGAGTACACAGCTGAAGTCAAAGTGACTTTATCTTTCTGGGTACACATTATGCCAAAAACATCTGGGGAAACTGCATCCTTTAAAAAGACTAGTAATGAGGCAAGGACAAAAAGTATTTGGAAATGATTGCCAAAAAAGAAGATATTTGTATGATTAAATCAAAGAATATGATTAATGATTTTACTAGATGTTCAGAAGTGAGATAAGTTATCAATGTTAAAAGGTATCAGTATTATAAAAAACATAGTTATCACCTGGGATTTTTAAAACCCATTCATAAGAAGAAGGGGGAAAAAGTGCACTGGCAGCCAAAATGCCATCTCTTTCCTGGACTTGCTTTATTAATCATATTGGTAGCATACGTGATTAAATCAAAAGACTCACTGAAGAAAGTCAGGATGCTCCAGTCCAACATCCCACAGCCAACCCAACATGAGCCCTCAGCACAGCCCCCAAATGAAACCAAGTACTGAGAATAGGTTAGCAAAGCCTTTGAAAAAAAAAAAAACAAAAACAAACTGTTGCACTTTTCATGTTTAGAAACTAAGTATTCTTCTAACTGAAGGAAAGCTGATGTACAACCTTGTGAAATGTGAATTTTGGACAATAATTCAAATTAAAAGAAAGCAAAGCAAGCCATTTCAAACTGCTGCATTTTAGGAAGAGACCAAGGAGTGCAAACATAAAGCAAAGACACCACAGTCCACTAAGTAAGGTGTCAAAAATACGCAACACGAGCGGTAAGAGTCACTGACAGCCAATCACCTGCGGTTTTCATCCAGCACATCCAAGATCTGCTGGTAAGCCCTACGGGTAGAAGACTGGATAAGCGACAAAATGCCACGAGCAGAGGAAAGATTAGCTCCGTCTTCAGGTGACATATGGGGAAGGCAGACCCGTGTCTGTGGTGGCGATGGTGTCACACTGTTTATGTAAGCACAGCAAATGAAGAGAAAAAGACTCAAGTCAGATTTCTGTAAAACTGCAGCGCAACAACTTTTAATCTTAGTTTTCCCGACCCCTTTCCCACCCTTCACTGTCCCACAAGAAGGTTAAATCAATGTTAATAAGCATTTGAATTGTTCTAAAAACCAGTGTAGCTAGTTCATGTAACTCTGTAAGCTTAAACATGTAAACAAACGCAATATGAAAAAACAGCTTTGGGTAGGGAAGAGACTTGCAGTAACGAATGTTACTCAGCTTTGGAGTGTGGTGTGTAGGCCAACACAGAAAACCAAACTGCTGTCAAATGACACTGCATTCAACTTATGGATGGTAAGAAGAATGGGGTAGGGAATTCTGGGATGCGGGCATCGAAATGTAAACCCTTGAAAGCACCATTTCAGATACTTCACAAAGACAATGACACAAGCTGAGTTTATGAGTAAGTGACATTAACGACGAAGTAGTCTCTGAAAACTGTAACAAAAAGACTTGTCACTATTTAATTACAGTAAAGTATATGACCTCCAGCTAAATGACTAACGCAAAACTATTCCCAGTTCTGGCCTACAGGGTAAGAAGGTGAGGGAACTTCTCCAATACCAAGATGGCTGAGCGTTTCTGGGCTTCTCACTACAGCAATCAATCACTCCATGTGTGAGCTGAGACTCACAACTGCTTCTGGCTCTGCAGCCTGTGCTTCCTCATCGCTGACCATATGTGAACGAGCAACTTGTCCAGTTCTAACCTAAATTCGTAAGATGAGCATCACTGTTTTCTGAAAGCTGTTTTATAGTGGTGCATGAGGCCTCTTACTGATGGATACACTGGTGTCTGGCTCATCCAATAAGAAGCCCATGCCTATGGGATGGGGTTTAACATTCTCAATACACGGGCAAAACAGGTGAGGTTAAGCTTAACCTTTATGCACTATATTCAAAAGAATAAAAACAGAGCACACAGTGAAGAAGTAAAAAAAGAAAAATCCCTCTGATTTGACTGTGTGTTTTCTAACATAACACGGTTTAGGAACCACAAAGTACAGTTCCTGCTCCGCGGCATAAGCGCCTGCCTTGCAAGCAGACAGTCGTGAGTTCGATCCCTGGTACCGATAAAAACGAAAAAGACAAAAAAAAAAAAAATTTATACAAAACAAAGTACAGTTCCTTTTTTGAAAAAAGTTACTGCTATTGGATACAGTCTAAGAAAATTTTAAAAACAAAATTTCCAAAATGTTGTAACATCCAGTATCTTGATAATCTATTTTGAAGAGAAAGTTCTAAGCCAAATCTTGGTATATCCAGCAATTAATCTACGCAGGCTGACTGACCACATGGGTTTAGACCTCAGTGTCAGGTTTTCAGATATAGTCTCATGGCTAATGACCCTAAATGTCTGTCCAGACACTGGCAGTCTTTGGGAATACGATGGCCCCATCTTCAAATGACCCAGAAGTCTTTAAAAACTCATATGGAGCATCCTAGAGAAGAAAACAAAAAAAAAAAAAAACAAAATAAACCCCAGAACATCTAGGATACCATGCCTATGAGCTGATCCTGTGCTCAGAATTTTTAGGGAGCACAGTAAAAGCCCCAAATTCCTGCTATTTATGAAAAGCCAGACTGAGTTCTTAAATAGTATCACCAGAGGCAGGATTTTAAATGGACATTTCTGTGTCAACGTTCTGCGTAAGTCAACAAACAATTCATCTCATGCTGTTCTTAATAGAGCTGCTGGTGTATCTGGGTCAATGTACTTAAATTTTAAACAACTAGTGCTCTTTCTTTGAATTCCAAAGTTTAAACTGAGCAGTTTGTGTCCCATTTGATAGTAAACACATCAGCTATACACTAGTAAGTTAAAAGTTATAATAATGTTTAGAATTATAATCTCAAAGTAATAATATCAATGAACTGAATCCAAATCTATAAAATAAATTTGATGAGTTTTTGTCCATAAAAATTAAAAGGAAAACCAGGCACGGTGGTGCAAACCTGTAATCTCAATTCTTTTGGAGGCTGAGGCAGGGTGATTAGAAGTTCAAGGCTGGCCTGGGCAACCAATACTCTGTCTCAAAGTAAAATGAAAAAAAAGGAGAGGGGATGTACTTCAGTAGTGAAACACTTGACTGATATGTGCACGGCCCTGTGTTTAAACCCAAGTAACGCCAAAAATAAAAAAATAAAAAAAAGGTTACTTTCTCCGAGCAAAATCATTTTGCCAAAAACAATTAAGGTGTTGTTTGTTTAGACTGCAACTGCTTTCTGTCCATACATAAGAAATGAGGCAACTGTAAAATAGTCAAGCATGAACTACCTTCAGGTTAACAGCAAAGAGTTCTCCTGTGTGATGTGGTCCTGGGTCGTTCCAGGTCCTTCCCTGACTTGCATCCCAAGTCCTTCTTGGGTTATTCTGAGACATGTTCCCGCTAAGCTGTTAAGTTGTTCAGGTGAGTCTCAAATTTGTGATCATTGCTTCAGCCTCCCAGAGTGCGGGGACTGTGCACCACACCCGCTTGGCAAACAATCTTTATGACAGAATGAACAAAAGGCTGAAGTGTGACTGATTTTACTATCAAATAAGAGACATCAACTAATAAAAACAAAAACCTAAAAAATCTCCAATTCTGTGACTACCTGAAAGTGGAATATAGTTAGGAACATACACCAAAAAAACCTTACATAAACTTCAACTGTAACTTAATAAAAATATTTATACAGGAAAACAAAGGATAAAAGTAAGTTCTTCACCATTCCACTGCCTGATGCTGGGTTAAATTCAGGCCCTCATGCATGGGAGGCAATTTCTCTACCACTGAGCTACAGTGCTAGTCCCTGAAATTAAGTCTTTATCAATACTAGCCGAGATATTCAGATCATCAAAAAACAAAGTCAAAAGTGCTTAGTCATTTATCAGAAGAAATTAAGTTTAGAAGATCAGCAATAATTTTTTTATTCACTTACATGGCAGTCCTCCAATAAAATAAGCAAAAACGGAACACGGAATGCCTTTAAACTGCTAACCACTTTTGACTGTATGTATAGGTTAAATATCCTTGATGGTTGATGTTTATGTTTACCTACAGAGGAACTGAATGGTTATGGTCACAGATTACTAAAATTACCTTAATAGTTAGAAGCAATGAAGAATTTAACAAATTGTCATTCGTTTTTTAAAGCTTTAAGCAGACTTTTTACAAACACTGTAAACTTAAGGACAATGGAAAATAATCCCTACTTTAGTAATCAATCTTATAGCAGTTGGAATGTCCTCCACTGGTATCAAATGTGGAGGCAAAGAGTAGTTTTAGAATTGGGCTTCATCTCTGTCCATTCATATACCCAACCAAGGTTTAGTGATTTGTTTTTATTATTGATTTTTGTCAGCAAACTGGAAAATAAAAACAAGTACACTATAAATGTACATATCATAATATTAGTAATTTAATAAAATGGCATTCTGAGGAAAAATTGATCCTCTTGATGTTATAAAACAACACACTGTCAGCTTTACATTTTTTTTTAAAAAAGCGACAATTTTGTAGAAAGCTGCTGTCTGCTCCATGTTATTAGTAGCTCTATCTCATGCTTGCATGAAATTCCAGAGAGTTAAGCAGACATTAATGTCAGAATTAAAATTTAAAGTCAAATTTACTGGCATAATCACGTCATTATTGAGAGGTTAAAGTCAAATACCTCTTGCCTTCCAGTTTTCACAGGAATAATGTTTCTCAAACTGCGAGGTTAACCTCTTCAGGGAGGCATCAACTTTGCAAAACACAGCAGGAGTGAAATAGTAAAAAAGGCAAGAACATTTTCACGAATTGCAAGCAATATTAATTTCTCTCAGAATTTTAAATAGAAAACTAATTTGCTGCCATTATCAACATCAAGTTACTATTCCTAGAAGCCTAATAATAAAACTGGGAGTAAAAGAAATAATTGGCTGCCAGCGTGATTTCTTCTGTCGCTGAGGAACTATACAGCTGGTGAATTTCTCTACTGTGCACTGAAAGGTGACTCCCCACCAGAGGGCAGTCATCCCCAACCTTCCGTCATACAGAGACGTGGGTTGAGGGGTTCAAAAAATTTCTGCCAAGCATATCGCGTATTTTAATCTATGGAATTAAAAAAAGAAAGAAAAACAACTTCAATGACAAATCACACTCAAGACTCCCTTCTTCTAGGTCAAAATAAGACAAGAAAATAACACTGTGCTGAAACATAACAAGTGGCTAACTGGTTAAATTCAATGTACAGGAAACTAGTATGTCAACCAAAACAAAATTTAAAAAGTGGGAAAGAATACCGGTCCTTAGGTGTGAAATATTCCATTTTATTTGTAAATCATATAAATTTAAGTAGGTCTTTTATTTCCTTAATAAAATATGTGATGACAGTTTGAGAAATCCTGAAGTACTAAAAAGCCAAGCAATTAAAGAATTAAAGTATTATATTGCAATTACACAGTGAAACGCATTAGTATTACAGGAGCCTGAAGAATTAAAATGATTCTTATCAGTGAAAAGCAGAGCAGACAAAATCTTACGTGTACTCCGGTGCAGAAACTGATGCCTGGAACCTTGAAATTTTATTTCTTGGGGCAGAATCTGATCTGTACCACCTTAAATTATAATTATGCTTCTATTACATATTCAGCTTTCATAATACAAAGGAAAAATATGACTCTACTGTCAGAACTAATTTTAGTGCCAATAGGTGACAATAATCAATCCTACTGTCTTTTCAAAGTAATTCGGAAAACAAAGGCCAATGTCTATGGCCTTATACTCATTTGCACTTGAAATATTAGAGCCCCAGAAGACAAGAAACTGGAGGTAGGCAAAGGTTCATGAGTAATGACGCATAATCAACCTCACATTACACAGGAAAGACTAAAGTAAGTCAAGACAGCAAGAACTTAACAGTTACTCTAGAAGGAATAAATCCCATTTGTATTATATTACTAGCTTTTTTCTTAACATACTATCAATGCTGAATACATAATATTTCAACTGTAAAAATTCTTTGAGTAAGACATAGACCCTTAAAGATGAATTCAATCATAAATTATAAAATTAACAATGGAAAAAGAAAGGCAAGAGTTTATTCTCAATATAGATAGTAAATATCTTACTATAAGATAGCAACAGGGATAACACCCATAGTTAACCATAACAAAAAGCAACATGGATAAGTATTTCATTGTGAAAATGCATAATGTATTCAGGTTACTTTCTGTGTGTTTTTAAAAATGTTTCATCAGTCCATGTTTGCAGTATGTTTCCATTCCTTGTGTGGAGTTGGTCTATGTGTGTTACACATCTTAATTTTCTTTTTGTCTCCTTTCCCTCCCCCTTTTCATTTGAGAAAGTTCTATCTGCCTCCTATTACCCATCTTTGATTTAAAAATTAAGATTCTCAAAATGTAAGATTTTCATTTTCTAAAACACCTACAAAATTAAGGCTATTTAAAGAAAAAAGGGGGGAAGCAAGGGTTCTTTAGCACTGTTAACCTTTTCTTTTTTTGGGGGGTCTTTTTCCTTTTTATCGGTACCGGGGATCAAACTCACGACTGCCTGCTTTCAAGGCAGGCGCTTATGCTGCTGAGCTAAATCCCCAGCCCCTGTTAACCTTTTCTATCATGAAGAACTAGTGATAGTACTTAAGGACCTTAAAATAATTAAAAACTTTAGGTGTACATTTACTCTACCTTAGTGATAAACTGTGCAGTTTTACTATGTATATATGGAAATAGTCTGAAAACACAGGTTTCATGGGTGTGCTGACATCACGCCTGTCAACTAGATACCTTCAGGAAAACCATAAAAAATTTACGTCATGATTCAGTCTTTCAAATAAGTCTTTCCTTATTTTATTTTAATGCTTCTCTTGTCCTACATAACGCTTTATGGTTACCTATAATTACTGTAGGAGACATTTCAAGATTCTCTGAGAAATGAAAATGCAGTTTTTTCTCTTGCACCATTGAGAATGCAATGTTAATACAGTGATTTAAATAATTTAAATTTAAACTGGAAGTTCACTGAAATGCAAGGCAAGGATAAAAACATGAAAAAGAAATTTCTCCTTTTATCTTGCATATTAAAGCCTCTGCCCCACCTAAGTCCGTTCTGTATCTCTATACTCTCCAGGCAGGCCCAAACTAGAACTTAACATGCTATAATATAAACAGCACAACTTACTGATCTAATTATTTTGCAGTAAAAAAAACATGAGATGTTTTGCTCTTTCACAGTTCTCAGGAAAACTAACATGACGCTTAACATAACATATGGGTTTCTGACAAGCTCATGAAAACGGACCAAAAACTCATAAGAAAGAAAAAAGCTATGTAAACAAGCTAATTTTTTAAAAAGCAACATTGCCAGTTATTTAAGATTAAAAGTTCTGCCCAGTTTTCAAGGAACATTTTATTTGTAAAAACTGATTAATTTTAAACCAGGCATGGCAGCCCATGTTTCTCCTTGGGAAGCAGGAGGACTGCTGCAAGTTCAAGGCCAGCCAGGGCTACACAGTGAGCCTGAGTTACATAAAGTGATGGTATCAAAAAACCAAAAGAAAAAACTGGATTAACTTTAATATAATGATAAAAAGTACTTGCCTGAAATATCTTATAGTAGGTTTAAGATCAGTGTGTGAGAATACAAACAAGGAAAAAAAGTTTTAATAAAGCCCTTTAAATAACATACGCACGGTTTTTAAAAATGAAATTTTTAATAACTGAACGATCAGTAGGTAGAAAACTAGGAACTACTTATGGGAAGGAAGGTAACCTCCAGTTGTCTGTCCTAGAACATTAGAGAGAGCTGAGCTAGAAGGGGCTGGTTTACAAATAAGATTAATAACTTGAAAGTAAAGACATTTTACTTTGTTTTTTTATTTTTTAATGTAATGCTACACATTTTTGAGAATGCATATAACTGACAAGTTAATTTATCAATTAGTCTCAAGTATACTTTAGAAAAGAATCCCCAGATAAGCAAATCATACTTATACCATGACTGAAAAATTTTGACAACTGACAAAACAGACTATACGAAGTACTGCAAAGATAGACTGATGATCCATATGTATAACAAATTTCAAAAACTATGGTAAGTCAATTATTTAGAAAAAGATGTGTAAGATAACATGCCAAGAAACTTACAAGGAAGACACAGTGTTCAGCGGTTCTACTCACATGGAATCATTTCTGACCAGCTGTCCATTTTGGCGAACAGCATTTTCACTCATGGAGCGCTCTCTTTTTAGCCTGCCAACTGCACGGATCTGCTAAGGCACAAAGAGAAGGAGCAGAACATATTCTTAGTTATCTAGGAGCTGCTCTGCATCAAAGGAACTGTAGTCCAAGGATACCCAGAAAAAAAGTAAAAGGAACCCAAAAAGAAGCGATCACAAATTGGTGCCAGGTATGTGTATTAACAGATCCTTGTTTTAAAAAATCCAGAAAACACTTTAGTTATTATAATGTGGATAAGCAGGAATATCTGTTTATTTTGAGGTAAAAGCTAGTCTGGTTTCTTAACTATTGTCTTGGTTACTTTTCTCTCATTGCTTGGACAAAATACTCAATGCCCCCAATGAAGCAATTTAGTTCACTGTGGAGATTTCAGTCCATAATCTGCTGGCTCAAAGGCAAAGTGGCATAACACCAGGGCAACTCTGCAAGGCAGCAGCCAGCAAAAAGAGCCAGAGCAAAAGAAGGACGAATAAGCCTCTTTTTCTCCCTTATTTTGTATGCAGGCCACCCACCCCCTAGGGTAGATGTAGCACTCACAAAATGTCTGTGCCCTCTTCTTGTACAGGATGAGAATATTTACAAAGTAAGGATCCTGCTGAGTCTCTTGGTTAAACTTCTAAACTTCTTAAACTGACACTCAAACATAACAGGTGGTGCAATTATAGTCATTTCTCCTCATCTGCAGAAGACTGATCCAGAAATTCCCAGATGCCTAAGCTGCAGGATGCTCAAGCATCCTACAATCGGCAAAGTACTCCTATGCACACATGTTAAGTTACCTCCTGCTTACTTGTAACACCTAAGGCAAATGCTATGTAAATAGGTGCTTTACCAGTTATTTAGGAGAGAAGGACAAAAAGAAGAAAGTTCTCACTGCGGACACAAGCAGCCCAGGTCTAACTACACAGCACAGGAGGGAATGATACTCTAACAGTCGATGGTGGAGGGAGACAAAGGGAGAATGTGTGAAAAAATTTTTTCCAAAAACAGAGGGAGTCAGTTTCAAGCCTGTAAGAGGCTTTTAACCTAAAAATCAAAATTACTTTTATGCAACTACATATAAAATTGAACAGTTTCTTAATCAACTGTTATCTTACTCTTGCACAGCGAGCAACACTGGGCTACCAGTGAGACCCCACCTGACACCTGCCTTCCTACCTGCGGCACGTTCTGGGTTGCTTTCCCTGAAATAGAACAGCTTTTCCAAACATAGCCAGGTCCTCACGGTCTGTCTATGTAAATCAGAAGCATTTCTGCCACTAAGTGGTGAGAAATAATCAAGGACAAGAAATAATGACAGACAAACGTGTCTCCACATTGCCTTGAAACTCAGGAACCCGAAGGCTAGTGCTGTTTTCCCTTTTGTTATTGTCTTTTTGAGACAGGGTCTCCCTATGCAGTTCAGGGTCTTGCTCACTTTGTAGCCCAGGCTGGTCTCGATCCTTCTGCCTCAGCCTCCAAGTGCTGAGACTACAGGTTACAAGTATGCACCACCACACCCAGTTTATTTCCACTGTTTGAAATCTGTTTAAAACACATCTTAGCAGGAAGGTAAACTGACATTACTACCATACTGCAATTTCAAAGAAATTAGTGGCATACTAAAATCCCCTTTTATGAGCTTAGACTCCAAGTTCTATCTGATTACTCGGAGTCTCAATTGTTCTTTAGATGCCTGTTTATTTTTACAGGTCTGGCTAAGCCCACCTCCTCTAAGAATGTGTTCACAGGCCTTAGCATTTCCCCCTTGCACTTGGTCTCGTTTTCTGTGGACCTTTTATTGAAGAGGGAAAAAATGAGCTAAGGTGCACTGAACCTGTGATACACATCCCCCCTCTCAAAGCGCTCTCAGTCTACAACTGAAACCAACCATCGGTGGGGAGAACCGCTGGACCAGGGGTCACAGGCTGTGAGGAGGACATGAGGGGTAACACGGCCCTGTGAAGACCTCACACCTGGGATACAGTATGAAACTCTCCTTTGAGGCGCCCACCTCAAAGAATCTTCTGTGGGTGAAGGTGCACAGCACAAAATCACACATATTGTTCTTTCTAACTTCTTTCTAGACTTTTATTCCATTCTACTCATTTCAACCATAGCTCCTTTTTCCACACAGAGAAGAAAAGTGAGCTGGACAAACCAACCCCAAGTTGTGGTCAGACTCACATCCAACAGTCCTTTATTACAAGACCCTTTAAGTGTCCAGGGCATCATCTGCTTTTGATCCAGGCTGTGTCACAGTTCAGTGACTCATTACATTCCAGGCTTTTTTTTTGTCTTTTTCCTTTTTATCGGTACCGGGGATCGAACTCACGACTGCCTGCTTGTAAGGCAGGCACTTATGCCGCTGAGCTAAATCCCCAGCCCCACATTCCAGGCTTTTGCTTCTCATCCTCAGGGCTGTCATTCAGACTGAACTGAGCCATCATAGAGCACTCACAACCACCTTCTGCTTTAAGCAGGATTCCTGCGTGTAGCTTTCATACCACCCGCCAGCTTCCAGGGCTGCTGTTTTCCACGTGTCTCTGGTCAGCTTGGCTCTAGCTGGCATTAGTCCTCCTGGCGCCGGAGCTGTGGCTGCACACGACACACAGATGCTGTAGGATCTGGCCTTGCATGGGTACTGCTTCACAACCTCTGCACAAAGCGCACATGGCTTTTGGAGAATACTCACTGAGCTCTCCCTTCTCCTCCTCAATCAAGTCAACGTTCATCGAGGTCAAGTTTTGCTTCTTCCCAATCATCCCTGACCTGTGAGACTTCCTGGGTGTATCTTGAGTTTGGCATTTTTCTCAAGATTACAGAAAAGAATAATTCTCTTTTTTGAAGCAGGAATTGCCAATCTGGGCAAAAGCTCCTGCAACTCATCTTTTAGAGCCTGTTTCTCTCCCTATAGTGGGCTTCTCACCAAGCTCTCGGCATGGATTACAGCTGCTCCTTCAGAACATACTGCTCCTGACAGAAGATTACGGCGGAGTTCAAACCCTGGCTTGGCCACACTGCTCAAGGCTGCTTCAAGTCTTTGGGATTCTTCTCCAATTCTTTTTCCTCACAGCTCTACCTTTTCACCCTGTGGAAGAGCTTTTCCTCCTGGCTCTAGGTGAGAAGCCTTTGTGAGAGGAGGTAACATCGGTTCCACTGCCTGCTCATTCACAGCACTGAACCCGCCGCAAGAACCCAAAGGCGGCCACCCTCTGGGTATGCTGTAGTTTCACGTTCACATGATTTACTGTATGGCTACTTCAGAACTCCCTGAGCGAGGAACTGCTAAGCAATGCTCTTGTCCCACAGCTGCTTTCCAAACTCTGGTGGAAATCAGACACATAGGAAGAGCTGGTTGATTTCCTCTCTCCCAACCAAGTCTCCAACTTTTATCCACTTTCAATGAGCAGGGGATCCACATAACATTTCCAGCCCTTCTGTAGGTGCTCTTGGATTCATTAAGCCCGTTTAAGAACTTAAATGCAGTTGTAGTCTATGACTTCGTTCCTTCTGCCAGTCAGGCTTTTAACAACAATTGTACAATCTTCCTCCTAAAGACACTTTCCAGGCAGTCTTCTTTTGTAATACAGGCCAGTGCATCTCAGCCAAGGGGGATTCTGCTTTCTAGAGAACATTTGGCAATGGCTGGACAGACTTTTTAACTGTACTAAAATACATGTAATATACAGTTCCCAATATTAGCCAGTTTTAGATGTATAACTCAGTGGCATTTAGTATGATTACAATGTTGTATCTGTATCACCACAATTTAGTTCCAGAGATTTTTATGACTCCTGAAGGAAACCACGATGACTATGCAGTCAGACTCAACCCTTCTTTTCATCCCTGGCAACCACAAACTTGCTTTCTGTCTGTGGATTCTGTTCCATCACACAGAATAGTATGATATGTGGCCTTTTCTGTTTGTTATCTTAAACTCAGCATGTTTTTAAGGCTCATCCATGTTGTACGACATCTCAGCACTTCATTCCTTCCTATTGAATTATAGTCACTATGAGAATATTTCACACGTTGTTTACCCATTCTTCAGGTGATGGACATCTCTACTATTTCAATCTTTTAGCTACTGGAGACACTTTTGGTTGTCATGACGTGGAGGATACAACTGGCATCTTGAAGCTGGAGATCCTGAAAGTTGTTAAACATTCTGCAGTGCCAAAGGAAGCCCTTACCACAACCAAGAAGAATTCCAGTTCAAAATGTCACTAGTGCTGAGGCTGATAAACCTTGGCATCCAGTGAGTATGGAGCAGAACAAGCCAGAGACTCACTCACAGATTCAGAGTAGCATCTCAATCTGTTATCAGGACTCAAGATCTTACCGTCCTCCCACACTGGCCCATACCTAGGAGCTGCAACAACTCGGGTTCCTTCCCCTTCTACAAGCTTTGAGTATAAACCATCATCATTGCTTGCTTGCCTGCTTTGTCTTTGGTTTGGTTTGGTGTAGTTCAGTTCAGTTTTGTTTTGGTTTGGGCTGTACTGAGGCCTATACACTGAGTTATGACCTCAGCCCCTTTTCTTTTTTTAATTTTGAGACAAGATCTCACTAAATCACTAAGTTGTCTAGGCTAGGCTAGAATTTGCAGTTCTCCTGGCTCAGCCTCCTGGCCACCAAGCCTGGCTTGCTTTCCTTTTAATAGTTAGCTGCCACTAATCTCAGAAACTCCTCTCTTGTGTGCCAAGATTTGGTTCCAACTATGCAAAATCTGAACATTTTTATAAAAATAATATTTATACATATTGGGCTTTTAACATGAATTTTCAAGATAAGTTCATGCACTTGGCATTATCTTTATCTTTAGTTTACAGATAACTCTTAGACTTGTTAAATAACTTGGCCAAAGTTATGCAGTAAGTGGCAAGGCTGATGTTCAAACTTACATCAAATTTTCAACTTCAAAGTTTTTTTTCCCCAGTGCTACACATTCAGGACATTTATCACATTTAACTAAATAACATAAATAATGCAAAAGCAAACCCCAAACAGTCTCCTGAAAGCAATCTTGTTAAAACTTTTCTTCATTAAGTTTTAAAGTAATCACTCAGGAAAGTGCTTGCATTGATTTTAATCAATGCATTGCGCAGGCAGGAGTCTAAAACAGGGGAAGCAGGAATAAAAAGGCCACAGCCAGCACAGCCAGGGAAGCGCCTCTCTCAGCAGAAGCCTTGGTCTGTGGAGCTGGGGAGCCAGGCTTCTAACCGGCGTGAAAATGCCGTGATACCCTGGGCTTTACGTGGCCATCTCTGCAACCTCCCTGTCCTGTGCGGTTTCGTATCCTTGTGAGCTGCTGCTTTTCCCTTACTCATACCCCTGTCCTGCTGTGATAAGGCAGACGGTCAGCGTTCCGGGAGCAAGAACTGAGGTCATTCACTCTTTTACTACACAGAAGCTCAAAAAGTAAAAAATGGTTTAAATAAAATTTTCAAAGTATCCTGATGTCCAGTGGCCAAACTCTCAAATTCTGTGCTTTTAACTAAGCAGAATCCAGAATGTTCAAACTGGCACTTAAGAGCATCTTACTGCTCAATGACTTCAGGAGAATCTTAGAACCTAAAAAAACAGCAACACCTATTACTCGAAAACTGCTTTGCCCTAGCTTAGATGATTGCTTAACCCTCTGTGGAAAGGACTATACGAAAGGTGAAAAGGGATGCAGAAAGTATCAAAATTAATAAAGAACATGCTTGCCCATTGTCTTCTATCAGTCTCATAACAACACATTAAAAGTTCAGAAGAATAATGAAACAAATGCACTACAGAAGGCATCAAGAAATCTCCTAAAGATCTTCTTGAGTAATCAGCAGAGGCAGGATTTGAATTCTACCAGTAACAACTTATCAGTCCATATTGCTAATTCAAGTCAAAACTACTAACGTTAGTACTAATATTACACGTTATACAGCAACTAATTCAGTGGAAATATTTCATTTAGTAGCAAAAATAGGTACTGTTTGGCAGACTATTTTCTTAATTTTTATTTATTTTTTGGTACTGGCATTGAACTCAGGGCCTTGGGCCTGCAAGCTCCATCCCTGGCCCTGCCAGACTAATTCTGTAACAAAATGATGCATTCATTTCCTCCAGTTGTGAAATTTCTGTTTTCTCTGCATTACTTAAAATATAATCATACATAAAAGTTTTACCTTTTAGTTCACACAAATGTTAGTATTTCCCACAAAATTTTCATTTTTTGATGCATAATAAAAATAGTAACATAATATATTTTTGGGTAATTTATAAATCAGAATTAACAGTAATCAATATTCTAGGTACAAAGCTTCTGTTACCTAGTACCAGTGATAAGATTCATTGTCTCTTTCCTCCTCCTTAACATTTACTTTCTTTAATATTCTTTCTACTTACTTCATCATTTTGAGGGGTTGGAGAAGGTCTTTCTAAGTCCAGAAAATCTAGGGGTCTTTCACTTAGTGTAAGTACACGAGGCGGTGTTTTTAGTGCCAGAGGCTTTAAAGGAGTTGACTGAATAAGGTCAAGATCTGCTGGTCGTGAAAATGAAATTTCTTCATTATTTCCTAGTAGAAAAAAAACAAACAATGATAACTACAACAGCAACAGAATGAAAAACTAATAAAAGAAAAAAGAAAGGCAATTTTTAAAAAAGTAGTTTTGTTAAAATGTCTTTGTATAATAACCTGCACAATAGCATTAGACTCCTTAAAAGGACTCCTTCAGCTTGACATGGGGTCCAAAACATGCACCCTGGGAGACCAGGGCAGACAGGTGGCAAGTTTGGGCCCAGCCCGGGCAACTTCATTAGATGAGACACTGTCTCAAAGCCCTCCACTTTCACCGTTAGACCTGATACATTTTACTGCTATTTAACACAGTGGTGCATATATTAGAAATTATGTAACACACACATATGACACAACAAACCAAAGCCTGTATCCAAATATATATAAAACATTCTTCTAATACCCAATTTTGCAAATTGGCAAAACATCTGAATAGATATTTCAAATGTTCAAGATATGCAAATGGCCAAAAGTACATGAATGGATGTTCAAAATTACTCATTATCAGGGAAATATAATTAAAATCACAAGGAAACCACATTGTATGTCCACCTGAACAACTAAAATCAGAGATTGACAATGCAAACTTAGCAAAGATGTGGAGCAAATGATTCTCTGATACATCACTGATAGGAATGTAACATGCTATAAAAATTTGGAAAATTGCCATTATTTGAAAAACTTTCCATTTACAACCTAATAATTTTACTAGGTATAAGACATAAGTCTTATACATTAGATGTATCCACAGAGTAAGATCCACTTAGTAATCAGGTGGAATGAATAATCAATGTACAATATGGAATAACCTCAGAAACATTATTCTAAGCAAAAGAAGCCAGACAGGGTGTGCAGTAGTATTCCATTTAAACAGAACTCTAAGGAACACAAATCCACTTTCTGGTTACAGAAGGGAAACCAAGGGGTCAAAGGCACCTTTTGGACCAATGTTTTGTATCATGACTATAGTGGCCATGTGACTGTGTACACCTGTCAAAACTCATGGAGGTCTACTTTAAAATGTATACATTTTATGTGTGTAGAACTCTAACACTGTTGAATTATTTTTAAAACAGCTTAGAATTTCAAATATTGTTAACAAATAGAAATTTTGAAAATATTACCTTGCGTTTCCCAAATCCTTTTTCTAAATATTTTTTAAATCACCAAAGACTCCATCAAAATATAAAATAAAGATTTGTTAGGCCTAGAAGTCTGGGCCTTGTATCTGCCAAGCAGGCATTGCGCCACTGTGCTACCGTCCCGGCCCCTGGGCTATATTCCCAGCCCGTTTGGCAAATTCTTAAGAAAATGTGAAATACCTGCCACAACAATCCTCTCTGGAACTTGCATTATCACACTAGCATTTGGAACGCCTTCTTGGAATCCTTGTTCTAGGTCAGCATTTGGTGGTGCTACTTTTAACTTTTCCGGGACCCTCATTCGCTGACTAATTCCTTCAGTGTATTCCATCTCATACTGAATTCGACTAATTTCTGCCATCTCAGCAGCAGTGGGAGAAGGAAAAGCTGCCACACTAACCCTGTGGAAAAAGATGTTAAGACCAGGGTGACTGAAGGTTAGACTGTCAATTTGCTCTACACTGTGATGTTAGAATACCTTATGATAGATAATGCAAAAGGAAACTTCTCATTTGCAAGTACTGAACATACACCAAAAATAAAAGATTGAAGAAAACGGTTTCTCCAACATACCACTCTTACTTATGAGCTGAAATTGTCCTGTGAGACTACTGCTCAGGAACAAATTTAAAAATTATTGTAAAACCACAATACAAATGTGCACACACACATACACATACTCTTTTGGCATAAACAGATACACATGCTGCTCATAACTCAAAAATGCCTGAAATAAAATTTAATTTAAAAATTCTTAATCAGAGGCCAAGGGTTTCGCTTACTGATAGAGCATGTGACTAGCATGCATAAGGACCTGGGCTTAATTCCCCACAATGAAAACATAAAATTTAGGTTACTTGGGAGAAAGCTGCTTATATTCTACAAAACTGAAATTAAAAATTGCGTCATGCATGAAAAGCCTTTAAAAGATGGAAATCAGCCTCAAAAGGTAAATATGGCCAATTCTGAATTTTTAAGAAGATGCAACCCCCTTAAAATAATATAAATTAAAACCTTTCTTAATGAAAATCTATCTGATGACGATACAATATCAAATGTATAATTTATATTAGTAAATCTTTGATATGCTTTTGAAGGATTAAAACTTTTTCATTATCAATTTGTTACATATATATTTGTTTAAAGTAACAAATGCTTTTAAAACAAAGATAACACAAATGCATTGAGTAACCTTCTAAACTGGAGAGAAATTCATGGGCCCAGAGAAATGCAATAGAAAAAATGTTGCCCCAAAATACAAAATAAAGCATGAAAGAGCAAGATTAGCCTAAGTCATCAGCCTTCAAGCCACTGTCGCTCAAACCTGTAACACCAGCTCACCTCAACAAAAAGTCACTGACCTTCCTAGTGGGCTGTCACTGCTTGTTCTTTTACTCATTTTTAATACAGTAAATAGAGGCCTACAATAGCTATTAAAACACTGCTACCCTTTTGTTCAGTTTACTTTACACAACAATTCCCCTACAGATCTGAACTTTTTTGGAGGTGTACATAACAACACGGACACTGCTTTTCCAGCTGTAAAAAAGAAAGAATAAAAATCAGTATTTCGACAATCCATTTCATGAAAACTACTAATAAAGGTAAATATTTATATAAAATGGCTTTTGGATTTGAACATGGCTTGGGATTTGATCTGAGAAACTAATTTTCATATCTCTCCAAAACAGAGTTATTCCATAGTACTTCAAAAATCATAAAGATGCCTTTAGTACAGTCATTGTTTTATGATTTTTTGCAAACAAGATATAGAAAAGCTCTATTAAATGTTTATACAAATATAAAGTCAGGTTAGTAAAAACCAATACTGCCAAAAATGCCTCTAATCACATATTAGAAAATTAGAATACAGAAAAAAAGCTTTACTCTTTTAGACTAAATATAAATGACAAAATCATGAACAGAATGCAAATTACAGCAAATGCATTTGAGGTAGCCTAATGCTAGTATGTAAGTAATGGCTTCCTTAAAAGAAAATAAATATCAAAAATCAAATTATACTAATTTTTCTGTGAAAGATATTATATAAATAAATTAAACATAATTAAATTAAATACAGCATAGCTGGGAAATTTCTTAATCTCCACATCAGAGATGCACCCCACACCTTAAATCCCATCCTAGATGCCTGGGAGCTCTTGAAGCTTGCTTACTGAGCTAAGCTTTAATAATTGTTTTGATTTGACTGCTAATGAGCTTCTTTTATTCTTTACCAAAATGTACAAATATCAAGGATTTGGCATGCAGATGGGTTAAAGGCTAAGAAACAGAGCCAAAAGAGAACATTTCACTCACCAATGTGTACCAGGTGCTGCCTGCTGTCTGGCACTATCTGGCACTATCTGCTCCTGCGCTTCATATTAAATCCTTAACTTGCTTTGCTGCGCATGGGCTGGACTTGGAGCCACTTTCCTCCCTGTGAGAGAAAAATGGGATGACTGGGAAAGCAGATGATACAAATATTAGGAATTCAACTGGAAATTATCCCAGTGATCAAAGTCACAACGATACACAACTTTATACCAGAGTCCTTCCTGGCAACTTAGCAAGACCCTGTGTCAAACTAATATATAAAAGGGTCTGGGGATGTGGCTCAGGGGCAGAGTGCACCTGGGTATGATCCCTACTACCAAGCAAGTTTATTAACAGTTTTAGTTTGTTACATAAGCTAAAGGTCAGCGTCTACCATCGTTTCAGATTTGTATTTGGAAAAATGTGGTGGATCAAAAATGTTTAAATTAATCTAATACTTACAAAGGTGACAAATGTATTGGTTGCATTTTCACTTACTTAAAATACCTTTTTAAAATCCTGAACCAGTAATAAATCCATGTGATACAAAATACGTAAGAATACAGAGTATGCATGGTGGTCCATGCACTCTGGAGGTTGAGACAGGAGGCTCTCGTGGCCTGGAGGTGAGACAGGAGGCTCTCAATGCCATCCTGGGCTACACAGGGGGTTCAAGTCCATAGCAAGACCCTGTCTCAAAAAAAAAACAAAAAAGCACAAAGAATATACAGGAAATGCAGTGTCTCATTGTTCTTATTATCAATCATGCAGGTCCCTACAAGTAACCTCCATTTATCTTATTTTTGTGCATCATTCTGAACGAAATACTCTTTAAATAGTTGTTTGTATGTGGAGCACAGTAAAAGCTTCTATTCAGAAATAACACTGAAAAGAAATATCTTAAAAGATATTCAGAAGTAACAGAAAAGAATCATCTTAAAAGATACTCAGGAGGCTGAGGCAGAAGGATCGCCATGAAATCGAGGCCAGCTCAGGCTACATAGTGAAGCCTTGTCTCAAAAAAATATATAAATAAATAAAACACTGAAATACTGTATTTTGAAATTTTATAATGCAAGGGACACAAATTGTTCAACTGTCCTTTAAGTGTGCCAGTTTCCGCATTCCATTCATTGTCTTCTTATCCATAACCCAAGGGTTGGACATTTCATTCTCTAGCAACATCTTTTCTTATGATTCTGAGTTTGCAAAGAATCATCGACTTAGAATACAAAGGTGGATACCAAAGACAAACTCTAGAAAATGCCCAAGTGTCTCATAGTTGAATTACCTAAACTGAAAAAGCAAATGCAACTTTTCTATTAAAATTTAATACTATGGTTTCATTTACTGGGTTTATCATTTAAATAAAAATATCAGAATCTATTTTTCTCCTGTACTTCTCCCACGGCACTTTGGATAGAATCTTTTAGCAATAAATCAACTTCTCATCTGAGATTAACATATTAATTCCAGAAATATTAACCAATGTATTAATTCTACAAGGCAACCTGTGCATGATCCAGTTACATAACCAACAAGTCAAAATCCTCCATGGAATCATACCTAACTTAAGAATTCCGCTTTCTACACTTAGGTGGTCCCCAAGTGTCGACAGTATTTACTTACTAAATTCATTGGTTTTTTTCCCCTGTATTCACACAATATATTTACTCTGGGTTACATTTTATTTCTGCTTTAATATGACCTTTCAAGTAAATGTACTTTTTTTTTTTTTGGTTCCGGGGATGAACTCGCGACGTTATGCTTGTTAGGCTGGCGTTTATGCCACTGAGCTAAATCCCTAGCCCGAAACAAATGTACTTTTAAAAGGAAATTTTACATCAGCATCTGAAACCATGGACTTGGTGTACATATATATGTAATAAAAGTACAACTATCACAAAAAAATCCTCATCCATATACCACCTAGACTATGTCACACATTACTGGCGGGAAGTGTACCAACTATGGGTCACAGTGATTGATTCCAGCTCAACTTTACACATTAGACACTGGTACCCAGAAAGCCTAAAAAGTTCCAGAAAACAATCTGGATCAAACTGATTGCATTAGCAAAAATTTATACTGAATTGTCCAATTGCATCAAAACCACGTACTGTGTGGGTGCAGCGCCAGGTTTTTCTATAGGTTACCTGTTACAGTCCTTTCTAAACCGCTATACGTCAAAGGATGGAGACACTGGAAAACCAGGGCTCAACTGAGGGTTAATTTTGTTTTTCAAGAAAGGGTACTGACAACTCTGAAAAGTATCTATTTAACCAATGCAAAGTTTTAACACCCGCAGGGAGGCGTGCTACAGCTAAACTTCGTAATCCTAAACAGGCAACCCTATCTGACAGGAAGGGGACAACGCAGCATTTCCTTTGGAAAGAACAGCAAAACCCATTCACAAGCCTCTGAAACCGAAAAGGAGGGGCGTCTCCCAACCGATTTCATTGTATGGGCAACACCGACTAAGTACTACTGAAACCGTCCTCATCTCTCCCAAGAGCTTTGCTTTGGAGGTCTCACTAACCAACGAGAACCAAATCGAGGCAGGCACACACGGAAAAGGAAGCAGGGAGGATCGATCCTTCGCGGTCTCGGCCGGCGGACTCGCTGTCCTGCAAAGCTTTCCTTTCCGTCCTCTGCAAACGCAAGACGTCCCCACCTCTCACTAGGCGCCTGCCCTGGAGCAGCCGGTGCCGGTGCCGGTGTCGCCGAGGGGACTCGCCCTGTAGCCCGGGTCGGGGCCCAGGTAAGGATGCTCGGGTGCAGCCCCGCGTCCCCGCCGCGCTTCCACAGGACAGAAACCGGCTCCGGAACCCGGCGGGGTCAAGGTCAAGCTGTCGGGGCTCCGGGCCTTCGCCGGGCTGGAAGCGGCGCGGCGCGGGGAGGACGCCAGCCCCGACTCTGACGCCTCCCCTTTCTCCAACCCCGGACTCATTTTTGGTCAGTAAAACCCGAATCTATTCACACACCAGCGGCCCGACCAGAGCGGTAGGAGAGGTTGACCCCGGATGCTCTCAGGGCAGGCGCTTCTCCCCGAAGCCCACGGTCGACGGGGCCTGAGCTACAAAGGCCGAGCTGACGGCGAAACCCGGGGTCCGCAGCCCACGGCGCTGCAAGGGACGTCCGCGCCAGGGGTCGCGGCCGCGACGCTAGGCCCAGAGGCCGCCCCGGAGGCAGTTTCGGGTTGGGAGGAGTCAGCACTCACCCCGAGCCCTCAGCAGCGTCCCGGAGAGGGCCGCCGCCCGCCGGCTCCCGGGGCGCTCTCAGAGGCCGTTGGCCGAGCGCCTTGGGCAGCCCGGGCCAGGCACCCGCGGAGCAGCCCGCAGCGGGCCGGGACAGACGCGGAACGGCTGGAACTGGCCCCTCTCAGGAGCTGTAGCGGAAGCTGTTTTCGGGTCATGTGATGCGAAAAAGGGCGGAACCTACGGTTCACGCACTGCGAGGCGGAACTAGTGAGAGAGACGGTGTAAGGAGACATCTTTGTTGTGGGCAAAGTACGCCGTGGAGGTATAAACAAACACATTTGGTTCTCATTAGGAATTTTTAGTGATCTTTAATAGCCTCCTCGTATTTGCAAGGTAAGGCTTAGGGAGCCAGTTAACGTAATTTTTTGCAGGACTACCTGTATCGAAATTTATATGATGTGAAGTCCAAGAATCAGAACACTTAACTTGGGAGTGATTCTTAGGAACCCTAATTTTGAATACTCATTAAACCCTCCAGTTAGGAACAAAAGAATGGCCGAAATTAGGTTTCATGGTGGTTAGCAGTCTTGTTTAACTTCCCGAGAGCTGTAAGTCTAACCACGTAAACACTGACTCTCCAAGGAGGCACAGGAATGGTGAATTCGCTGTCTCCTGTCTCTCCCTCTCATATCTGGGATACACCAGTGGTACATATTGTCTGGCCTTTGGTCGTTAAGGATTTGTATCGGTAATCCTCAGTTTGTCAGGCTATCTGAATTACTTTCTCTTTGCTAAGACACAATATGCAAAGCCCAGAACTTAAAGGAGAAAAGGCTTACTTTGACTCACAGTTTATTGAGGTAACAGTTCATAATCAGTTGACTCCAAGGCAGGGCAGCTTGGCAGAGGAAAAACAGTCCATGGCAGGGTAGTCATTCTTTCTTAACTACTTGCATTTATCCATTCTTTTTCTGCCTCTTGGAATGCCAATCTGTTTCTGTCTTTTGCTTCTTAGACCCTCTCTTCCCTTAAAGGATTACCTAAAATATTCTTTTAGGAATCATTTCCTAAATAGGGTTGAGGCTTCCACTTAGAACTATTATTTGTCTCTCTTAGCACTTACACATTCTGTCCAGTAGTATAATTATGTATGTGTTTGTTTTGTTTTCCCTTACTGGAGAATAAACTCATCTGAATATAAACTGTAGATACAGGTGTATTGATTGTGTTGTAGATCTTGGATGTAAAGTAATCAACTGAAGATAATCCTAAATCAATAGTTCTCTAAAGGTATTGAGCAATCTGAGCATTTTAAGAAAAATCATAGGGTTTACAAAATCCTAGGAAAGAGCATATTTATCTGAGGCTATACATTTGGCATGTTTATTAAAAACTGGTTACTTTTTCCTCTGTGTTTGCTTGCCTGTTCATTTCTAATAAACAGATCTGGGATTACTATTATGAGTTGATTGCCTACCGCACACACTAGAAGAGGCACTCCTTTATTTTTTTGCACAGAGAATTGCACTCAAGACTTTGCACTTGCCATGTGGGTACCACTAAGCTATATCCCTGGCCTACTCTTTATGTTCTATGAGTACCCTGCTAGTAAGTTGCTAGGAATTCACTAGAAGAGATCATAATTTTCTTTTTCAAGCAGGCTGACAGCAGAGAAAAAGACATTGTGCCCAGGCACGGTTTTTATTTCAATTAACATCAGTAAAAATGGGTTCATTAAAATAAATTAGTACAATTTTACCACAGTACTTTCAAATTAGATTTTTGGCTTAATTATGACTGTGTTTCTAAATATTTAAGTAATGATTTTCATGGTATTCTTGAAATTATTGTTAAGGATAATTGTTCATTCTACTTCTCTTAATTATTATTTCCCTTATAATTTTTTTTTTTTTTTTGGTGCAGGAAATCGAACTCAGGACCTTGCACTTGCCAGGCAGGTGCTTATGCTGGTGCTATATCCCTGACCCTAGAATTATTTCTTTATTTTCATTTTGCACACTCCAAAATTGCATTACCTATGAGATTCCAAAATATTCTTTACTAATTCTCTACATTTGAAAAATTTTTAATCATTTTCTCCAAATGAGGAGCATTGGTATCATTAATGGAGAATATCAGAATATAGAGCCCATAATTTCTATAATCTGTAGACTTTACCTCATTAGAAAAGTGGACACTTCATTAAAAATGAACAAGGATATGATCTGGTGTTTCCCATAAAATTTTTAAACAGCACTTTAAAATAATAAGTATTATTTTAAAGAATCCTAACTAAAGTAACATATGTTCAGTCTCACTTTTTTTTTTAGCCTCACAATGAGTGAAACATCAGTCAAACTGATGAGGCAGGCAAAAATGCAAAAGAACAGTAATATTCAGTATTAAGTATTGAATACAGTAATAACTGTAACATTCAGAACATTTTTCCAGAGAACTTTTTTTGTGTATGTATGAAAGGCCTAATACTGTGAATTCTTTAACTCTATAACTTTTCTTTTATGAGATTTATCCTGATGAAATGTCTGAACTGACATATTTACAAAATGTCTATAACACAACTAAATTAAGTGTATATCTGTTCAGGATGTGTTGACTTTATCCTATAGCCAAAGAAGAGACTCTGCTCCAAATGATGGTTGGTTCTTGTCTACTATGTGAAAATCTGTCCACAACATATTAAACAAAACAACAACAACAACAAAAAAACTAATGACAAAATATGATTTTATCTCATTTTGTTTAAAAATATGTTTACAAAAAAAGATTCTAAACTGGGCATGATGGCACAGGCCTGCAACCCCAGCATTGGGGATGCTGAGGCAGGAGGATCATTGAGTTCAAGACAAGCCTGGTCTTTGTAAAGTGAGCTCAAAACCATCCTGAACTGCATAGTGAAACCCTGTCTCAAAGAGAAAAAAGAAAAGGATTCTGGAATGGCAAAGACCTTCATAATTTCTGTGTTGTCTATTGTTTTCACAGAGAACATCAATTACTTTTAAAAGCCAAGATAAATTTATTTCCATTTTTTAAAAAAATGAAAACCAGTTACCATTTCTTTAGTTTTTATTTTGACAAAACAGTAATATAATATTTTAAGTATAATTACAGAAATATTAGTATAATATATTGTAATTTTGTCAGAATATAACAATATAAAATATTCAACATCTTTTAAATATATTTCACTTTTGTAATATAGTAAATATTAAATTTAGTAGCAGTAAGTTACATTTGATATATAGAAAAATCTTTGTAAGTTAGCAATAAAATTCAAATTTAAACATTAATACTCATAAATAAATTAATAATGTATATACTGCAGACACAAAGAACTCCAAGAAATTGGTTGTTTTAGCACACTGTGAAATTCTGAGGTTGAAGTCCCAATTTTAAAACAAACAAGTTACTTAAATTTTACCTACAAAGTTAAGTTTTTAAAACTTTATAAGCTACTCATAAATATCTGGAAATAACCCACGAGCTGTATTGTAAAGGTCACGCCTTGAAATGTGCTGAACATGTGTTCATATGGCTTCGCTGGAGTCAGGGTAGCATCATTTGTCTTCCTCAGAGGTTGAACACTGACAACAGGGCGAGAGCAGACGGGGTGGGGCAGGGGCAGGGGCAGGGGCGAAGGCCAGCCGCTTGGCTTGAGCACAGTCCGAGGCTTTTGTCTGGAGTAACAGCAGATGACACCCAGGTCATCTATGGGTCTGGACTTTTTAAAGAGGCAAAGATGGTGCACCCGTGACCCATTTCTTGGGTGTTTGCCTGGAGCAGCTTTTCTCAATCTTTAGAGGGCAGGACAGTCACATAGAAGCTTTGTTAAAGCGCAGGTTTGTGGACTCTGCCCACAAAGTTTCTAATGTTTAAGTCTAGAATGAGACTAGAATTTTGCATTTGCTCCATTTTAGCAAGTTCCCAGGACTGCTGATGTGGCTGTCCTTCTTGCCACAACAGAGTGCAATGACAATAATAGATATTTTTAGAGAAGGAATGCCGTAATGTCTAAATAAATAAAAATGCTGCACATTTTAATATTGTAAAAATGGCTTGACTGCAGTTAAGTGAGCAGTGAAGAATGTAAACCACGTCTGCGTTCCAGGGTCACATTTTCCCTTACAAAGCATGTGAGCTGGGAGCCAGAGTCTGATTGTAAGTATCAGCACCACCAGTTCCACCTCAGGTGGATAAAGAAGCATCTTGAAAACTTAGTCTGATGACATCCGGCCTCTAAGACTCATCAGATAGTGCTACCATCACATATACATAAGTTAAAAATGTTTCATATACCTTTGTTTGCTAGATATTGTCCAGACTTGAGCTCCTGGTGCCTAAGAGAACCTAGGAGTCTTGGACTTTCCCTGGGCATAGATTTTACTTTTCAACCTTTACTCAGGCCTGCTGAGTTACGATGATGAAATATAAAAATATTATACTATTTTGTTATATTTAATACTATTGTATATGAAGTTATGCTCAACTATTTCAAAGGAAGAGATATTGTGGTAGTTACTGTTAATTTCGGGTTAACTTCTGGTGAAATACTGTGTTGCTTACATTGTTCTGTTCTGATCTGCTTTGTTATGTCCTGTTTTGTCTTAATCTCTTTAAAATAAAAAATAAATATAACAATAATAAGGGGAGAAGAGGGAGAGAGAAACTCATACACATTTAGTTCTTTGTTTGTTTGATTTCGCTGCTGTGGACTGAAACCAGGGTTTCGCACAGGCTAAAACATGCTATACCACTGATCTACATCACCAGCCCCCGAATTTAAGCGATTCTTAAAAAGCAGGGGTTATGTCTTAGGCGTTTTTAGATTAGAAACAAGTTACTTTTCTATCTCTCTCTGTTTCTCTTTCTTTTAGTGTCTAGTTTATCACAGTCCCTGGGACATGGCTTTGGCCTTGAAGATAACGCTTGTTAAGTTGCTCTAAGCAATGTATCAACATGCTGGAAGCCAAGTTTTAAGACACAGTTGCCAAATTATGCAGTTTGTACCTTAAGGTTTTTACACACTGGTTTCTCTCCATATGGATCGTAATAAAGAAAATATGTTCACACAGGAAAAATTAGAAAGTAACAAAAGGAACAAATCTGTAAAACCAAGTAATGAAATATTTAGAGCAAAATAAAGATATTCTCAGCTCTACCAGCAAACAAATCCCTAAAGTCCTCCATGGATTATGGATCTACTGCACCAAATGATACAAGGTATGCACCAACATTTACAGGGATGAAGTGCATATCCAACAAGTAGTGTATTTTGTCTTCCTTCCTTCCTTCCTTCCTTCCTTCCTTCTTCCTTTTGTGTGTGAGTACATTGTAAAGGAGAAATTAAAAGTGTGACATATTTCAGAGGATGCATATCGTGACAGTGTCATAACATCCTATTAAACTTAATTCATTAGAGGTAAACATTTTATCCACTTTGAGTACAGACAGGCTATACTGACACAGTGAAATGAATTCGATAAATTAACAAAAATCTTCAAAGAAGTATAAAACAAAACAATATTTCCAAGACTACTATGGTTCCACCCAGGGAACCTACTTTTGGCTTTAGTTTTGGGTATGTTTGAATGAATTGTGGAAAATTCGTGTACCTCACGAATTTTCAGTTCTGTGTTTTCTCAGGCCTTGTGTACCCAGTTGATGTGAAAGTCCAGTTATGTTCATAGTGCTTCAATATTGTACATGTCCCCAGCTCTTCTACCCAAGGCTAACATTTCAGGAAAGAGGTAGTAGAGCATATAAGACCAATTTAGTCTTACTAATCTTTAACACCCAAGCAAAAAGGACAATTGTCAAAAATCCAATGGACCAAGTAACTCTTCACTTACAATATTCAAGCTTCATACAGTCTCCATGTAGAGAGTACTTTGGATTCAAGTGGAATATGATTTCAGTGATCCTGTGTAACAATTGTTGCCTTGTCATAAGATACAAACTAAAATGATAGAAGTAGCTTGAAAGAAATGTCATGCTGTGTTGGGAAACAAATTTAAACTTTGCACCACTAAGCCTTCATAGAGCAGCATGGTTCGGTTAGAGAAATACCTAAACAAATGTGTGCTTTGAGCCATTATTTTGTTGTTTAGGAGTGGAGAAAGCAGCAGTTCTATTTTCTTTGATTTCTTCAATGTCTTTTCTTCATGCACACCTGACAACGACTTATTATTTTTTCTAACTCCCCAGCTTTCACAGTTGATGGAATAGGTTTTCTGGAATAAAAACAAAGAACTCATTGACTTATGAATGGATTCATACATTACTGGGCTTGAGTTTTATTAACAAATATTGTAGCTATTGTAAATTGTGTGGTAGCAATATCTTTCTTTATGGAAGGAATAAATTTCTGGAAAATAAGTTTACTTGTATTTCAGTAGCACTCAGGAAACATACAAATCATTTTTTTGTCCTAAAAACTATTGCCACCCTTCAAATAATCTACTAATCACCAGTCTTTAGTACAATAATTAAGATTAGTAGGTCATTTAGTGGCTTTACTTGATAAGGTATGACAAATTGATATACAAGTATCAAGTATGTTTAGTGATGGTAAAAATTATGTATTTTGTATTCATTGGTATAGTTGCACAAAACCATGGCTACTTACTAATTTGAAAATGCTTGTAAACTAGGAGTACAAAAGGGATTTTATTGTCATGAGTAAGGAATTACATGTAACTTATACCAACACATAGATACAGAAACAGTAACATAGGTAACCTTTGGATAGTTCTGTAGTTGCATCATCAGATTAAACTTGACATTAAACTTGTTACCTGAACATTCTTTCGGGGTGTAATGAAGCCAACCAGAAGCTGTAGGAATTTGAGTAGTAGTTGCACGTTCCTCTTCCGTGACACTCTATGAATGGATTGGCTCGGAATTCCTCCAGACAGGAGCCGGGGGAGGCCAGCGCTTGTCCTGCACCCTCTGAACCTGCGCTTGTGAACTGTCACAATACAAACATCTCAACAAATGTTTATCCGTTGGTATCTGCAGGGTCAAGTCTCTATTTTTTTTAAGGGGACAGGATGGAGTTGGGGGGATTAATATAAAACAATAGGAAAAGAGAGAACCTATAAAGCACAAATTAAACTTCCTATACTTTACCCAGATTTACTAATATTCCAGGTTCCTCCAGGTTGACTGGCTCTTTCTCAGCCTTCTAGCAGCTTCTTTAAGTGTCACCTCAGAAAGGTTTCCCGTGACGCCATTTTTTTTTTGACCTCATCTTATTCCAGCCTCTCCTTCTTTACTTGGCCTTACTTTGCCATGGTTCCTGTCATCAACTGGACTCTTGCTACTATTAATGCTGTTTTGTCTTCTTGTTTTCTGTCCCCCTTCATCGCTAGAATATAAATAAGTGCCTGGACTCCTTAGATCATGGAACAGCCTGGCACAGGGCTGGTGTATAATAAAGAGTTTAGGGATTGCAATAAAGGAGCAAATATGAATAAGGCAAGAGTACTGTGTTAGAAATGGTACTACATAGACTATGAATATTCATGGTTACAGCTATCAACGTTGCAGATGGTCATTCTATATTATTTGGCACTTACATCTAAGGGAGTTTTTTCCCCCCCAAAATGTTTCTTTTCATTCTTATCTTTACAGCAATGTCAAAGGTATACAATATAAAGCACAATCATTTTGGTGCAGATAAACCGGGATTCAAACCCTAGCTTTACCACCTAAGGGTTGTGAGAATTTGAGGAAATTCTTATTGCATTCTTATTTGTAAAAATTTGACAGTAGAAAAAAGGTTTGTTGGAGAAACTGCTCTATCATTCACCAAAATCAATATACTTTTTATAAACAGTACATTTTCAGATTTTTCACATAAATGTTTACAGCATACTGTACCTGCTAGCAGGCAGCATCAGTCTCGGGGACACCTTTTACCCCGCACCATGTAAGAATTTACAGATAGTTGTTAGTATAAATTGACTATTCTTTTCTGCTCACCATGATGAAAGAAAATCCCTTCCAGAGAGAAATCCAGCCATGGGGACATGGGGGAATGGCAGTGGTTTGGCTGTGAATGGCTATGGGCATCGCTGGACCCTCACAAACAGTGCATCTGTAACAGGAAACGAACAGCATGGCTGTGATACCACTTTTTACACCATTCCGTCCCATCACAAGCAACATGAGTCACTGGGTTCCATTGCAAAACTAAGGGGCTGGCTTTTTACCTGCTAATGTAAGGCTCCAGGGCCCTGCCAGTAACTGGAGCCATGTCCATTGGCATCAGAGTCGGTGTTGACAGCCAGTATGAATAATCATTTCGAGATGCAAAATTGCACACATTATTAATGTTACAGAATAAGAATGGCATTGTGGTAAATCGCTGAAGACAGCTGCCAAGAGTTCCTAATAAAACACGAGACTAAGTATCAGTTGTAGTAAGTTAAGATTACTTTGAGTGTCATTATTAATAGGAACCTAATTAACACATAACCTGAAGCAAACCTGAACAGAAACAACACAAGAGAGTTATCTGCAAAATATGTATTGAGGGGCCAGGGATATAGCTCAACGGCACAGGGCCTGCCTGGCAAGCGCGAGGTCACGAGTTTGATTCCAGGTACAATACACACACACACACAAATATATAGATGGGGGATCTCCTTCTAAAGGTGGTAGCCATTATTAATTCCCTATTATCTTGTCTTGAAGTCCTGTATCATTTTCATTGTTTTGTTGGGTTGGTTTTATTCTATTTTGTCTTATTTGATTTTATTATATCAATGGCATGAGCAGCTATTTCAAAGATAACAAGATATATTATGGTAGACATGTTGGATTTACTATTATCTTTTCTGAAGTCCTTTATTGTGTTGTTTTGTTTTTATTGGTTCTATTCTGTTCTATTTTGTTTGATTTTTACTATGTCTGAAAGTATGGACAGCTATTCTGAAGACAACAAGAGGCATTGTGGTAAATGTTGTTGACTTCTTGTTTTGAAGTCCTGTGTCACACTGTTTATTTTTGATTGGCTTTATTCTGTTTTATTTTGCTTGGTTTTATTCTCTTTAAAACAAAAGTTAAACACAATAATAATAATAAAATTTTTAAATTTTAAAAATAAAAAATAGGAATTTTTTTTTAAGTTTTAGGAATGATAGAAATCAAAGCCCTGATAGGCAAACACATCTCCCATCTCCCACTTTTAATACTTCCCGTGGCCCATTTTAATTGATCTAGAACTTGGGGATAATAGCTTTGCTTTAAATATTTCCAATTATTCATATTAGCTAATATGAAAAAGATATGACTGCAGAGGTTAAAAGGCAGACAGGTAGTTTAAGAGAAAATCATCTTTACCAGTTTTATATACCAGAATGAAAGCGAGGCCTCAGGCTAGTTGCTGTCTTTGAAACATGCTGGAACATACTCAAGGTTATTTACACTTACCTTCTAAAGAAGCGCCTTACGCTGTAAAAAAAATTTTACAGTTTGCATATGGAACAAAAATACCGGAAACTAGAACTGGAACATTACCAAGGTCTTGTCCATGCGCTCGTTCATTTCCTTGCACAAAAAGGAGAGAAAACCCGCTGTAGAGTGGCTGCGTCCCTGCTGGACAGGGAGGAGCTACCGTGGTCTGACTGTGTCGGGTGAAGACAAAGCCTCTTGTTGTCCCAACTGCAGGTGTTCCAATGTCTCCAGGTCTTCCCTTCAAACCTGGCAATCCATCCAACCCAGGTGGCCCTTTAAAACACACATTGTAAATGTGCAACATTGTTGCAAGACAATCTCATATGTGTTTCCCAAAGAACTCATTTGTAAATGCTTTTCTATGGCCAGTAAACCCCCAGGACAGAAAAGAATCCTAGAAAACAGAGGCTTACCAATGGCCGAACAACATTATTAATTGTTAACCAGTTTTATCACATAAATTGCTTTTATTATAGATATTTGTGTGTCTCTCTCATGAGTGTTTTTTAAGCTCTGGTCTTCCTTTATCTTTGATATCCCTACCATGCTAGCACAGTTGCATGCACTTCACAGGTCTCATGTACATCTTCATTCATTCCCAGTCTAAGTTGTGTATCAGGCTAAAAGTTCAGAATACATCTGCTTAAGAAAGGAAGAGCAGCGTGATCCAGCAACCGTTGATTTCCCATCTTTTCAACCCCCAGCCTTTGGTCTAATCTGAACAACACAAACTCAAAGAACCAGGTTACACTTGTACCACCACTTAGGACGCGTCTCTGTGTGTTAAGACAGTACTTCTTTGCAGAAGGAAACAACCTGCGTAGAATTTGTTTGTTTTTTACCTTGCTCTCCTTTCGAACCTTTGTTGCCTTTTGCTCCAGTGGGTCCAGGAGCTCCTGGTTTTCCATCATCGCCTGGCTTACCTCTTGGCCCACAGGGTCCTAGGTAAAAACCAACACTGCAATGCATTTCCTCAATTTAGGGTGAAAGGTAAGCTGGCCACACACAACCGTTAACCTGGGATTTTCCCAGTGCCAGCGTCTCGGGAAGACCCTGAGTGCTGGACAAAAGACCCTAACAAATGTCCTGTTTCATACATACATATTTTTTCTTATTTTCCCGGTAACTGTTATATATCTTTCATTTTGACTTATTTTATTCCCGAATTCACTATGCCATATATTGATCAAACCAATAAGTGGTAACTCTTTTACCTCCCATATGGTTCAGACTAACTTATAGCCTAATACTTCCTTTCTAAAGTCTCTTACATTATAGTCACTTTTTACAAATGCTTTGCTATCCAAAGTGTTTTTTAAAAAGAAATCTAACTTCACAGAATTTGGTTATATTAAGGCAATCATTTTGAAATATTTGTACCTTAATAAAAGAACAAAGCATACTGCTGTAAAGTATGTTGTCCAAGTTTATCCTATATACATACATTTTGTATAAATTTATGGTCTTTCATTTGCTGCTCATGAGTAAGTGAGCTCTGTCCTAAAATCAATTTTAAATCACTGTAGTATTTAATGTCTTCTGTGAAACATTTGCCTCCAAAGTACAGGTATCTTGATTTGGTTAATTTCCAGAGGTCCGAGTCAGTGGTGCTGGGCCCACACCTGGCTTTCCTGGTGGCCCCAGCGGCCCAGGTTCTCCTTGCATCCCTGGTGGTCCACGTGAGCCAGGTGGCCCTGGGCTTCCCGGAAGGGAGATGATCGTAAGTGTGCCAGGGTCTCCACGTGCACCTATTGACATAGACATAAAGAAGCAGTGGTTTCATGGATGGGTTACCCTTTCTCCATGACAGCGATGATAAGGAAATGTATTTACCAGGTGGTCCTATTGGCCCAATTGGTCCTGGAGGTCCAGTTGATCCTGGAAATCCCGGATCACCCTTCTGTCCTTAAAAACAAAAGGCAAAGTGATTCAATGGGTTTCCCAAGTACAGATTGGAGCTTATGTCACCATGTAACAATGGCCATAGCTTAATTATGTCCATATGGGGTTTAGCATTTCATTTGTACATGATCATGTATAGCAGTCAATAAAAATATACCCCAGCAAGGCATTAAAACTTGTATTTTAATATTGATGGAAGGGTTGCTAAGAGAAACCTATTTAATTTAATATTTAAAGCAATATACAAAACCACATTAAAACCTTTTAACGTCTCTTGGTGAATTAGCAAACTTGCTTATTAGTCATCTACTTTCTTAGCTTGTTACTTTAACCTTACCAATAGCCCTGGGTTAGTTAAATCAGGAACTCTCATGAACACATATAGATGTATTTGTTGTGAACAAACAAAGTAGTTAAGATTTCTAATCATGATGTTTTACACAAATGCAAAAAGGTTACTGTTAGCCATTTATTTGGAGAAATACTTTCTCTTTAAAATATCTTGAAATAGTATAGGTATTACATCTGATTACTAAGAATAACTGAATAAAAAATAAAAATAAAAAAGAACAACTACAATAGAATATGATCAAAATATACAATGAATGTTTAAAGATGTATTACAGTAAAAGACTCACTAATTCCCCTCAAAATACTCCTTTGAATAATTTATGCCATTGCTCTTGTCAGTCTCTGAAGCTGTTCTGTAAGTCTTTTACCCTGAGCAATTTTACAAAGTATGGTTAAAAATACTGTGAATGCTGCTGACGTGCCATCCAGCAGAAAAGCAGGATCGTTAAAAAAAAACCAAATAAACAAACAAAGATTACAATGGGTCCTCATCCATCTTATTTATCAGATCTGGTGCCACAGGACCTTTGGCTTTTCCCCAAAGCAAAAATAACTATGAGAAATAAGTCTTTTGTGTCAATTCAGAGCATCTAGGCAGCTAGCACAACACAACTAAAGAGACTTGGGGAAGGGACTTCCAGACCTGCTTAGAAAGCAGTGACAACAACGAGGCAAGTGTTTGAAGCAAGGAGCAGTATTTTGAGGGGGGTGAATTGCAATGTGTCTTTTACTGTGATTTTTATTAAAAATTCACCGTATTTTCCATCATTGTATGTGTGTTAAGAGAACACAGTAAAATAATTATAATACAAAAAGTAGGTGATTAAAACTTTCTGAACAGAGAGTCATAAAGCTCATCAATAGTTCTAGTCAATGGTCTTATTTTAAAATTTAAGTATGAGTATGTTTCATGAAACGTGTTTCAAAAGAATTGACTATATTTTGAAACAACTCTCCTCTCTAATTACCTATAAATATGTTACCAGGATGTTTTCTTGAATGGAGGATTTGTGTACTTTTCAGACATTTGGTATTTTTATCTGAAACTTGGAAATGACAGTGTCACACATTTTGTTCCAGCTGCCTGCTAGTAGTTGGATCAGTGACTTGGTGAGACTGACTTTTAGTTAAATTGAATCCAAAAAGTCAGTAATTGAGGGTACTGAAAAAGACCTTTTTAAAGTCCACCTTGTGCCTCTTGAACCTGGAAAAAATGTTCTCACGAAACTGTGGCTTTGGATACACTTTGCATGTTTACAGGCTATGATAAGAGATCCCTGACCCTCTAGAACTAACACCTGCAGAATGCACCACTTAAGACAATGAATCACATATTCAAAACTTTATTTAAGGTCATAGTATACTTTTAATAGATTAAAAATACAGGGCCTGGTGATGTAGCTCAGCAATAGGGTGCTTGTCTAGCATGCCTGAGGAGCTAGGTCTCATTCTCCAGAACCACAAACAAAACAATGCCATGAACAACAAAATGTGTGCTACAGAACCACAGACGTAACTTTCTGAATAAAACTTCCTGACTTTCCCCTCACTGACAGTTGGGTAACTGGTCTTTTAGATTGTTGCATTGTTAAGATGTGTCAGCCCCCGGGCTTGGGTGCTGACTGGGTCTTCCCTTCTGTCTTTATTCACATCCAGTGCCCCTTTGCCCTGACTTTACTATCTGTGGGCTTCTATAAGAGGTCAGCAAACATTTATATGTGCCAAAATATGAATTATAGTATTGTGCTTATATGTAAAGAACAATGCACAAAAACAAAACAAAACAAAACAGTACCTTTCATGCCTGGAAATCCAAGGAATCCAGGATCACCTCTGAGCCCTGGAGAACCTGGGGTACCTGGTGCTCCCTATATTTCAAATTAAAAAGAGCAGAACCACAGACATATTTTAAAAATCTTAATACAGCAGTTATTTTCCAAGCAAAAAAGGATATGATATTATGCTGGATAAGAATGGGGTGAAGTTGAAAGTCACCTATTTTACCTTTTAATCCAGTGTTTCACCTGTCTATAACTCCTATGCTAGATTTATCCTTAGGACTATTAATAAAAAAAATAATAAAATTAAAACTTACATCCAAGAGCAAACACCTAGTGTTAGTGTCTGTTGAATACATTGTCAGTTTAGTACTGAATACAATTAGATATCCTGCATTCTAAATGGACTGCTCAATATTTGGGGATCTTCCAAGGAAACAGTTTGAATGAAAAGAAATAATCTGTGTTTGTAAGTCTTACAAAGACAACAGAACCATTGTTGAGTCATGGCATCCAAGCATTGTGGGCTAAACTGGCAGAGTTACAAATTACTCCTGGTGGGGGTGGTAGGAAAAAGAAAGTAGCCAACTACTGAGCGGAAAGTGATCTTGGGGAGAGGTTTTGACAGGCACCTTAGGCAAGGACACATCCAAGGGTAGGCTGTGCTCGGTCTTCATGATGCTCACACTAATTACTCTTGGAACCCTGAGATGCTCAAGCCAGGTATTGTGAGGATGAAACCACAGGGCTTCTGAAGAGTTATAGTTAAAATATATGTTGAATATACTGTATGTAAGTCACAGGAATTGAAACAGAACAGTGCTGCTTGAAAACAGAGGGTGAAGGTCCTGAAAAAGCGCCAAGAATAACAAAACTTGCCTTGGGCCAGTTCTGTTTGGAGGAAGGAGACTAAAAAAAGAACAGACTTAGTGCTGGGTGAAGTGGCCTGAGGTTAAAAGAGGAAGGGGAGGAAACAGAACCTTCTGATTGTGGATTCTTTGAGTACTGATATCTGCCTATTTTCTTGAGCCAAAAATTAAGAAAGTCTGGTGCTAGGCCCACATTGAGTGGGGAGTACACTGCTCTGTGCCAGAGAGCTATTGAGGGCAATTATTCTCCTTGCTTCCTCCGCTTTCTTCCTTCCTTCCTTCCTTTTTTTCTTTTTCTTTCTTTCCTTCTTTCTTTTTCTTTCTCTTTTTTCTTTCGTTTTTCTCTCTCCCTCCTTCCTTCCCTCCTTCCTTCTTTCCTTCCTTTCTTTTTTCCTCCCTCCCTCCCTCCCTTCCTTCCTTCCTTCCTTCCTTCCTTCCTTTCTTCCTTTTGTCTTTGTTTTGAGACAGCGTCCTGATCCTCCTGCTTCACCAACTTCAGTGCTGGGATTACATGTGTATGCCGACACTCTCAGCAGAATTCTTACAATTTCATCTGTAGATGCTTAGAGTATGAATACGCTCCAGGGAACTGAAGTGAGATCACGTTTACAAACCAGGCTTTCTAAACACTGCATCTCCCCATCCTCCCCCGGAGAACTTTAGATGTGATCCTGCGATCCATGTTGCCACTTTCAAAGCAACATGAAGAACATGAGAGGCATCTGCAGATTAAAGAGGGATGAATTTCTCCTTTTCAACAATGTTATTTTAAACAAGGTAGTTTCTAAAATCTAAATAGCAAGTGAGCTTAACAGGATTTGTAACCAGACCTGCCAAAGTACCTCTTGGTATTCATCAGAGGCAGGCAGTGAAGGAGGAAGCCAGAGTTATATCACAGAGGTTCTGTGTCTTCAGGTGAATCGTCAAAGCGGAACCCCCTATCATGTCTTTGTGGCTAAAATGACTTCTGCGTAGAGCAATCAGGATGGATTTAAAACCTATGAATGGCCAGATCAACGGGCTGTTCTTTAAGGCACTAATTGCAATTTGTAGAAAGAACTCTGGGTACACAGAGATACTACAAAAATGTTTCTTGAGCAAACAAATGAAACTAGACCTCAGTAACCTGACACCCGCTTGGCCCTCCAGCCCCCTCCTCCCGCATCCTCATCTGTACTGTAGCTTCTAGGAGTCGGGAGTTGTGTGTTGTGTCATTTACTTTTTCTAGTCATTTGTTTTTCCTCTGAAAGTGCTTTCCTCACAGCTCCCAGTTCTCCTTCTCATGTTTTTGAACAAGTACCTCTTAAGACTCAGGCCAAGAGAAACCTTTCTCAGGGTCTTTACCTCCACTGCAGGCATTAAATACCATGAGGTAACGGGAGGCTGAATTGCCTGAACAGAATTCTGGATTCTTAAAATGATGAGGTTCAGCACAGTGCGACCCTTACTCTTTTAACATTCATTCAGTACTGAGTTCTTATTCTGGAGGGTGTTTGTCCTAGGTGGTGCATTTTAAAGGGAGATATTGATGAACCAGGGTATATTCAGAATTTAAGCAAGGTTGATGAACAGTTAAACTGAACTTCAAGAACCAGGTACGCATGCATGAAGAAAATCATTGGGAAGAAATAGCAGCTACTCACAAAGATGGGAAAGTATGTTATGGGAAGAAAATATAGATGTGCACAGGATAGCACAATAATTTTGAGAGCATATCAGTAGGGAGAGGGATCTTTAGAACAATTCTAAACTCCTGGCTGTTTTTCTCCCACTAGAATTGTTCAGAGTCTAAATAAGTGAGGCTCGGGAATGCTGCAGGAGCGAATCCCATACAGACTGAAGCCTGAGAGGCATGTTAAGAGGTCGAATCTTTCCAGCTCTTAAAATGCTTTGATTTCTTCAATCTGTGGGCTCTGTTTGCCCTCAGACACACTGCACAGGGGTTCCACACATGGTCACCTAGCACCCTCCTCTGGTGCATCTGATCCTGGCAATCGATTCACAAGACTTAAAATAGTCTTGTATCAATTTTTTTTTTTTTTTGTCTTTTTCCTTTTTATCGGTACCAGGGATCGAACTCACGACTGCCTGCTTTCAAGGCAGGCGCTTATGCCGCTGAGCTAAACCCCCAGCCCCGGTCTTGTATCAATTATCAACATGAATAATACTGATACCATCATAAATCAACAATGTATTAATAAAAAGTCAAAATAATGTTCCATACTCACCGGAAGTCCTGGTGGCCCAGCGTCTCCTACCATTCCAGGTGGACCTTCTGGGCCAGGCAGGCCTCTAAATCCTTTGTCACCTTTTATGCCTTCTGCGTGCCTTCCTGGCGGTCCAGGAGGACCTGGGTCACCTGAATTCACAAAGAGCCTGTCAGTGTTGCCAGTAAGGGATCTGGAAGGTTGTGTCAGGGGTTCCTTTGACATGAAGTGCAAACCCTGTAGCCGCTACCGCTGCAGACATCCTTTCTCTTGCTGTGCATAGTGAAGTGCATTGAAGACAGAATAAGGTAATGCCCAGGAGGCACTGCTTCTTCCTGAGGGCTGTTAGTTAGGGGAGGATCTGTGAGGGACCCGGGGCCTCATGCACTGGACAAGCTCAATCAATGTCGGTCTCGTCACTCTTTTAGCATCATTTGGGTTCCTATAATCTTTTAAACTCTGTCTCAACACCAGCAGCCTAACTGCATGCCATGAAAGAATATGGGATATGGGAAGAAGAGAGAAAATCAGAGCCCAGGGAGATGGATAAAAACATCTGATATCAAAGTAAATCCTCCACCTGGATTTCCTCTTAAGCCTGGTGGGCCTCGGTTTCCTTTTTGGCCAAGGATGACCACCCCAGGTGGACCTGGTGGTCCTGGGAGTCCTGTTACGCCCATAGGTCCTGGAGGCCCAACATCTCCCATGGTTCCCTTCCTGCCAGGGAGGCCAGGCCAGCCAGGGGGTCCCCTCTCTCCTTTGGCACCTGTAAAGAATAAGGCTCCATAAGTTTCTTTCATATTCCTATAGCTGGTATTAGCTTGTAGGTATCTATGATAATGCAGACACTTGAAAGTATTCTTTTGTGAGACTGGTAAATGAAATACAGACTTACAGTTCTTCCTCTGATTGGCCATTTGATCTGGCAAAGTCTATTTGTTTTACAGTACCGGAGATCAAACCCAGGCCCTTTGCACTGAATTACCACCCCAAAGCTTTTAAAATTTGCTTATTTGGAGACAGGGTCTTACTAAGTCACTAATTTGCCCAGATTGGGCCCAAACTAATTTGTGATCTTTTAGCTTCAGCCTCCTCGAGTGCTAGGATTAAAGGCATGTGCCGCCACACCTGGTTCAGTCATTTTACTGTTATAAGTCTCAGCTGTTTTATTTTAAAAGTGAAAGTAATATCTGTTTTCACTCTGTTCTTTAACGATTAAGTGATATAATGCACAAAAAGCATGGCATACATGGGGCAGGCGGGCACACACCTATAATCTCTGCTAACCAGGAGTCTGAGATGGGGATTAAGAGTTGGCCAACTGGGCAATTTAGTGAGACACAGTATCAGAATTTTAAAAATGAGTGAAATTCTGAGGAATGTAGCTTAGTGGTGCAGCTTTTGGCTTGCATGTGTAAAGCCTGGGGTTCAATCATTAGTAAGTTCAAAAAAAAGTATAATTTTAAAGTATTACATAAATATAAGCAACTAAATATATCTTTCTTTTCTTTCTTTCTTTTTTTTTAGACAGGCTCTTGACCTGTAATTCAGGCTGGGTTTAAACTCATTATGTAGGCCAGGTCGGCCTCAAACTCAGTAATCCTCCTGCCTCAGCCTGTCTAACACTCAGATTATAGGCATGTGCCACCATGTCCAGTTTGAGTCTTTTTTTCTGAACAAAAGATAAAAGAGGGCTGAAGATGTAGCTCAGTGCTAAGGTCCTGGGTTCAATCCCTAGTACCACCAAAAAAATAGTTATTAATCTTGTAAAACACACGCATGAGAAATGCAGATTTAAAGTCTGTCAGATGAAAACTGTGTGCATCATACTTCTTTTTCTCTCTCTCTCTTCTTGAGACGAGGTCTTGCCAGGCAATTCAGGCTGGTTTTGAGCTCATTTTGTAGCCCAGGCTGGTTTCAAACTTGCAATCATCTTCCTGCCCCCACCTCCCGAGTGCTAGGATTATAGGTGTGCACGACCAGCAATGATTATCTAATTGTTTTGTTTTATTGGTACTGGGAGTTGAACTTAGGACCTTGCACTTGCCAGGCAGGTGCTTGTGCCACTGAGCTAAATCCCCAAACCTGTGCCCATACTTTAAACAACATATTTAGCAAATTGCTGTGTCTGAGAAGCTGAGAGAGTTACTGGGTAGCCCCTAATAAACAATGGCATGAGTCACACCCTCAGTGTGGGGGTGGAAATCAAATCTAAGAGGGCAACAGTCATTAATGTTACTGTGGGATATCCTGATAGGAAGGAGGGATGCTACCTGGGAAGGCAGCAATTTCCCTGCACCCTTTTAGGAGGTGATGCCTTGAAACCATGCTAACAACAACGATAAGGGAATTACAGACCAGCTCTTTTCATTTTTAAAGGCTTCTGTAGAAGGAAGTTCCGAAATTGGATTATAGCTTCCAATTTGTTCCTTTTACTGTGATGGCAATGATTAAACATTTTTAATAGAATGCTGAAACTATGCAGTGGCACTTTGGTACTCTTCATTATTTGGTTTCAGGAGGCAGGATGAATACCCAAAAGGTAAGTGTTAAACAAAATGTTTTGGCTGGGAAGGACATCAAGTCATTCCACAATTGGCATCCACAAGTTCTAGCTTGGGAAACAGATACTCAATAAATGGCGGGTCCCAGGCCAGATTTTCATGTGACAATCAATGCACTAGGTAGCAAAGGACAACTCTTCACAGGGCATAGTGCCCCTGGGACTGCTTTCATTCACTAGGTTACATTTGTCTTTTACATAATGCTGGATTACATCCCTGGAAATCACACTGGATTTTTGCTCCTAGAAATACGTATCTTTAGGTTGGGGGATGGGGGAAATGCTCACCTGGAGCACCAGGGTTCCCTCTTGGGCCTGGAAGGGCCCCCAGCAAGCCTGAGAGAGATAATATGGACATGTTAATATTTGGTTAATTTTATTAAATTATATATACATGAGCAAAATCTAGCACACACCAAGGACATATTAAAAATCCAGTTCTATCAGAGAAGAACTTTTAGAGAACTGAAGGCTTACAGTGTTCACAATGGTTCTACCTAAAATGAGATCAGGAAATGAAGGACACTGAGCACGTCGTACCAGTTTCTCCCTTTTCTCCAGGAGGGCCAGGAATCCCATCGTGTCCTTGGTCACCTCTTCCACCCATTGGCCCTGGAGACCCTGGCAATCCTGGGAAGCCTAAATAAAACAGAAACCAAAACCCAGGCCAGCATATTTAAGGAGAGGGCTTATTTCCTACCAGCGGCCTAATGTGAATATCCGGGAAATGTGGGGAGCTGATAAAAGGTCTAATCTTTCAGAACTCTAGTTATATGAAGCTAAGCGCAGGGTGAAAACTATGCACAGATTAATATTATCATGAGGATGACTGTGTGGGGATGTGTAGGTTGGCACATATTTGAATTAAATAGAAACAGGTAACCCCGCTTGCCCGAGTTGCTGTTTGGATACAGAGTGACGGAACCCCCTTCTACGAGAGCAGTAAGTGGACAGACTTGAACCTCTGGGGGAAATGTGCTTCCCTCAGGAAGAAGAGTCAGGAGAAGTACAAAAGTGGAACCTGGAGGGCCTTTGATTCCTGGAGGGCCTGGGCAGCCTTTGATTCCTTTGAGCCCCATATCACCAGCGGGACCCGGCTTCCCTAGAAGTGGAGAGACAGGAAGGAAAAGGGAGTAACAAAAGGTGAATTCCAACAGGGAGGAAAACCCTCAGCTCCTTTAGTCAACTGTGTTCAAGCTGGTCCTAAGGAAACCCTCCTCGACAGGCAGAACACCCCAGGCTTTCTTCTTGACAGCTATTTCCCCAGGAAGCCACAGCAGGAGTGCACTGAGTCACTTTCAGTGATGGATGTACTCTCTTCTGCTTACTGTTTTAATTGAAAGTTAACTGCAAATCCATTGAACATTTAGATACTTAAAATGTTATTTTTAAAACAAAACTGGGCATGGTGGTGCATGCCTGTGATCCCAGCACTCAGGAGGCTGAGGCAGGGAATCCTTGCAAGTTTGAGGCCAGTTGGTATTACAGAGTGAGCTCAAAACCAGATTGAACTACATGGTTAAACATTGTCTCAAAAAGACAAGTAACAACAGCAACCATAACAACAACAAAAAAATCCCCTGAAACTAAATATTATTGTAGCCATTACTGATTTCTTATCATCTTGTTTTGAAGTCCAATAATGCTTTTATTCTTTATTTTGATTAATTTTAGTCTGTTTTCTATTATTTTATTTGTTTGTGTGAAAGTATGGACAGCTATTTTGAAGAGAACAAGAGATAGTATGGTAGCCATTACTGATTTCCTATTGTGTGGTTTTGAAGGCCCATATGGCTCTCATTCTTTTGTTTTGATTGGTTTTATACTATTTTGTTTTGTGTTAATGTATTGTGTGTGAAGGTGTGGACAACTATTTTGAAGAAAACAAAAGACATTATGGTAAAAACTAAACAAAAACCAACGAAACAAACAAAAACCTAAAACCTGAAGCTACAACCCAATACTTTGGCAGATGTTTTTAATAAAACAAAACAAAAACTTAAACCCAGATTGTAAGTTAATAAGGAAGAAAACCAATGTTCAACCCAGAAATATGTTAGAAAAAAGGATTTGGAATAGTGTTAAGGTGAACTGTGTTGCCTCCAAGTTCACACATGAAAGTCCTAAGCTCCTGGACCCAAGAATGTCCCTCCGCTGGGCAATGACGTTGTGAAAAAGTGAAGTCACTAGGGTGAGTCCTAATCTGAGTGGTATCTTTGTAGAGAGGAAGAATAGAGAGAGGACTAGGAGGAAATTACCACTTAATGTCAAACAGGGAAGTATCAGGAATTCCTAACCCTGCCAGCACCTTCATCTCAGACTCAGTTTCTAGAACTCAGTTTCTAGAAACTAAATTTTGGTGGTATAAGGAACTCAGTCTGTGGTATTTGTTCTGAAAGCCTAACAGACTCACACAGATCTCATAAGGTTATGCAGGAAGTAATGTTTCATATCTTTAGGCCAAATTCATTGGGGTAGCATTTACAAAGTTTTCCTTGTGGTGCGGGGGCAGGTTTTTTGATGTCATCCCCTCAAACAGAAAAATTAGACTCTTCACCGTGAATTCATTGCTCCTTGATAGCTTAGAATTTACAGTTCAAAGTGTGGAAAACAAACTATAGCACAAGTGACTAGCTTTCTGTTTATAACGGTGATGCCAGAAAGTAACGCTTCCAGCTTGCAGGGTTGTAAAGCCAAGCTCACCTGGTTGGCCAGGACTCCCGGGTCTCCCAGGCACCCCCTCAGGTCCAGCAGGCCCGGGCTGTCCGGGTGGGCCAGGTGGGCCTCTTTCTCCTTTCTTTCCCATGTCACCTGGCATTCCTGGATCTCCCTTAAATTCAGTCAAACACCTTTAAAATTCTCGTATAAGCAGGATACAGGATTAGAATTAAGTACAAACTTTTCTCATTCATTCAGCAGTTCTTGTAAGTGTCTGCTGTGGGCTAGCCTGATGAATGGTGGGAATGAGTTGGCTACATGGTTGGTGGGCCTGATGCAAAATGGAAATGCATTTCCCTTTCTCAGTTTAAAAAGTTTAAAGACAGCAATAACAAAGCATTAAACCAAGGGCAAGATATTTCCTTACTTTGGACCTTTGTAAAAACACATGTTACCCCACTCATGGAGCTGACCCTCACCAGGGTATAATGATAATCTCTACCCACATGTGATATATCACCTCCTGCCGTTCAGGGTGTCAGGGACCAGGGGGAAGACAGATATTAAATAATCACAAATATATAATTATTAATTCTGATAACTTACTGTGGAAAAGAAACCAACCAAATGAACACTGTGTCCTATCAATACTATACATGTAACACATGTATGTCGATCATGTCTAAAAACCCTTTCAATGGTTTACTACTGATTTAATCTATATTCCAGTTATATGATAAATCAGAATGTATAGGTTCCAACAACAACTTATAAAATTTCCATTATAGTTGATAAGATATACTACTCTGTCACTTTGACTTGCTGCCATGATATAACATTTTTGTGTTCAATGTGCAGTTCTAAAAACTTCTAGCGGTTGCCTATGAAAATCCTAAATTTAAATGGTATCAGTAATCAACCTTGCCTAAAGTCATAGAATTTCTCGCTAAGAAAATATCTTAGTGGTCTTTCTGGTTTTCTAAGAATCTAATTTAAATAGAAAGGGAGGCAAAAACTTGTCTCTGTTCTGAGTAATAAAAGGTATCTTCTTGTGTGTGTGCAATGTGTAAAGTTTTTCTTTCTAGCTGTGGCATTTGCTACTGAAAAATATGGAACTTTTAATAAAAACTGGTATTGTATTGACTCAAAAGAAAAAGAGGTTTCCTAAGTCATACACTTTATGTTTTGGAGTCATCTATTCTTGAATATCTGATGAAAAACAGAGGCTGTCCCCTGTAAAAATTTGTGTCTATATACTTGGCATTCCATTCCAGGACGTAAGAGAGTTTCTTGGGATATCACAGATTCCTCCAGGAATCCAAGGAATTCTGCGTTAAAAACTCCTGCTTATGAGAAATTCTATTAATCAGTCTGTACCAGTGTAACTCTGGCCCTCAGTATTACTGCTATGGACAGGAAGACTGGAAGAGCAACCAAGCCCCAACTGAAACATTTGGTTGGTGCTTCATATGACACACCAGGGAGGACTTTGACACCCCACCCATGGCCCATCTGTGGCAGAGCAAAAGGAGGGCAACATTGCAATAAAATAAAAATATTAGGTGTAAGGAATGCAGATGCTTAGAGTTCTAAACAAGAAAGATAAATGGAGTTGTGTTAGAATGTTGCTTACTTTTTAATATTGCTCTACATTTATTTCATAACTTTTGTATCTTAATAAAGCAAGCGGTTTTGATTACCAAATATCTGTCTGTGTGATATGAGTTCATGGTTAAGCCTGGGAACTTTTTGTCATAAGGGAAAACCCCTTGCCTTTCGGGTTATGTGGTTCTGTAAGTACTAGCCCCTGTTGGGAGCACACTTAAATTGCAGGGACAGAGAAATCCCTTGGTGACTGAAACAAGCTTTCCAAAATTGACAATTGAGTAACAGCAGGCCAACTCAGTTGTGGAAATGGGATTTAAAAAAAATCCATATGATTGCCTGAAAATGCAGTAATATTTTCATTTTTTTTTCTGCCCATACTGAATCTGGATATTTATTAATATTTTAAGGGCCACTTTCAACTGCCAAAACATAAATTTTTTTAGTGGCCTATATACCTTTTGTCCTGGAGGTCCTGGCCTTGTGTCTTTTAAATAACCTGGTTCTCCTTTATCTCCTTGGAGGCCATGAATGCCAGGGAGCCCTGGTCTTCCAGGTAGACCAGGGAGTCCTAAAGGTCCTTTTCTTCCTTTAGAACCTGAAATTAGGAAAGATGTCAAGCAAGACAGGTAAAGATAGGAATCTAGAAATGTTCTACTTTAGAACTTTGCATAAACCACCCTTCTCCCCAGAATCTGGGTTTTCAGAATCTCAAATGCATTAGGAAGTTATAATGGATGATTTTTATACAACATAAATATTTATTTTGCTTTCACTAACATGTTAACAAAGGTTTAGGTACCTTTATCTAAAAGCAAATCTGGTTGTTTTACATACAAACCAGATTTTCTACTAAGTGGAAAATCAAAACAGTAACATCGGAATTGTGACCTGATGTTAGCTTGTGGGTTCATAATAGGACCTTAGGCATTACCTGGGATACCCATGTTGCCCATGCTTCCTGGCATGCCGCGTGGTCCTGGTTCTCCAGGATTCCCAGGGCTTCCCAGATCTCCTCTAGGACCTTAAGAACCAAGAGAATAAAAAAGTCCTATGCCTTGCAAGTTCCTGGGCATAGCAGTACTCAGTAAATATTTGTTACTTGCATAAATGAATGAATCCAGAACAGTGGGACCAGTTGGTATAGGTACTTGTTCAGTTAAGCATTTGCCTTCAGATAAGATGAAGACTGGGGAGTCAGTACACATAAGTCCAGAGAAAGTGATATTCTCATCACAGGCCTGGACTTCAGCCATCAACAGCAGCAGGAAAAGATTGGTTTCGGTGACTGCATAATAATGTATTTCCAGAGGCCTACTGAGTTTTATTGTCTAATAGTCTTATTAAGGTGGTAGTAAAGACTTGCATCTTTTTAAAGGTAGATTAGATAAAAAATAAATACTTTAAGGGCTGGGGATTTAGCTCAGCAGCGTAAGTGCCTGCTTGGCAAGCATGAGGTCATGAGTTCAATCCCTGGTACCAAAAAAAAAAAAAAGTTGTCAAAATAAATACTTTAAACTATTAAAGCATTTTAAACTATGCTTTAATGGAATTTTAAACAATACTGTAATAGAATAAACACTTTTATAGTTCAAAAAATTACTTCGCAAACTCAATAATTTATTTTTAAAAAGGAAAGGGCAAATACAAAAAACTTCTAAAGCATTGATTTCCTTTTGGATATGTGATAGTGTGATAAAATATCATTTGTAATGCACATCAATCATTTTCAAATAAAATTTTGACTTGATAAATGAAACTATGTAGAGATTAATATTTCGAAATTAATACATCCCCAAAATAAAACAGCTCCCATTTGGTTTAATTTAGAAGTGAATTTCTGTTAGAACAAAATTGGAGAAGGATTCATAGTCAACACAGAAGTCTACAAACAAGTTTCATGGTATTTAGATCTAGAAAAACTTAAAACATGATACTGCATTAGAGTAAACGCAGTACCTGGTGGTCCTGGTGGTCCAGGTGATCCTTCCAGGCCCTTTAAACCAGGCAACCCTGGAAGGCCTCTATTTCCTTTCTCACCTGGATTTCCTGTAAATCCTAAATTAAAAACCAGATAGTAAAGTACAGGTTAGAATTTTGTCAGACTCATACACATCCTGCATTAAACCAAAAGAGTAATATGTATTTAGACTACGGGCAGATGTAGACCTGTACAATTTTTAAAGGCAGATTAAATAACATAATATATGTGAAAAATGAGCTCAATAGTGGACATGAATTTGTTCTCAAGGACTGCTAACCGTGGTCACATTTACACACTAAAGCATTTTAGACTATAGTGACCGATTTTTTTCAGTTTTCATAGTACAGACAGAACACTACTACACAATCCTCATCTAAACAATTTCACTCTCAGCCCATCCGAAAACATTATTCTTTATTAAGTATTAGGTAAGTGGGAAGACCCTACCTACAGTCATACTGTCACTCAGTGACAATACTGAGATTCGAGGTCATTTCGGAATGGCTAGAAAGCTCATACACTTCCCATTTCACTTTCTCTAAAAGACATGTTTCTGATCATATTGTTTTCTTGCTCATTAATATTCATTCAATCTCTTTTCCCTACAGAAGGAATTACAAACTTCTTTAACTGCATGGAACATTTTTCTACTTGGCTTTCTGCCTTTTTTTCCAGCAGATTTACTTCCTTGGCTCTTGTCTTGCTTATATACTTATTCGTTCATTCACATATGACCTGAGGATCTAATTAATAGTCAGGGCTTGAGCTGAGTACTGGAGATATAAATAAATCACGGTCACTTTCCCAAGTTTTTAGTGTTTAACTGGGGAGCGAGCCAAGTAAACAAGCAAACTGCCACCCAGTAAGATAAGTTTTGTAACAAAGTTGGACACAGTATGCAACAGGAAAGAATTTCTGGAAGAGGCTGGTGTTTTCCTTTTCTTTTTTACCTCAGTCTTGCAGACCAAATGAGAACTCATTGGGAGGGAAGACACGGAATGAAATAGGATTCCTAATATGTAAAGGAGTAGCAAGGGTTAGTCTATTTTATTTTGCACCTCTGCTTTTTTTTTTTTCCAGCCTAAGAATATATACTGTTTAGAATGTTCATTTGCCTCCAATTTGGCTTAGTTCGATATGACTTGAGAGGCAGGGATGCTTTTTAAATTGTTGAAGAGTTAAATAAAAAAAGGTGAAAACAAATAATATGTAAAAGGGACCATTCATATCTGATCAGCACAATCTAAAGCACTTATTACTTGACCTGTACAGAAGATACTACAGATCTATTAATATTTCTTTTCCCTACAAAGTTGCAAGTTTTTATCACGACTAGGATATCATGACCACTTTGGCACCTCTGGGTTTAGCACATAATAAAATGCCTGACCCTAGATATTAAAAAATAACTGTCAACCACACAAATAGCACATTGTAAGAGATTGGTGAAGGACAAGCGGTTAAGAAACTGCTATCCCAGTGCAAGGAGTTTGAATTCTTCAAGCAAGGCGCGCCTTAGAAACATTTTAAGCCAAAAGTTTTATTTCCTTGTCTGAATCCACTCATAATTTAAGTTCCCTGTCATGGAGGCAGCTCTGACGAGCCTCAGTGCTGTGTTTTTTTGCCTCAGTTCCGTAAGAGTTGCTGTCATGGTCACTGGAGCCCAGTGAAGAGATCAAGAATGGTCTCTCAAGTGGTCATATCCATGGGAGGCCCATCTCTGCTACACACGGGAGGGATCACAGAGGACCTCATCCTAGGGTTAGTATGAGGTTAAAGGAGTCAATAACTGTAAAATTCAGCAGAGTACCCATGCACTGAAATGCTGCTTACATCTCTGAGTAACCTGATACAATACACGACTAATTTGCACCTTTTATTATTCATCATCTTTCCAAATCTATGCCTTATTTTTCCATGCACATACCTCAAGAAAAAGACAATAATTCATATTCTCAATATATATGGTAGAAATTCAAATTTTTAAACATGGTCACACTGAAATTATCTTAAATAGCATATTCCTTTTTTATGTGTGCATATTCCTTTTTGGTGTGTTTAATCTGTGCTCCTCAGTTATATATTCAGACAGTTAAGAGGGAACACAGCTTAGATTCATTACTGCACCTCGACAGTAAATTGGGGAATTTTGTTAGGAGCATAGAAATACTAAGTTTCTCTCTATAGTGACATGTTTTTCTTCTGTACTTTGCAAAATGAATTTGTTAATTGTAGGTTAGTACTTACTGTGCATTTAGGCTGTGAGAGTCAAATTTTTGCTTATGTAAACACGGATATGCTACTTGTATTTTCCTCAAAATGTTTCCAACACAGCTGAAATAATGTAGAATAGGCTAGTGAAATGGTATCTATATAGACAGTTTATGAAGACCGGAAAAATTCAACTTATAGGCAGTAATTTTTTTTGCATAAAATTCAGTTATAGAGTAAAATCTTTTGGAGCATCTCTTACTTAATTTCCTGAAAAATCATCGAGTTTGGTACAAACAAAAGATCTCTCCCATTTTTCTCAATGGAAGAGAAAGTAAATACCATTAAACTCTGTTAGAACTTGTCTAAGTCAAGATATTATAGATATAGATATAGATGTACTGGAAAACATTTCCAGTCTTCATAAACTGTCTGTATAGATAACATTTCACTAGCCTATTCTACATTATTTCAGCTGTGTTGGAAACACACAAATTCATTAGAGATTTCTGTGTTTGCACCTACAAAGAGATTTTTCTTTTTATTTCTTCTTGCTATGAAAGTTTGTTTCGCAAAGGTAATATGTCACCCCAACAATTCTCTTTTTCTAAAGCTCTTTCGGAGAAACTACGGTCAAGGGACTAAAAGATTGGCTGGTTTAAAATTTGGATTCATATTGGTTGTAATTATTCATATAGCAAAAGGTCCTGCAAAAACATTTTAATAACTTGAAATAATTTGAATTGACTGGAATATTAGGCTAATAGCCATAACTAACAATTAACAGTATTCATAAGGGGTTAAATTTCCATAAAAACCTATTTTCTTTGTATTACAATCCTCCAAAGGATTTTGAGCATGAGAAGTTTGTAGATGAGATCAGAAAAATCCATCCTGGTAGTTGACAGAATACAAGAGAATTTGGGGTGGAGGTTCCCATTTCTGCCAAAGAAGTTTTCCAGGTGGAACTTTCTAAGAGTTTCATTTTGTCCATGGGGAAAGGGAGTGTAGAGTTGAGGCTTACAGTTTAACAACTTACTAGAGACAATTGAAGTGTAGCAGATCAAAATACAGACTTAGCTTTCTAATAAAAAGCCCTGCACTGAAGAGACAGCACAAGGCCCAGACCTAGTTCCCACTCATCCCCAAAGTGGCTTTGGGAAGGTCACTGGTCAGTCCATCACGGTCCTCTTGTCTACTCCAAGGATTTGCCTGGTGATTTCTTAGTCCTGGATTCAGCTGCAGTGTTCTGATTCTAAATGTAAAGTTCTTTACGTTTGGCATACATAAAGATAAAGACGGCTACTACGAAGAGACTGAGAAACATTATGGTAGACATTATTGACTTCCCCAAAATCAGATCTTGAAGACCTAAAAAGCCTTCATCATCCTGTAATGATTTGATTAGTTCTATAATGTTCAGTATGTATTCAATGTGTATGAAGATGGGGACAACTATTTGGAAGAAAACTAGAGACAATAAGATAAACAGTGAAGATCTCCTGTGGCCTTGCTTAGAAATCTGTGTTTCTTTAAATTGTTTCATTATGAACTGTTTTGTTTTTTTTTGACATGTTTAATCTTACCCTCTTTAAGATAAAAAACAAGTGTGTAGGACTGATAACCACATTATTAAGATTTTGTTGGATCATTGAGCAGAACTGTTTGCAGTGTCATTATTTGAATATCACTATGTATGCTTTAATTTTGTAACTTGAACAACCATTTCTAAGATGACAATATGTAACTTATCAACTAGTGATTTCTTACTGTTTATTTTTCTGAAATTCCGTATTACTTGTACCCTTTTTTTCTTTTTCTGTTTAAATTACAAAAAAAAGAAAAAGAAAAAAAAAAAAAGATTCTTTACCTTTGAGACCTGGTTCTCCTTTGTCCCCCTTTAAGAGGGCTATTTGAGAAGGCCCTGGGTTTCCTTTATCTCCTTGTTCCCCTTTGGCCCCTGGGGGTCCTCTGTTGCCCTTTATTCCTGGAATCCCAAGGTTACCTACCAGACAGAAGTGACAACACAAGCTCTTAATTCTTCAAGTAGTTCACAGTCATTCAAAAGTTAACACAACAACCACAACAAAGATTAACTGTCCTGAGAACTTGGAAGTTTCCCCGGACAACCAGCCATGTACAAGTAACTGACGGGAGAAAACAGAGTATATCCCAATGGCAAAAAATAGTGCAGGAAACAGCAAGATCGAATATGTGGTTCTCTTAGAACTACTTCCCCGCCAAAGAACGAATTGTAATTTATCTTGCTGCTAAGTAAATGGATGCTATTCACACCAGCTGATGTCTGGACACTGTCACTTACCCTTCCGCCCCTGCATGCCTGGGTGCCCTGGAGGCCCAGGAAGGCCCATGGTTCCAGGGAAGCCCATCATCCCCACCACTCCTCTTTCACCTGTGGAAACAAAGGAACAGAAAGCAGCACATGCTACACCAACTGAGAAAAAGAAAATATTCCATAAAATAAAATACACTATACTTGGATGCTGGAAGGTGAAGGCCTGATGTATGTAAATAGGAATCTAGGAGATGATTGCAAATGGTCTTTTTAAGTTCTTCTATTTGGCCATCATCACTAGCAAATCACATTTATGACTGAGAACAGAATTCACTGCAGTTTGAGTACATTCCATCCTATCACCTTCTGATCAATTGTTTCTATTAATTCCCTCATTTTAGATTTTCCGTAGCACAGAAAAGGATACCTGGTGGTCCTAAAAGTCCCGGAGTTCCTGGAAATCCTTTTTGACCAGGTGGCCCAATCTCACCTTGCTGACCTGGCATTCCTGGTGGTCCAGGTTCTCCAGGGAGCCCTGACCTGTCCAAACCTGGAATTCCTGGGTCTCCCTTTGGTCCTGTATCTCCTCTTCTTCCTATGAATAAATGAGGGGATGAATTAACAAACAGATGCTTTCTCCACCAGTTTTCTTTTTGTTTAATATTTGGCTACATGATTTTGGGGAAACCACATGTGCGTGCATGCATGGATACGTGTGTGTGTTTGTGTGTGTGTGTGTGTGTGTGTGTGTAATATCCTCCTTTGTAAAATTTCTCAAGTCCTTTCTGGCTCTAATGTTCTCCTTCAATGAGTCATGTGGTAGCAGAAGTGCAGGATCAATCTCCATCTCATGGTCCTGCAGGCACTGTGTGCAATTGCACCTCATGACTGCAGCTCAGTCCTTCAGCCCCTTGTGGAGGTTAGCCATGTGAGGCTTCTGCAAACAACAGGGCCATCACAGCAACGATGATCCTTGCCAGAAATCTATTTGTGAACATATATGCAGTATGTTAGCTCACTTTCACTAAGTTCCAAAGAATTTCCTTTAGAATCATCGCCAGATCTGGTTGACGGGAAACAAAACACTAGTGTAAGGTTTGCATGATTTGGATCATCTAGCCTGCATCATGCAGATTTCTTTGTTGCTTAGAAAGCAACCAGCTACTGTTATGGATTAAAAACTGGTGATCAACTTAATGCCAGCTGGATTACATCAGCATGGCGCTGAGTGTAGATGTCCCACCTGAGGAAAGTTGTCAGCATAAATAGAGACGTGGAGAAGGAGAAGCTATTGCATTGAGGTGTTGAGGCTTTGTGGGTTCTCCTGCGAGTTGCTGTTTGAGCAATTGGTTCTTCTGGAAAATCTCTGGTCCTTTCATCAAGCATTGCTTCCTGGCTCCAGAGGGGAAGACATGTGCCACTTGGTCTCCAGGATGAACTACTCATGCTGGCTTCCTGACATGTACTCAACTATGTTTATCGTTGGAGGAGCTTGTGGCCTGTGCATTGCTGAGGATGGCTGTGGTGCTTTTCAGGACAGCCCTGGTCTTTGTTGTGAGTGTGACTTCTTGGCTCCAGAATAGAACCCTCAACCTACCAGCACAGCTCCTTCACCTCGCTGGCATGGACTTTCTGGCTTCCACTGCGGATCTCTGGGCCTTCTCAGCATGGATCCGTAAAAAAGACTGATGTGAGTCCTTCTTGTGGGCTCTGGACCTCCAGTTGGATTTATAAGAGGCATTGTCATGAGCTCTGAGTCTTCATCTATACTCATGTGGGACATTGCTGTGGGATTCAGTCCCTTAGCTAAATATTGTATATCTTTGGTGTTGCGGATAGATTTCCTGAAGTTTCTAGTGTTAACTCTGAGTGACCATTATAAAACAATATTATAAACTCCATGTCCTGATTCTAATTATTCTGTGCACAACCCCTGAGCACAACAGCTACACATTTCAGTCTGTAACTTGCTAACCTGGTATCTTCACATTCATTCTATTTTATAGTAAGAAATTAACCCCCTCAGTGCATTTATAGAAGGACTAAAAGTTCAACGTTGTCTGGGAGTTTGTATATACAAAAACATATGTAAATTATGTACTTAATTTTTGTCTTTGGTGTTTGTATTTTCTTACACAAACCAGTACAAAATACTGACTTCAGTCTCTTCCACTATAGGTGGCATACACCACTCTGTGTAGTAAGTCCTTCATTACAAGGTTTCAGTTTCTGAAACAACATTCCTTACTGAGCATCTCTCAGGGTTTGTTTGTTGCTGACCGCTTCCATGTTAAACAGCAAAGAGCAAAGCCACAGGTACACATCACCTGCCTACCTGGTGACTCAGCTACTGTCCCCCTACCTGGCTGCCCTTTTAATCCATTTAAGCCTGGAAGCCCTGGGGCTCCATTGGGCCCCTCTGTGCATATTCCTGGGGGTCCTTTTACTCCAGGTAGTCCAGGTTGCCCTGCATCTCCTGCAAAAGAGAATTCATAACTGTTACTAAAACCCAGTGCCCTAGCATTGCTGTTCCAGTCATTCTTCACCAAATCAGATCCATATTGCATTTCATTAATGTGTCTTTTGTGGGCGGGGGGGGGGAGGAAAGAAAAAAGAAATGTACAGCAGGCACATTGATTAGGAAAATAATTAGTCCATATGGAGTTTATTCATTGAACTAGAAGGTTTTTTGGTGACTCTTTCATTCAGTTTGCTGCATTTTAGCCCAGCTCACAAAGGAAAACATTAATCACTGTTGTTTTTGTACCTCGAGGTCCATCGAGGCCTTGTTTGCCTGGAATTCCACGAAGACCTGGAAGCCCAGGGAGTCCAATTTCTCCATTTTCCCCTGAATCGCCTCTTTCTCCTGGAAGACCTGGCATTCCTGGTTCTCCAGGTCTTGCCAATCCTGGTTCTCCCTGTGGCACAGAAGCAATGTTAGTTTGACCTCACGATGCTTACAAGTCCTCCTGATACTGGCTGCTCCTAGGGCCATCTGGAATAACCTGTCCATTACAGATGCACTAAGTCCCTCTCACAGTCACTTCCACCCAATCCATGTTCCCTTTTCAACTCCAGTTGCTCATTTTGCTAAAAAAAATTACGTTTCCTGATGCTTCAGGATGTGTAGTTTCCATCTTTTGAGACAACTATGACATTCTCTGTAAATAAAAAACTACGTATCTTTACTTTCGATGGTTATTCTCCTAGGTATTCTTTCTGTAGTTCTTCTATTTTATACACGCTAATGTGCCATTGAGGGTGGAAGAGATGCAAACCTGCCTTCTAACACATTCTATTTTCCTTTCTAAAAGGGAAGCTGGCCCAGGGAAACTTACAAAAAAAATTAGCATCTTCACCATCTATGAATATATTGATCACTTCTACACCCAGAGCATCCCGCCTGGCAGGGCATCCTAACTCATCAATCGTGGTTGCCTTCTCCCTCCAAGTCAGTCAAGTTTTATTTCTGCAGACCTTGGCTCCCGGGAAGCCTGGCTCTCCAGGGAAGCCAGGCTCTCCCATTTTCCCTGGACAACCTGGGGATCCTTTCATTCCCGGAAAGCCTTGATCTCCTGCAGAGGAAAACAAGCAAACAATAAACACTGGATATTTCAAATTCTAAATCCTGTAAACTCTGAGCAGTCTGACTTTTATTTCATTTATTCCCACTTACGAAGCTAGAGAGAGATGTTTGTGTGAGTTTGAAGCATGACAAAATGAACTGATAAATAAGCAATTAAAATATATTCGGTTCCTAGTCAGATTGTGTTGGGTTCTACCTATGTTTAAAAATTGTTTTTGTTGTTGTTTGTACTGTTTAGTGGGCTGTGATTATGTTTTAGCACTTCTTCAAACCACTGATGCTAATTGGCCATTTAATCAGCTTTATTTTTGAAGTCTATTTATACAAACATTGTTGTGCTAAATGGATTTTTATGTGTATGTCTATACAAGTATGACTCAGGTTAAGGTAGAGAGCTTTTTCAGGATGCTAGGTAGCTTTTCTCAGCAGAGTTTAAAAGCCTTTGTAATAAATTGGGGTATGTGAGTGTACATACATGTGCACCCACATGTGTACCCCTACATCCACAAGCATACACATGTGCTCTGCCACCAGCCATACCCCGAGTTTTATTTGTGATGTCATCATTCATTTCTTATTTTTAAAATATGTAAAGGGAAAAGTATAAATGCAAAAAGTTCAAAACAAAAGAGAAAAAATCCTGATAATCCCACAAACAAAAAGAATTATTATTGGGCTGGAAATGTGTCCCCGTGGTAGAGAGCTTGCCTGGCATTCACAAGGCCCTCAGTTCAGTGGCCAGCACTGCAAAAAGAAAATCACTACTTCAATTTTGGTGAATTACCTTTCAGGTTTTTAAAAAATTTTTAAAATTTAAAAAGTATGATTGAAATGAGATTATATCAATCAATATAAATTCTGTCTTGTCACCTAATATTGTTATAAGATTTTAAGATACTTGGAAAATGTTATGTTTTATAAGCTATTGTAGATATTTCCTCTTCTATTCACCATATATATTTATGACTTATAAATGTCCTCAATGAACCTTATATTTTAAAAGTTTTTAATTTACCTTTCAGTCCAGGGGGCCCAGGAAATCCAATTCCTGAAATTCCAGGTTCTCCCTTAGGTCCAGGAAGTCCAGAATCACATTCTCCCATGGATCCAGGGATACCTTAAAAGACACACACACACACACACACACACACACTAGCAAATTTTCTTCACTTATTTTAAAACAAAATGTCTAAATTCTGTCAGCCCAGCCTTTGTGGAACTTAAATAATTTTAACATAATCCTAAATGTATATCCATCCTACTCACCCCTATCCAATGACTAATCATTGGGAAATAGAAAGCATTTTTTAGAGTGTATTAACTCTAAAAGGCATTCTGTCTCAAACTGAATGTGTTCTTCAATGCACGCAAAATTAAATTTTAGATCACATTAGCCAAAATTAAGTTTCAAATGAATGTGTTGTAGAAAATATTCTGATAAGCTGTGACAGCTTTTCTACCAAAGATCCATGAACATTGTTCTTTTCATGAATTTCTATTCACTATATTAATTCTCCTTCAAAATTTTTATATCGTAAGTCCCAGAGGAATAATTTCCTTTGAGATCAAAGGCAAACAGCAATTTCCCTTCCTACTTGTTTATCTGACAAGGCTTCGGGCTGTGTTTTCTTTTGGAGCCATTAAATGTATTTTTCCTTATAATGATGATAGTATTTTTTCCAAGAAAGTTAGGGCACCACCTTACGTCATATACCAAACTTAGCAAAAGGAATACTCACCAGGTGGACCTTGGGGGCCAGCATGCCCAGGGGGCCCTGGAGGTCCTGGGGGCCCTAGGATAGGTGTTGAAATGCTGGATTCTCCCTTAGGACCTTAAGAAAATTTGTGATCATAAGATTGGGGTGCATATTTAAGCTTTTCTTAGGTAAGAGGGAAATACGATTGTAAGGAATTTACAAACATATCCTAAGTGATATAGAAATAATCTGTTTCCATAGGCTTCAAAACTAGTTTAGGGATGATTACCCACAGAAACTTTCTCATTCAGTCAATAAATATTTATAAGCATCTGCTATTGCCCAAGCTTTGTTTTAATGCATAGTCCAACAAGCCAACGTATTGAATAAGAGTGTATTCCAAAAAATTCCTACTATTAATTCTGATAGGATATTTATTTATATTTTGGGTGACTAATTTTCATAGGAAAGCAATGTGGCATACTGAACACAACAGTGCCTTCATATGCTGATCTGAATTTGACACTTACAACTACTGCTTATAAAGGTATGAGTTTAGATGCACTTTTAAATCCCTCTCCGTCACCTGGAAAATGGTAATGATCTGGCAGATAAGGATTAAAAGACAATGTCATGACCACAGTGGCCACCATTACACCATAGTGATTCGTCTTGTTCATCTAGTCACATGTTTACAGAAAGAAATATGGCTCTGTGATAGAAAAATTTGTTAATGATATATTTTGATGGTGAGGTTTTCCATTAAAAATTCACATTTAGAATAGAAGAGAGCTGCATATGCTTTAGAACAGGAGTCAATAAACATTGTCTCTAAGGGTCCAACAGTATATGATTCAGGCTTTATGGTCTTGATCTTTGTTACAAGCATCCAGTTCTGCCATCAGGAAAGCAGCTAGAGGTGACACGGAAATGAATGAGGGTGACTGTAAGCCAGTAAAACTCAGGTTCCATAATTCTTAATGTGTCAAAAATACTCTTAAATTTTAAAAAAGTTATTTCAAAATTTAAAACTATTCTTAGCTTATGGAACATACAAACCAGTTAGTGAGTTGAATTGGATTCTGAGATTAGTTTGGTAATCCCTGGATTGAAACAACAAACTCCAAAGTAGGGCACAAAAATGTAAATAAATATATCTAACATATATGATAATATAACATATTATTACATATTACAGTGCACTATATTATTACATATTATATATTATATAACAAGCTATTATAATTATGTAATATATATAATTATGCATTGCACACTATATAAATTATAAAATAAGCTTTTATATATGAGGAAATAATATATTTACTTTATAACATACATACATACTTTATAATATAACAATTACACCTATATGAAGTTGTAATCTCAAAAGGTTTTATGAATTACACTATATAACATGATTGGAGACCATGAGTTCATTGGGTTACACACTTCAAAGTAACTTCAGAAGTAAAAACATGACCATAGTGACCTATTAAAATTCTCAGTAACATGCTATTACATCTTCTGTCATATTCTCAGACACAAACACAAAGGATGAGATTCAGTACCTGTGGTTACCAAAAGTTGCCTGGACTTTAAAACTATTATCAGACAAGTTTTCTTCTTTTATTTTAGATATTTTAAAGTTTTGGGTATAACACGCCCTACTGAGTTGCAAATGAGAAAGAACAAATTTGTCATAGTGTTATTGGGAACTTGAGGGCTATAAAAGTCTTCTCTAGATTAGATTATGTTCTTGCTTCCCCTGGGTGAATCACAGTTGATTTCTGCTTAACCCTTAAGGTCTAATGTTCCATATATTTAAGTAAATATGGACATATTCTATCCTTGGAGATCCTAACTCAATTATTCAGTAATAGGTAAAAGTAGATTTTCTCTGACATATTCTACATATGCTATTCCAGAGTGTATGAGTTGACATGTTGTATTTGTTAGAAACAAGTTTATGCACATATACTCCATAGTCTTGAAGGCAGTTTGTTAGTGCTGGGAGCCACCCACCCACAGGCAAACAGGACTGGAAAGAAAACTAACCAACCGGCTTTTCCAGGCAGTCCCAGGGCTCCAGGAACTCCTTGGGTGCCCTTTGGACCTGGCTCTCCCTGGAGTCCATAGCCAGGTGGTCCAGCTGGTCCTGCAGGTCCTGGGGGTCCCGGGAGGCCAGGATCTCCCAGAGGACCCCGGTCTCCCTTTTCACCACTCAGGGCCTGTGACAACAGGAATATGTTTGCATGGTGCTTTATTCCAGAGTTTTCTTATTACAGGTTCATTTCACTCTAATATGAAAAGCAGCTAGGCTGTCATCAAGAAGCTCTTCAATTAAAAACCAGTTGGCATTTGATGGGAATTATTACTAAAATAAGGATGCTATAGGCTTCTGCCGTTTTGTGCAATATTAGAATTCAGCAATGTTGTATGGGTTGCAATTGTCTTCAGTTACACTTAAGATGCCCCACAAGGACATGTCTCCAGTGTAACAGCCACTAAAGTCAGCTCAATTTTTTTTTTTTTTTTTGATACCAGGGGATCGAACTCATGACCTTGGGCAATACGTTCAAATGGATCAACAGTTCAAATGGCTTTTGAGGCAACATTCACGCTACTGGTATATTTCTGAAATAGAACCAGCACAGAAAGACTTTTACATAGTTTTTACCAGGCATCTTTACTACAAAGATGATATTTTTTTTTTTTTTGGTTTTTTTTTTTTTTTTTGTCTTTTTTTTTTTTTTTTTTTTTTTGGGGGGGGGTACCAGGGATTGAACTCACGGCTGCCTGCTTGCAAGGCAGGCACTTATGCCGTGTGAGCTAAATCCCAGCCCCCCAAAGACGATATTTTACCTGTATTAAATTTTTCCTCCTAAAATGTCTGCTCTGTTTTTCAAAAAATCCATACACTGTCACTTTGAAAGTGAGTCTGACATTTGAAAGAAGTTGAGATTGACAATATAATCAAAGTCGTCTTCTTGCCAAGCATACCCTTTACAAATCAACTTGACTGAAGTTTTCATTGTCCAGTGTCATTGGGCAGCTAAATGATATTTTTCTTCATTTTTTTTTCTTTTATAATGACAGGACCTGACTCAAGAAATAATCTCTTTGAATTTCTCTTAATTATTTCTGGAACATCTTTTCTAGAGCTTCAAAAAGGAAATTTAGTGAGATGCAGATAGGAGAGTCATATGAACACTAGTAACACTTGATCAAAAGAACTATACATATTTGCCTTCTTTAAGCAAGGCTATCACAAAGTGGATAGCCAGGGGTTTGCCCAGATAAGAGCTGAGAACCCCTGACTGTGTAGATGCTCCCAGAAAGCACTATTTACCCAAAATCATATATTGACTACAGACTGCAGATCACGTTTGTGTTATTAAAGGGCCTATAAATGAATGTGTTAATTTACTTACCCAGGTTCCCCAACTTGTTCAAGGTGAGACCCTTTTTGTTGGATAAATCTGATTAACCTTGGAGAAATTGGTATTTCATAGAACAATTGAAGCAAACTTCCCACAGATCCATTGTGAAAGGCATTTAGTTTCTCATTCTATAGCATTTTTTAAAAGATCTGGTTGGTATTAACTCTTAATTGAACATACAAGAAATTTTATCCCACGAAAGGAACCAAACTTATATAAATGAAAATATTTTTGGGTTACTTTTTACATCTCTATATATCTATATTATATATATATATATATATATATAGTTTTACTTTTGGGGGGAGTACCAGGCTTGGAACTCACAACCTCACGCTTGCCAGACAGGTGCTGGGCCACTGAGCTATATCCCTAGTCCTACATATTGACATATTTTAAATAGCAAAACATTTGCTGTCTTTATTTCAGTGCAATATTCTTTTTTCACATTTCTACATTTATTTTTACTTGAAAAATGAACATTGTCTCAAAATATTTACTAAAAATTTCCCATTAGTCATTTTTTCTGAGCTTTAGAAATTCATTTGATATAAATATTATAAATATTTGCTTGAGTAATTGCTGCCAATTCAAAAAGATGCCTCATCTCTGCAGCTAAAATGATGAACCATCTTTGTGAAGGAAATCATTTATCTGTTAATTTCTGAGCATTTCATCTACAAGGGGAGTACCTTGGTTAAAATTGCTAAATACCAACCGGTTTGCCTCTAGGTCCTGGTAATCCTTTCTCTCCTGGAGTTCCAGGGATTCCATCCAAGCCCTTTCTCCCGCTCGGCCCAGGGAGCCCAGGATCCCCTGGAGCACCCACTGGCCCCTGGGGCTGAGGTGTTTCACCTTTTCGTCCTTTAAGTCCTGGAGCTCCCTGAGCACCTGGGAATCCCTAGGGCGGTACAGAAAGGGGTCTGCATGGTGTTTTGATAGCGTGGTCCTGTGTCGGTCTTAAAACAGTCATGAGAACTACCCAATTGCAATCAACATGGATTGTTTTACATAGTTTCATTGGTTCACAAATATCATTTGAAGCTTTTTATTCATATTGCTTTGTTTTTAATTTCTGAAACTAGAAAGAACTCAGTTAAACAGTGCAATACAATAAACAAATAATAAAATCCAGTGTGATACAGCAATCATCCTTCAGATAATTGATTATTGGTTAATTCATCTCTCAATAATTTAATGTGCAGGTATATTCATCCCATAACTTTCTGGTTCACTATAATAATCAATATTTTAATTTTTAAAATCTTTATTTTATTGAAGTATAATTTACATGCTCTAAAATTTATCTTTTGTAAGAGTACAATTCAGTGATTTGTAGTAAATTTACAAAATTATGCCACAATCACCACAACCGATGTTAAAAAAAACCCACATTACTATCATTCCCCTATTTCTGTTAATCCCACCTTCAGTGCCAAACAAAGACTCTTCTGCCTTTTGTCTTTGATACCATTTAATATGATTTATAAATTCATTAATTCATGCCTTATTCATCTACTTAATTAATGCCACTGTTTGCCAATCAATTAAACGCCTAGAATTTGCCACACAAAGTGATCATTTCTCTGTGAAGTGATCTTATTTTCAGGGTGTTCAGCTTTTTAAATGAAACTAGATCTTTAGAACCATGAAATCTTACAGGCAATCCAGGGACACCTGGGCTTCCTGGGGAGCCTGGGCTTCCTTTCACGCCAACTGTACCTTGTCCTCCTGCAAAGCAATGCATTATCAACTATGGACATCAACTCTGAGTGGCCAGAATGATGCCAGGTAGGAAGAAAATTGGGTGTTTCTTAGGAGTGAAGAAAGTCCAGTTCCTAGCATAAAACACACATTGCAACAGACAACAGGCATAAAAAGTGGAATAAGATAATATAAAAAACAAGAACACTTAGAGCTGAGCTTTCCAGCATTCTCATCTGGGTAATTTTAGGGACATACACTTACTGTTTCTGATATTAAAAGTAATATATGCTCATTGTAAGAAAATTACACAGAAAGAAGAAAATTAAAATCATCCATAAATCTACCATCAGAAGGTAATGTTTGTTTAGTTTTGATGTATATTATTCAAGCTTTTATGCCCTTCAATGATTAAGATCACACACATAAGATATAAGGTGATATAGGGTGATATATAAATTATTTTGGAATTATGTACAAAATAAATACAGATTTGTAACTTCATTTTAAATAGCTACATAATAGCCTATTGGGTGGATGAGACACATTTGTTTAGTGAACTGGTTATTTCTTTTCTAATAAATTCTTAAAGTCTACCTACAGGGCCAAATGGGCACAAAATTTTCTGAGGCTCTGGATTTCCTTGTCAAATTGCAGTTGACTTGCAATTGCATATTTATTATGGTATCTAAATATCTCCAGAGAGATGATTCTTTTAATGATCTCTTGGGTGGCTCTCAGGTCAAGTTAGTCAACAAATATTTATCTGTATTCCATATTTTTTAAGGTACAGAGCCAGGATTTATTTTTAAAGCAATCTAAAGCAGAGCGTTGATTGCATAACTTCTCTGAGTTCTACCTGTCAATGCCAAATGTGTAGAAACGAAATAGAGTAAAGCAATCAGTGCATCCTTGCACATGGGCCAGAGGTGCCAGGGAGATATAGAAATATACAGATTTTTAAATCTTTGGTCCTTTTTCTCCTTTCTCTCTCTCTCTCACAGGTGGGAGTTTTAGTAGAAAATTTCCCCCAGAGACATGGGTGCTGCTTAGACGCTGCTTGGGGAGCAATCTGCCCACCTTCCCCTTATAGCTCCTCTCTGGAGCCAAGGCAGTGGCAGCCAATGCAGACCAGCTGAGGGCTTTATAAGAAGTGGGTGGGACTTGAAGGTGGCAGACTGTCCCTGCCCAAGGTGTACATCCTCCCTGATTGGCCAACCATCCTTCCTCTGGTGTACTCTGGGTTAACTCCCCGCAAAGGACAGCTCCTGAGGAGGCAGGTAACAGTGCAGGCAGTGATGGAGGGCAGACCATGCCTCTGGGGGAGGATGCTGCCTTTGATTCCCTGCTCCTCTGCTTAGTACTGCATTGTCTTGTGCCTCGGCTTCCTATCTGTTGAATGGGATTCATGATAGCAACTGCTGTACGATCAATGTGAGAACTAAAGGAATGGAGGTTCATGGCCCTGAGCCTAGTACCTTGCACACTGGACACTCACTAGTAAATGATAAATAAATAAACTGGTGGTGTTTGAAGACCGAGGTGTTGGTGGAGGAGTCCAGACTGTGTGTGGTACCCCAGGAAACCCCCAGAGCAGCCAAAGAGAAGGGACGGAGGAGCTAAACCAACCCAGACAGACTTTGTCTACTTCCAAGTCCTGCCCACGGCCACTCTTGTGACCAAGGGAAGGGCAGTTTGTCAAGCAGAGATCACAGAGGTGGAAAGTCATGACTGGGGAGAGAGATCACTAAGAGAAGGCCCGAGCCAGGCTCTATGTGGTCCGCAGTAATTTGACCTACGAATGTTTTAGTTTTTTTTTTTTTTTTCCTCTTCAAACATTACTTTAAGATAACATTAGATTTTAAAATCTTGAGATTTCAGATGAACATCCTGGTTTACTTCTTCTCACGAAAACATGGGCTTTATTATGACAAGGTCTAAATGTTAGAAAGTACAGTAGGCTGCAGCTGAGTGCCTCATGTTCATCTTAAATACACCTCCGTTTCCTGCAGTCACCACACTCTATTGTCTCCAGCACAGGGACAGGATTATAAGGTTCATTGCACTTATACCCTTTAAAAAAAGTTGAAATACTATATATGTCCATGTCTCTAAATAATAGGAACGTGCGAAAACAAAACTAAGGAGACCATGTATGTTTGGTATGGTTGCTTCTTTGAAGTTACATGGTGGTTTCCAGTAGGAATTTGTGTTTACAAGGCCTAGCTAAAGTAATATTTTACTAGCATTCAGCAACTAAATGGGTCAAGGAAAAAAATACCAGCTTTTATATGATTTTGGCTGACTTTATTTTAACAGAATATGTTTTTGAATCTCTCCCTCCAACTTTATCATTTGGGCAGGATAAAACCATTTTTAAAATGTCAAAGTGAGTTTAAAACAAAACACAAAAACACAAGCTTTGAGCACACTGTCCATACCTGGGATTCCTTTGATACCATCTAACCCCCGCAATCCTGGGAGACCTGGAGATCCTGGAACATAGGGGCATTGTACACAAGGAAGGCCTGGTTCTCCTGCAGGAAGAGTATGTGTGTGTTACTGCAAACCACACGGAATCCTCAGGAGAACAGATAATTTCCACTTACCCAATCATTTGTTACGCTTAAAATATTTTTACATAGTGAGATCCACCTAGGACATCATATTTATTAAATAACAAAAAATCATATATCTGATTAGTTTTTTGTTCTGAGATACACATTTCTGGCAGAGGAAATTCCAAGAATCTAGCCAAAACAATGACTATTTCAGAGTTTCTGTCCTTATCTGTGGGATAAAACTCATGCTAAGGCTATCTAGTATCTTACGGTACACTAAGTGAATCACTGATTTGCAGATACACTCTAATTCTTTTGGAAAAGAGGCCGTCCCTGCCTGGCTGCAGCTTGGGATCAGTCAGGAGTGAAAAGTCAGTGACAATGGTGGCCTCGTCCACTAGAACCACAGTGTTCCTTGAACCAACCTGTGGGCCCATCAACTCCTGGGATTCCCAGAGGTCCTAATGGGCCTGGCAGTCCGCGGTCACCAGGTGGACCACTGTGAAAGATGATATCACCTGTAAAAATAACAGCAGAGGCATTTGTAGTGTGTTTTTCCAATTAGCAAATGCTTTCATTTATGTATTATTTTATAGGCATTTTTATCATCTTTGTATTAGAAGCTGAGTCTTCAGAAGTTTATCTGCAACTGAAAAGACTGATGCATGCTGACCAGTTCTTCCTTCTGTATTACACAGATGTGTGTGTGTGTGTGTGTGTGTGTGTGTGTGTGTGTGTGTATGTTTTGATACAGGTATGGTTGTTCTTTGAAAGCTCACTATATGATATTTTTGTCACATTACCAACCTACGTTATCTTATTCAGTGTTTTCAGTTATTCCAACACCACCCTATTAGTATCTTGAGGCAAAAGATGAAATATGACTCTTGTATTATGTTTGCTCAACTAGGAAGGGAATGCCAATTTTAGGATCTAATTTTCTGCATCTTTTTTTTTTTATCATGTCTTTCTGTCAAATTTTCTATGAATAATAAATGGCTCTTTCTTCTAAAGAAACAACTTTTAAACACCATTGTCTATAAAAGATTTCTAAGAAGTCTTTTAGAAGGGTGGAATATGAAACAGAACCTTCTCAGGATACAGGTTTTAAAACAGCAGCGAGCTGGGTGTAGGGGCACTCTCTGGGAGGCCAAGGTGGAAGGACCCCAAGTTTGAAGCCAGCCTTATCAACTTAGTGACTTAGTAAAACTCTTTCAAAAGTAAAATATAAAAAAAGGCTGGAGATGTAGCTTAGTGCAAAGGCCTTGGATCCAATCCTGACTATTGCAAAGAAAAAATCCTGATCTTTGTGTTCAGGAGCTCTGCACCCATGAGCTGGCATGAGTCACAGGGCACTTCAGATCCTTTGACCACACACCTCTCTGCTCTCTTCTGACAGCATCTCCTCTCATGCCTACACTATACCTCTGGCCTCCAGTCCTGGGGCTTTCCTTTGATGCCAAGGCATGGGAAACCATGCAAACACGACCTGAAATGTGCATGTGTGTCTGAATGGTAGGATTGGTTAGTCACGTTCTGAGGGTGTGTCTGAATGGTGGGATTGGTTAGTCACGTTCTGAGGAGCAAATCTTGACCAGTGGGAAGCAGGAGCTGGTGATAAATAAATCCTTGCCTTTTCTTCCCCTGGGACAGACTGTCCTGGTACAGCTTTGTAGGAGATACACTGTAGGGGCTGAACAAGCAGTTGCACTCGGCCACGGTCAACATGATAACCAGCTGTCCTTGCTGGCTTCTCTCCCTGGTACCTGCATCGCTCCTGCTCTGTTCTAGGAGGAACTCAGGGAAAGACTTGGTGGCATCTGCAGTCAGCACTGCACCACAGTCTCTCTCACAGGCAGTTACTAATGTGAAATGCCATTGGGAAGAGTACTGACCCTGACCTGTCTGCACCTGTCATAGGATGATCTACACAGAAGGGTCCTCCCCGTGCATCTTTACCTGGAGGTCCTGGAGGGCCTGGTGACCCTGAAAAGCCTGGTGAACCAGGACTGCCTGGGGCCCCAGGAGGCCCCACGGAGTCCATTCCTGGGGTCCCTCGCTCGCCTTTGCTTCCTTTCAAACCGGGCGTTCCGGGGACTCCTCTAAGGCCAGGCCTCGATGGTCCTTGGAGAAAATGTAAGTTGTGGTATTTTAACTTCTTTTCTGATGAATGTATAACTTTTTTTCAGTGGATAAAGTGCTGTGTTCTCATATACAATTGAGAAATATATAAAACATATAAAATGAAAGGTGATGTCTTACTTCCGTCACCAATGGCCTTGTTAAACTAGATCACAGTGTGTCAAAGGGCAGAACACTGTTCCAACACGTGATTTACGTACTGTGTTATGAGGAGTTGGAAAAGAGTTTGGGGGTACAATAGAGAGTTGTTATAAGGACTCATGTGAAATCCTTCCATATATTCTATGTTTTTCATTTTTTAAAAATTAAAGACTAGAATCAGTGCCTCAATTGAAAGAGACAAAAAAATTATTGGATTTAATTTCTGCCAGCTGTTTTAGGCATAAAATGGGGTAGATCTGGGTGTGGTGGTGAACACCTGTAATCCCAGCACCCAGGAAGCTGAGGGAGAGGGATCACTATGAGTTGGAGACCAGCCTGGGCTACGAATTGAAATCAAGGCTGGTCTGCACTACATAGCAAAATTGTGTCTCAAAAAGACCAAAAAAATTTTTTTTGTTTTACTTTTTTCCATAAAAATTATATATATATAAAATATTATATATATATATATATATATATCCTTAGTATACTCACTATCTAGCCTAGATTGGCCTCAAATTTGGAACACACTTTCTGTCTCAGTCTCCCAACTGCTGGGATTACAGGTGTGTGCCACCATGCCTAGCTAAGAATTTCTAAATTAAAACAAAATTAAACAGCTACTGTTACCTAACCTGTAACCCCTCACTTTGTAGTAATGATCATTTTTTAAAATGAGACAGAGAGCCAGGCATGCTGGCACACTCCTGTAATCCCAGCACTTGGGAGGCTGAGACAGAAGAATCATTTACAAGTTTGAGACCAGTTTGGGCTACAAAGTGAGCCCAAGTCCAGCCTGAACTGCATAATGAGACCCTGTGGCAAAAAGAGAACAAAAAAAAAAAAAGAGAGAGAGGGAGAATGTGGGAGGATAATTGGCAGCATTTCATAGTCTGCACAAAGGCCAACGATGGTCTAAATCTAGCCATGTCAGTTTGTGTCAACTTCTGCTTTCTTCATTACCATTAATCACAAAGATAGTAAGAAGCTAGAAATGTATTTAGATCAATTGAAAGAACATTAATTTTACATAAATAATATAAATTTAGTAGAAAGCACCATACTTTTTTAAACAGTATTTCTATTAGTATTCTTCTAAACATAAACATACCACGGCTTCCAGGAACTCCAGGAGGACCACTAGGACCTAGGAATACATAATATGACTTCATGAGTTACAAGGAATAAATGTTCTCCTGTCCATTTTTGAAATCTTGAGTGACATTATAATAATCAGTATAATAAAGAATTTTTGTATTTTTCCCCCACTGCCACATGGATAAACACTAGGAAATGTTACTTTTTTAGTCAAACAAATGAGGAAACATTCTCAGATATCTAAGCCTCAAAATAAAGTAAGCCACCTGGTCATTTTCACATAATTCAGCAGAGATTTGCTATCAGCATGCTCTGTATTTAGCACTTTGGTGGGAGTTCAGATGAGAGAAAAGCAAACACCACTGGGATACCAAGGACATGCAGTTTGTCTTTGTGCTTCATCTTAGATCCCTTCTAGCTTCAATCAAATAATATACATTTAGATGAGTTATTTATAGAAGTATACCAGATACATAGACACAGATATTCAGTGTCTATAATAAAAATATAATATAAGGAACTTTTACTCTTTAAGTAAAATCCTCACTTCAGATTTCATTTATATTAATAATTTGCCTACCTCAGTGATTCTCTTCCTGGTTGGACATTAGAATAATCTGGGGGAGATTTTACAATCTGTTAGTCTCCAAGGGCCTCTTCCATACAATAAAATCAAAATCTGTTATGGTGTAGATCAATACTGCCACCCAAAGCCTCATGTGTTCAGAGGTGGAACTTTCAGAAGGTAACTGGATCTCTATACTCAGCAGAGCTGAATGTACTGTTACAAGGTGAGGTTTAGTAAGCAGAGGCTCTTCTTCCCTCTCTTTGCTTCCTGGCTGTCATGGGTGAGTAGCTGTCTTCTACCCAGGCTCTTCCTCCATGCTGTTTCTCCTTAAAGCCAGTGGACCATGAATGGGAACTATGAACCAAAATAAGCCTTCCTTTCAGTTGCCAGTGTTGAGTACTATGTCTCAGTGATGAGACGGGGACCAAAAGAGATTCTGGTACCAGATTTTGGCCACTGCTGTGACTTTACCTGATCATGTGGTTCAGAGGTCACTGGAAGCAGTTCACGGGAAGAGTTTGGAAAGATGTGGAGATGTGGGCTGGAAAAGCCCAAATGCTACAAGCTGAGTTTGATGAAAGATTCTAGTGATAGTTTGGAAGATCAGAATGCTGATGATAATGAAGATAGTAAAAGGGTTAGGAGGTTTCATTGAGAACAAGAATTGTTTTGACAGTTGAACTAAAGGCTAAATGTACTACATTTTGGCAGAAAATTTGTCCACATTTCATCCATATTTTACAGTCCTGTGACTGCAGAAGACTAAGATTAGAAGCAGTGGACTAATTATCTGACAGAATAAATTTCAAGGCAGCCTAAAATTCAGACTGTGTCATGGATAATGCTGACAACTTTTAACCATATCTACTATGAGAATCAGGAACAAAAACCAGAGTTGAATAATTTGAAAAACTTTGCTCATGGTCAGAAAGAGAGTATTTGTAAAAACTCCCTATAAATGGAGCTCAGGATAGCTTGGTTGATGAAAACATTAGCTTTTAAAAAAAGCCAACTACTTTGCACCTGGACACTAGGTAAGATGTGTGAAGGCATTATAAGAATCAGCAAGACCTTACCCTTTGTGAGTTCAAAGGTGAAAAAGTAAAAGACTTTGTTTTGAGAAGAGAGCCTCAGGGAAACTAGTTCATTCAGTGCCAACTAGGAAAGAGTTTTCTGGAGTTCAGCCATTGTGGTACTCAGAGGCTTCTACAGCCATGATACAAGGGGGCCTGGCAACCGCTCTTGCTGGCAACAGAACTTCACATCATCCACATGGTACTGGTATGATAGACATGAAGAATACGAAAATCAGGGGTCAAGGAAGAACCCACTCAGATTTTAGGAGGCAGCCTTGGAGACCAGAAATATGATTCTGAGAGGGCAGTATGTGAAGCTGTGAGTAAAACTGAAAGTGCAGAAGAGATCTCAGGAAGTTGGAGATAGCAGAAACATGAAATGTCTGTTGAGGAAAGCTTAAGGTGGTGAGCAGAGTCACCCCTAGAGAGAGGTCATGAAGACTGCAACCCATGATGCCCTAAGGACAGGGCCACACAAGCCTGTTAGACTTCACCTCTGACCACAACTTGCACCAGGTGCTATACGTGGGGCTACTGAATTTTGTGTTTGGACTTTTGAGTCCTGGTCTTTCTTTGGTCAGAATTCTATTCCCACTATCTCTACCTTTTGCAGGGGGAATATTTACCCTCTGCCATTGCTTGTTATTAACTTTCTTTTTGATTTTCCTAAGAGCTCACATCTAAGAGTTTGCCTTGATTCTCAGGGGAGATTTTGGAGATGGACTTTTTAGCAATGTTGGAAATATTAAGACTTTGGCAACTCTTAGAGATGGACTAAATACATTTTGTATAAAGAGATACTCATAGCCTTGTGGGGGCCTGAAGTGGAATGTTATGGTTTAGATGTAGACTATTCTCCAAAAGCCTCATGGGTTCCGATGTGGACATTTTGGAAGGTGACTGAATTGTGGGGTCCTATACTCATCAGAGTTAAATGTGTTGTTAGGAGTTGGGGTCTGGTTGGGAGAAGCGGGTCACTGGGTCATGACATGGAAGGATATATCTCCCTCCCCTGCTCCTCCCTACTCTCTTCCCCCCTTCCTAGCTGCCATGGGAGGAGCTGCTGCCCCCTACCTGGTTTTTTCACCATACTGTTTCTGTCCTGGAACCACGGGACCATGGGCTGGAACTGTGAACCAAAATATACTTCCCCTCATATAAGTGGCAGGTGTCCAATACTGTGTCTCAGTGATGAGAAAGTGACTAAGACAGAGCCTCAGGGATGTGACTCTATCAAAATAACTAGTGTGAAGTTCCCAGGAATTCTAACTTGTAGCCAGGGATGAGCTGCAGCTTGAGAACTTTCAGACCTATCAAGGGATAGCATGGAAGCAAATATAACTTAAACCCATGGTGCGTAGGATGGAGAGTTGTTCCAAGATTCAGAAAGCCATGATTACAGTCCTGTTCTACCCTTGTCATTATTTATGTGGATTTGCCCAGCCTATAGCTTTTTGGGATCTCTATTTTGTCATTTGTAATTACACCGAGATGGGTAATCTCTTTCACATTGTATTGCTGCTTTCTGGCCATATTACTGTCTTTCATGTAAAAATATGAAAATTAGGAGACAGCAAAAAATAGCATAACCCATAAAAAGTAGAAGATCTTTTTTTCCTCCCCCTACCTTCAAAACCCTAAGTAAGTGCATGGTAGCAACTACCTTGAAAGAAAGAACAATAACCAACAAAGGTTTTAAGAAGAAATTTCTCCTCACCCTGCAGGCCACGAGCTCCTTTGGGCCCTGGGGGGCCTGGAATTCCTTCATCTCCCTTTTCCTGATATGCATCATAATATTCTGTCTTAAAGGAGAAGAAAATGAATAAACAGAAAGGATAGATGTTTATGAATTTCTCACTAAGTGAAATTATATCAATTTCCTTATTTGGGCCAACAAGATACTTCTTTCTCCTGAATCTGTAGCTTGGCAGGAATATGATGGTTATGTACATATAGTTGGATATATTTAAAGAAAAATTTACTCTTTATGTTGCAGTGTGGTCCAGCTCACATATTTATATGTATACACATATCTACACACACACACACATTTATATACTAAAATATAAATTTTGCAAAAAATATTAACATTTTTATGACATGATGAAATCAGATCTTTTTTTATTCAGTTATACTTAACTATTTTAAAATGCAGGTCTTGATAGACTAATCTTATTTCAAAGTATGGTGAAACGCACACATCCACAAGTAATGTGTACATTGTTTAATAGGATACCACAGCCTGTAAGAATCAAGGAATATTGGATCTGACAAGCTCAGTGGATCTACTGTTGGTCTCCTTAGCCATTTATGTCCTAAGCAGAAGTGCTTTTGAAGTTAACAGAAGCTACAAAACGAGTTATGTTAGGAGTGAGCATAAGAAAACACACAGTAAGCTAGGAATGAAAAGAATTCTTTTGAAGTACAGTGGCAAATAGAATTCAGTGCATTTATTTTGAAGGAAAGAAGATAAAAACATAAACTTTTTGACTCATTTTTCTTCTGTTGCAGGAACTGATTACTTTGTTGACTTGTCTAAAGGTGAGGTAACAAGAACTTTGTGGTTAAGCAATAATATGTTAAATCATAAAAAAACATTAATAGTAGTGAAGTGATAATGTCTACCCTAAAGCCCATAATGGTATCATGTGCACCTGCTGGGTGTTGGGCATTGTGTAAAGTGCCTTCACATAAAAGCCGATTTAATCTTTCTGGTAACTTCACAAAAACATTTTGGGACAATTCACATCTGACTCATTTGATTTCAGTGTAAAGACACAGATTCTTGGGACCCTCCTTCGATTAGTGAGTTAGATTAATTAGTTGGGGAGGCTGAGAACTGCATTTCTCTGTTTTGTTTTGAACAACTGAGCTTTTAATGAGACCCCTCTCCCTCTATCTCCACCCCATGCCTTTGGATCATCATGAATCCTTTCTCCAGCCTGCATGCTCCATGCGGCAGCCTTGTTCAGTGTGCTGGATGTGACGCTCATGCTCTTCTGAGACAGGAGATGAACAGATTCCAGAACTCCAAGCCTGGGTCCCTCTGCTTCTTTCCTGAAACTGTGCAGCCCCAGACTATGGAACGTGGAGAGGAGCGGTGCCTGCCACACTGGAGCCTGAGCAAGTTTTGCTGACCCTCGTTAAAGTCATGGCTGGGCTTCAGCTGCCCAGAAGAGTGAGAGTTGTCCTAACTGGGCCCAGGTGGAAGGGAAGAAGAACAGGCCTCACCCCTGTGTGCTCAGCTGTTCTCAACTGCAGCCTCCTTGTCAGGGCACAATTATAATGTAAGAACATCTGTGTAAAATAACAAAACTTATAGATACTTCATGAGCAATTAGAAGTCTTGAAACAAGTTTCTGTCCTGCTGTTTCTGCTGAATTCAGTTGTCACTGACGGTGTCTACAGCTCAGCTGCATACCTGATGAGCACTGAGTCAACTAATTGTCTATATATTAAAGCATCCTGGGCAGACATGAGGATGCCCTTAACTGTGCTCATCCTGTAAGGGCCCTCTTGCCTTGCTTCTAGAGGGGTTCTATTGTTTCAGGACCAGCCTACCTGTCAGTATGTGACCCGATGTATTTAATCAATCATGTAACATTTGGTCACTTGCCTTGTATCTACCATTCTAAGTTCTATATAGACTAAACTTCTTCTTAATTCAGGGCTGTTGCCTTTGAGGAATTATCCCTGCAACAGTCCACTGGCATGAAGATCCAGCAGTCAGCTGGTGTAAAGATTACACGCTGCCTTCTTATCTCCTTGGTGCAAAGAGTCTCCCTTCAGTTTGGTTTGGTTTGAGAATTTTCCCGCAACATCCAAGCTGCATCCCAGAGCACAGGATCATCTTGGGCCAAATCTGATTGGACCAAGTTTTTCTTCTCCGGAGCCCAAGATGGCATTATAGAGCCTTTCATGGGCCAAACAGAATCAAATAGAAATATTTCTCTATTGCCAGATGGGCAAATAATGACAACATTATTTTTTTTGGTTCTAGTTTAATTTTTAAAAAAGGTAAATGCTATCAAATCTGTCACAATTTATAAGTAATACTGATTCAAAACTTGCTTGGTACTTTGAAGTACTTAATCAAATATGACATTAGTATTATCTCTAGTTATACTTACTGGACCACGAAATCCTGGAAGGCCAATGTCTCCTTTCCATCCCTACATTGAAAGACAGTTATAAATTAGGAACATATAAATCAGAATACTTACATATTTGGTGTAGTTAGAAAGCAAAATGCATAGTTGAACAAGAAATCCTAAAATTTGTGCTATTTAGCTATAATGAACAAAAAAACTAGAGGGATATTTTCTTTGTTTTATTGAGAAGCCCAGATCTGGGTCAGGAATCCTAGCTACAACACATCTATGGATCTGTGGGTTCTCCAGGCCACTTGCACCCCGCCCCCCCCCCTTCGTTAGCTGTTCACATGGCACATCTGCGTAGTCAGATTACAGGACAGGAAAACTAGAATGAGAGTTGGAGACAACACTGTGTCCCAGCTGTCATCAACCCACTTTGTTTCAAGTGCACATTCCAGAATTCTACCAGAAGTGATGCTAATTAAATAATAAACTTTGAACCTATGCATACATCTACATACAGAAAGTATGCAAAATGCAACATGTTATTAGAAACAGTGATGTGAAATAGAGTTCACAATTAATTGACCATGACTCTTCAGCAATTTATGACCCAGGCTGAGAGTCAGGGGTGCGCCTGTGCTTGACCTCAGTTGACCTGGAACTTCCTGCCGTAGCGGGCCTTTTTGAACTCCTTTTTCATGGAGAGCTGCAGCCCACTAATGGGTCCTGTGTTAGCCAGCTTCAACCACATGGAATAAGTTTAGTATCCTTTTATCTTGAAGTAAAGTTGCCACATCTTTCCCGGCTTTTTAAACATGCTAATGTATTTTTTTCTTTTTTTATGCTAATGTATTTTAATGAGGTCTTTGATTCAATTCCTCCTTCCCAGGAAGAAAGCAATTTGAGAGGAGCTAAAGGCAGGGTGTTAGGAAGTCAGTACCTTAATGCCATCTTCACCCCTTAATCCAGGGAAGCCCCTGCTGCCTTTGGGTCCCTAAAGAAAAGATCAAAAAGCAACAGGTTAGAAGGTGCAAATGAATTACTTCTGCATAAAGCAGGTACCTTTTAAAATTTTTCAATTTATTTTTTAAATTGAAATATATTATATAAATGTATGGGCTGCAATGTGATATTTAAGTATATAACATGTACATTTTTTCATGCTTTATGTAATGATTGAATCAAAGTATTTATATCAATCATTTATCATTTCACTATGATAAAATGTTCAAAATCCTCTCTTTTAGCTATTTTGAAATATATATTATTGTTACCTATACTGTGCAACAGCCAATAAAGGACAATAGATTACCAGAATTTATTCTTCTTATCAAAAACTGCAGTTTTCGAGTGAGGCATGGTGGCTCATGCCTGTAATCTCAGCACTCGGGAGACTGAGGTGGGAGGATCGGTGCAAGTTCGAGGCCAGCCTGGGCTACAAAGTGAGCTCAAGGCCAGCCTGAACTGCACAGCGAGACCCCATCAAAAAGCACACACACACACACACACACACACACAAACCAAAAAAACTCACTGCAGACCAACTTCTGCTTATTCCTCTCAGCCTTTTTCTTGCTCTTGCTCTCTCTTTCCCTTTCTCTCTTCCTTTCTCTCAGTGCTGGGTATTGAACCCAAGTGTTCGTAGTACCAGGCAAGTGCTCTACCTCTGAGTCACACAGCTGGCCGCTGATCAGCTTCTTAAGATTCCACATATGAGTGAGATCAAGTGAAATTTGGTTTTCTGCATTGGTTTACCACACATTCATCCATGTTAAACAGTGTGCCCAGATGAACTCTCAGAACTATGATTCTTAAATGTTGCCTTTAAAAGCCATAAGCTAATGAAGATTAGTTAATGACTTTTTTTTTTTTTGGTACCAGGGATTGAACTCATGACCTCGCACTTGCCAGGCAGGTGCTTATGCCACTGAGCTAAATCGTGGGCCTCATGATTGTTTTTTGACTCAAAAATCCATTTTCACCTAACAGGAGCGGTGTATTCCTTACACTGATGGACCTGTCAGGTCTTACCTCAGTGCCAGGGAAGCCAGGGGCACCATCTTTTCCGGGCTTTCCCTATAACAAAAGCAAAGCAATAACATGTAAGTTAATAATTATGAATCACCTTAATAAACATGGAAAACTTAAATGATGCTCATTGTATCCTCTTGTTCTCAGGTGGGAAAGATTCCACAGGGTTCCCACTCAGGTTCCGTGAGGAAATCCGTTGATCACAGAGGAAGCCGTGACTGTCTTCTGTTAAGGCAGAAGCTAATCAGAGCAGGAAACCAGATTCAGAGGGAGGAAGAGAAGGTGCAAGAAGCTAAGCTTAAATCACTAGAGTTGGTGCTGTCTACTTTAAACGTGGAAGGAAAGTCAGGGAAGCACTGGTTGGAAGAGCAAATAAGAAAACCTAGAAAGAGGGAGACGTTCACAGTCAATTTATTACTTAAATTGAAATGGTGGTATATTTCTAAGCCCCTCATGTGTTCATAGTTTATATATAAGGTAGATTGTGGTGTAAATAGACGTGGCTTTTGGATTAGCCATTACAGTATCAACCATTTCTGATAGAATTAAAAATCATGTTGGCTGGACACTTTTCTTAGGAAAAAACTATTTTTTTCCTAATATATAACATTTAGAGTTTTTACACAGTGTATGTGTTTAGCAGATGGCCATGGTGACACATGGTGACACACATTTAATCCCAATAGTCAGGAGCTGAGGCAGGAGGATTGCTGAGTTTGAGTTCAGCCTGAGCTATGGAATGAATTCAAACCAGTTTGGACTGCATAGTGAAACCCTGTCTCAAAAACAAAACAAAACAAAACAAACAAACAAAACACCCAAGCAACGTAATATGTGTGTTTAAATCTGTTCCTAGCAGGTGGAGTAGAGGGCTTCTGGTGTTTCTGACTTCCTAGCAGCCTGCTTCTAGTCACATGATGCCATTTCTTTTGGGAGCCTGATGCAGGCTGTTAATCCCAGGAGCCCACCCACTGCCTTGGCCAATCAAATCATCTTTTCCTCCTGTGCAGAGCCACTGCCCAAAAATGAGATTTACTATAAACTAAGGTAAGCTAATGACACTAATCCTCTGAGATGTTCCTTATTGACACAGGGAGAGAGATGCTCTCCATCTGCTCGGATGCCAAAGGTGTCTGCTGCTATGCCTCAGTGTCCCCCTCTCAGGGAAGCAGGTCATCTCACAAAGGATGGAATGAGGCTGATGGAGGGCTAGAGAGTGAGGGAAGAGGAGGGAGGTGGAGAGAGCCCTGCCCCTGTGGCTTCAGGCTCTGAATTCCTTGAAGCCTTTTTTAGTCTTGAGCTTCTCAGATATTTGAACAAATAAATCTCCTTCTCAAGTTTTTAAGACATAGCTTTTAACTTGGGCTGGTTGGAGTTCAGCTTAGGGCTGGGGATCGGCTCACTGGGGGAATTCTGTGTAGCAGGGGGAGACTCGGGTTCTATCCTTAGTGCAAGGGTGGAAGCTGGGGGTGCAAGGAGGGTCAGGGAGGTCCTGCGGAGGAGAGTCCCAGCTAATCAAGGTGCATTCAACACTGAACTTCCAAATTTACCTGCGCGCCCGTTTCTCCAGGATGGCCCTTCTCAGCTCCGTAGGACTCGCCTGGTGGCCCCTGTGTGAATCAGAGTTGGGGCAAGTTGCAGAGTGTTGACTTTTTTGCTTACACTGATTTGTATTAATTTGCTTCTTCTGATTAGTCTGCCCTATTTAAAACAAGTCATCTAAAAAGAGAATTCTTATTGATGAATGTTGCTTTTAAAACCAATGTCAAAAAGCAGGTGATGAACCCCAGTCATACATGTGAAGTAGTACAAGGATTCAGCTAGAAATAGCTGAATAGTCCTAGTTCATGATCTCCATGGTCCAACATTATCATGCTTTAGCAAATATTAAGACTGAAAGGCAGCGCCTACATGAAAATAGGCACTGAGGTTCTGCTCTAGATGTCACAGGCATGCCACGACTCCAAGTGACCTACCGGGGCGCCAGGAGGTCCTGGTTTGCCCATGGCTCCCTTATCTCCCTTCTGCCCCTTGAGGTCCTGCAGTAAACACAATACAAGGTCATTACAAGCAAACCAACCAAACAATATTACACTAGTCACATGTAGACAAGTCCTTTTCCTGTGCAATGCATTCCAATGTGCTTCATGATAGCACAACCCAATAGTCCTATCTGTTCCTCATATTTCAGATTTTATACATGAAATCTCACTAAAACCATCAACAAACTTTTTCTTAAAAAGAAAATATCTTATGGATTGAGTTGCATAAGAACTAATTTAATTCTCTAATCAGCTTTCTATAAGCACAATAAGGTCATTTCTAAATTATTTTACTTTGCTTTCTAATATACTAACAGCATTTTCATTGGGGTCAGTGATTTTTTTTTTGTGCAAATGCTATAATAATGATTTGATGCAATAATCAAGTTTGAGGCATTATTTTTATTTATTTATTTATTTTTTGTAGTGCTGGGAATTAAACCAAGGCCTCTGTGCCTATTAGCCAGGTACTCTATCTGAGCTACATCCTCAGTTCTTTTTTTTTTTTTTTTTTTTTTTTTTGTCTTTTTCATTTTTATCGGTACCGGGGATCAAACTCACGACTGCCTGCTTACAAGGCAGGTGCTTATGCCGCTGAGCTAAACCCCCAGCCCCACATCCTCAGTTCTTTTAAACTATTATTTGTTTATTATTTTAGGAAAAAAGGTCTTGCTAAGTTTCTCTGACTGGCATCAAGCTTCCTATCTTCCTGTCCCAGCCTCCTGAGTCGCTGGGGTTATAGGTACCCCACTAAGACCAGCCTACCTTCACATTTTATTGATTATATTTTTCCCCAAAGGTGAGCCTTCCAGTGAGGATGCTGTTTTCCCCAAACTCAATTATTCTTCCTGAGTCAAAATTTCAGACTTAGACTTGATAAGCTAAATTTTTTAGATAATAAAATTTTAGGCCTTATTAATTTTGCTTTTGCCAATTGCCCCTGAAAAGTTTAATTATTTTCCTCAGGCTAGTCTTTTTCCAATCTTCAATGTGAGTTATTATTTTGGTTATATCAAAGTTTACCCTGTTTTAATTTAAATCTGGTCAGTTTTGCTTTGATGATTTGTATTACATGGGGAGCGTAATTGTGGTCATGGCTGTCCAGCTCAGTAAATATTCTAAAAACCATTGAGTTGTACAATAAATGAGCAAATTTTAGGCCATGCAAATTATATCTCAATAAATCTGCTAAAATTAGTTGAAACAAAGATCCAGGAATTGTATATTTTAAAGGTGTATTTTATGGTGTCTGAACTATATGAGCTACTATTTCAAGCAATTGACTTAGCTTAAAGGAGAAAGATAGTTTGTCTTCATTTCTTAGCTAATCCACAGGAAGACCTGTCCCTTCCTTACCCATCTCCCCCTCAGATATACCAGGGTCACTCAGGTAGGGTTGGTGCATGATATTGCAGATTCACTTTTTATGAGCATCCAATTATGTGACCTGTCTTGGCTGCTCCACTGTGCACAAAGCAAATGTTAACGTCAGCATAGGAGGGTTAGGGTTAGGGTTAGGGTTAGGAAAGGGGCCACAAAGTCCTTAGGGTTACAATGGCAAGGCAAAAAATGTCTCATTTGATTATGACGCATTTCTACTTCCATCTTTAGGGAATTTTCATCCATTTGGATCAGAGTCACAGAGTGTACAGTAGGGACCATGGGAGGGCACAGGGACGTAAGGTAAACAGAGTCAGGTTCTGGGTCTAACTCTTCCAAGCTCTTTGAGTCACTTGCCTCAGATCTTTTCATCTAGCATTTCCAGTTTGGTTGACAAAGGTTAGGGGAGGAACAAAACCGGGAGCAGCAGGCTGGCTGAGGGTCAAAGCAGGGCTCAGATGACAGAGGTGATGGAGGAGGTAAGCAGGCACCCAGACTTCATCCTAGAAATCCAAGGCACCACCTACTCACACCACGGCAGCATTACCGTCTTGTTATCCGGGCCAGTCAGCGTCACAATTACTGTTCCTGGTAGTCCAGGGGGTCCTGCTAATCCTTTCACACCCTAAAGATAAGTAAACCAGGAATGAGAAAACTGAGCATCACCAACATCCCAACCTTGCTGTTTGAAGCATCAGCTTTTCTCTTTCAGTCCTTACTCAAGAAGACAAAGCAAATGAAAACACATTAACTCTACTGTGGCCAGTAAATAAACTAATTAGGCTGACCCATTACAGAGATGAAAAGTATCTCACCCTCAGAAAAACCGTAGTATTTAAATTACCTGCTCTCCTTTTTGTCCCACTACATTATCGCCCATGTGACCCTGTAAGAAAACACACAATGATACTTTAAAAAAATATGAACAAGTCTCAATCCATTAGTTTCCATATTTGTGACTGAATATTTATACTTGTCTTTTTTATTAATTTTTTTTCCTTTTACTGTCAGTTTTTTTCAATTAATTTTACTGGTACATTTTAGATATATGGAATGATCACATTCATCAGAGGGTGTTTGTACCTGTACAGGATACATCTTATGTTTGTCTTAATTTTAGAAATATAAAGTTATTTTAGTGGTTTTTAAAGTATTTGGAGTTTTTAGCAGAAATTTTATTTAGAGTATTTAGCAGAAATCCGTGTTCTTTAAATGTGGAGATGTTGAGGGTGAAAGTGTAAGAGATTTATTTTGTATGGTAGCCAGGTGACATGAGCTGGCAATGAGGGAAAGAAAGGAATCCAGGGTAGAGGATTGTTTTGTTTGTTTGTTTGTTTTTTTGGCTTAGCCATGAGCTAGTTCGGATCTCACTAATTGGCCACTTCCTGTAGACTCACTGATCAACTTCCTGGTTACTAGACTTCCGTAACCTGTACCTTAACTTCCTGATATCCTAATTTTCCCATCCTAAAAATAAGAGCGATAGGCAGCTAAAGTTCAGGGTTCTGAAATTCAAAACTTAGAGAAAATGTAATTCAAGCCTTCTGAGTGCACTAGTGTTATAGTGGCATGAGACAAGTGTAATGTGAACAGTTTCCCTTTGCAGGGTTGACTGCTGTGCTTGGAATGTCCCCACCACAGCTCGAGTTGAAATTTGATCCTCACTGTGAGGTACTGAGGTGAGATTGGAACTAGCTCATGGCTACCTCAAAGGGCCAGATAAGGTCACAGCTGAGGACACCTGGCCCCAACTCCAATTAAGTAAATAAAGACTAGCTGTAGAGAAATGTAACATGAACATCTTCTAAAATACTTCTCCTAAATTAACATAAGATAATTCTCCTAAATTAAATATAATCTGTTACTTGGAAAAGTCCTTGAACCACTCCTAAGGTTTGTTCCTTTTCCTGTGTTTTCCACTCTAACCTCTTCCTTGTTTGAAGACTAAATAAATATAGGCTACGCAGAGACATTCCTGGTCTTGAACTCTGCAGAGGGTTTTGATCTGGTTTTAGCCCTAAAATCATACCACTTGTCTCATTTATTTATTTATTCATTGTACACTCTTTTGGGAGACTGAGGATCTAGGCCAGGTCCCTGATAGTAAAGTGTTGAGTGACCAGTAGGATCCTAACAAAAAATGCACCCCACTCTAGAAAGTATACTTCAGATAATAGTTCCTATTGCTCCTGGTCTCTTAGAAATGGCTGGTCACTATGATGTACATTGTGTAAACCAATCCCCAGTTGATAAACTATCCTGCCTCTACCCTTCCTGCTTGCCAATCCCATATAAGCCCTATACCACCAGAGATTAGGGCCTGATGTTTTGAGAATGATCCCGATCAGTGCCATCAATGTGAACAAATCTACCTCCAAATGGTGGGAGTCATTTCACTGTTTCTGTTGCTGTTGCAGGATTATCAGAAATGGAAAGATTATGGATAAGGAATTCTTGCCCTTTCCCCTGCTACTCAATTTCCTTTCTACTTGAATTAAAACTCCATGTCAGGGATGGAGCTGCTGACTCCCTTCTCTGCTGAGCACCCAAGTGTGTTCCAGGGATGGGGGCAGTTATCCACGCAGAGAAGCAGGCTTGGCTTTGGGTCAGTTGGGGCATTCAGATAGATACAGTCTGTAACCCGGGACTTACCTTAGGTCCCGTAGGTCCCCTCGCTCCTGGAAACCCCTAGAAAAATCCACAAATTAAAATTATAGAAGGAAACACATCCAGTCAGAAGACTTTAAAAATGTTTTTTGCTGTAATTAATTTTCTTAGCGATGGTAACTTCATACTCACAAGTTGTCCTGGAGGTCCAGGTGGACCAGCGGGCCCAGGAAAACCTGGTGGGCCTAGCGGACCCTTGAAATTAAGAGAACAGTAAGAATATGTTTAAATGTACTTCTCACCTCAGGACAATGTCCATTAGAAAAATGCATCAAAATATCTTCATAGACTCAGAAGAACATAATGCCTCCCTTCTAAGTGACTGCATCTAATTACAAAAATCAGGCATAGAGTGCCAGGAGCCCAGTGCTGCTATTTGCAGGAAAAGGATCCGGGGAGTTACTGTATTTTCAAATGTTTCAAGTTTGTCTCCCCCCCACCCCAGTTCTCTTTCTCCCTGTTCTTGGCCGAGCATGCTCTTCTCTTCCTGTCCCCACCCCTGTTTTCTTTCTATCTGTGTAGCTTATCTCCCCTCCTTATCTTTATGGAGTTGACCTCTTTCCCATGAGGCCTCTGACAACCCAAAGTCAGAACTTGTCTTCCAGTCCAGATTCTTGCTATCTCTTCCTGTCTACATCATTTTTCTCCTTTGTATTCATGACTCCCTGCTACAAGATAGAATTATTAATTTGCAGTTTTTTCTGTTTTCCCAGTAAAATATGATTTTTATGAGGGTGAGGAGCTTTTTTTTTTTCTTGGACTGATTTATGTCCTGCTGTATCCCTAAAGTCTAGAAAAAGCCCTTGCCAAATAACTGACATCTAATAAATATTCATATCTTTTTGTTTCCATTCTGGGTAATACTCAGGCTACACGAGACAGATCAGGCAAGTAGACTAAGGGGAATAAAGTGTCTGAATAAAGTCCTTTTGTTCGTTGTCATGTAAATTTGGACATTATTAACATGACAGTTGTAAATGGTGTTCAGTGCCTGACATAAACCCATCCTGGATTTCAACAAACACATGTTAAATGCAACATAACTTTCTTGAAGACTCCTTACATTCAGGAGATCTTGGGAGAGACAAGTTTTAAGGAGAGACTGAAAGACATATATACAAAATCATCTCTGTATGTCAGCATCATATAGTTTCTTATAAGAAAGGTACATGCTTTAGAATGAAATGAGGCAGACATGTAAGTAAGAATAATTATGAATATTTGAAACGTTAAAAGAGTGAGAAGGACATTTAGGGGGAAAGTGATGGGGGAGAAAACAGGGAGACAGAGGGAGGGAGAGAGAGAGAGAGAGAGAGAGAGAGAGAGAGAGAGAGAGAGAGAGAGAGACATAAAAAGGAATCTGCCTTCATGGTTGTACCTGAAATCCTGGGGTTCCTGGCAACCCCATGTCACCTTTTCCATTGAGTTCTCTATCTTCTTCTTGAGCGGGTGCACCCTTGAAATTGGGGATATTTATCAAATTTTATTGATGCTATGTTGCAAAACTCCTTTAACCCCTCCTGAAAGCCACACTGCTTCAAGGGGAAGAGTGATTCCCAGGTTACAAACAAACAAGTAATTTAGGATTTTGTAGCTAGCTCAATCTGAAGAATTCAGATCATTTTAGCACTTTCTGAGCTGATGATTTATTGTGGTAGAATGAAAGATATAAGGTGAATAAATCATTTCCTGAGATTCAAAGTCAGCAGCACTTCCTGACCTGGGATATGGGTCTCTGAGCATGAGATCCATTTTCTTCCCCTGGATTCTGTGTCCTAAAAAGATGATACAAATCTGTATCTTTGAGACCCATTTATGACATGAGCCTAAAGGAACTTTGTTCAACAGGAGTAAATATCAGGTCCTAGCTATTATGACTTTGGAATTAATTAAGAATTTTTTTGAGACGTCTATGTAGTTCAGGTTGGCCTTGAATTCCTTCCTGCCTCGGCCTCCTGGGTATGCTACTACATCCAACTGATTTTGGAATTAATAAAGCCTGGATTATGAAATCCAATTTATAATGGCTTATACATAATTAGTTGATAGGTCATTTTCATACACATCCTCGGAAATTTTCAATAATAATAGTCCACAAATGACTTACCTTTTGTCCTTTCAAACCAGCAGAGCCCTAAGAAAAAGGCTGCATATTAATACCTGGAGGTAATTCAAATACCCACACACTACTGTGTCCTTCTGTCACTCTGCTTTTTCTCCTGCCCGCTTTCAACTGACTTTTTAACATGCTCCAGTCTCTTCCTTTCAACAAACCAACAAAGTCTGCTCTTACCTTCTGCCTCCTTCCCAGTTCTGCCCTGTCTCTCATCTCACATGAAAATTTCCCATTCTGCTCATCCCCCTCATTCCTCATTTCCAAACCTTCCTCCTGGCACCATCCTCTGCGGAATTAACCCTTGCTAATGTCAGCCACATCTTCAATGTTGCAAAAACTAACGCTGTAGTGTCAGTTCCCACCGAGGGGGGCTTCTCAGGCGTTAGGCAGTTGCCTGTCAATCCCAGTATGGCAGCACTGTTTTCCCTGAGTCTCTCCTTATTTACAGGCTCCTTCTTTTTGACCTAGATGTTATAGGCTGGAGCTAAGTCTCAGTTCTAAGGCTCTCATGCTCACTTTTGAGGTGCTACAAGTCTGTCTCCCCTCAGAGCAAACTGGCCTCGGCCTCTTAGGCATCTCTACCTGAACATCTCAAAAGCAAAACAAAACCTTAGAGGCTGAAACCTGCACTCATTGCATTTGCTCATTTAGTTCCTCTTCGTGGGGCATCTGTACGGCTGCCTCTGCCTTTCCAAGGTCGTGGCAGATTTGTGTACTTGGCCATGAGGAATAGACTGCTTTATTCATACTTCAGTTTTATAACAAGGAATAAGAAACGCAACGGTACCATAAGCCCTGGGTATCCCGGTGTCCCTGGAAGTCCTGGAAATCCCTGTTCACCCTGGAAAACATAAAAACTGTCGTTAGTCTCAGTTGTTTTAGAACAGCCTATTTAGGTAAATATCCCCATTTCTCCCTTCCAACCAAGCAGTGACAAATCTTGGCAAAATAACTCAAATTCCTCATGGCTATTGGGCCATGAGGCTGAAGGCCAGAAAATAATTATCTTAATTGAAAACAGGATTAGAATCTACCGTTTCTCAAATTGTGCATAAGTGGCAGTCTAATTGTGCCAAGAAATTTTTAATTGCTGCTCCCTTGAAACTTCAGTAATTAGTTCATTCATGGCCACCATGAATGGGAAGAGAAGAGTTCATTTAGAAAACAAAAGGAGGTAGGCCGACCTTGAAAAGCTCAGTTCTTCCTTCCCAAAGACTAATTTTGTACTCAAGGCTTTTAGTTTCCAATTTATAGGGGCTGGGGATTTAGCTCAGCGGCACAAACACCTGCCTGATTTATATTCACAAATTCTGTTGAAAACAACAAGTTGAGCTCAGTCCCTCATTTTTTTTCCTGTTAGAAAACTTGGGAGAGCTCCCCTCAAATACAATTAGGGGGCAAGGAATAAAAGGAAAGAAACAGGAAGATTCCTGGCTCAAAATCATATTACCAATTTAACGAAATCAACATTTCAAGAAAGCGTTTTTCCATCTCATTGCTACTTTCCTTTGATTTACTGATTCAGCAAAGCATGTGGCATGTTCTCTGTGTGAACAGCGCCTACCTTAGAACCATTGCATCCTGGTAAGCCCAGGAGTCCATATGGCCCAGGATGGCCCGGGAGGCCCTAAAAAGAGAGCATGTCTCAAAGACCTGGCGAAACTCACAAGGCTGGGGACCAGAAAAATCAGTGGGGGAACCAAGGGAATATATAAATTTATTTAAATTGCTACTGAAAAGTATTTAAATAGCAAACCTAAGTTTTGGCTTTAAATGTAATTTAATAACAACATCGCAAACCAAACAGACAGAATGAAAATGATCAAGTGAGATGTGGATATTTTAAAGCAAGGAAAAACAAAGTCCCCTGACAGGCTGCTATAAGCTGGGGAGAAAGCAAGGGAAAAAGAGGAGGAAAGTGTGTATAGAGGTAACTATTTTATTATTCTGGGCTATTAAACAGAATTACTCTATTCTAGCCTACTTTGTTAGTATTTCAGGAGATAGGATCTAACTCATATGTCATAAGAATCTGTATTCTAATCTATTATTCAGGTCTAATTTGCTATTTTTTTCCTGGAGCAGATGCTCCAGAGCATATTTCCTCATGCTATTGTTTTCATTAGGATGAGCTTACTTTTAATTTTTCCAGCCACAGTTTTTTCCCATTACTTACTGGAAGTCCGGGAGGCCCTGAAAATCCTGGTAATCCAGTTATTCCCTAAAGACATAGAAAAAAGGAGGGGCTTAGGAAAAACAGTTTAAAAAATGTTCACCCTCTGTCCATGCAGTTATTTCCATGGCAATAATCTCTTCCTGCAACTGTGATTGGGAATACATAAAAATGATTAGAAAAACAGAAACAGTTTGAAAACTTCTTGTATGTTAGATATTCATAGAACTTTTAAGAAGATGTTGTTAAGGTTGATTTTGGCATTGGGGCATATATTTTTAAGGTAAGGTATTTTTAAGGGCATACCTTAAAATGCTTACACCTTCTGTGAACAGATTAATGAATACTTGTGCACACTTTTGAGTTACCACCAATGCACACAAAATAGCAAACCCATCACTCAGGGAGTCCCCTCATGCCTCTCCCATCATGACACCTGCCCCTAACGTGAGGACCACTATTTTGACTTGATCCACCATCAATTAGTTTTACCTGCTTCTGAACTTCATTCATGGAACCATACTCATATACTCACTGTTTTCTGAAATTTGCATAACCTATAGGCTGCAGAGTGGAGCTTTTTAAAAGAAGAATGTTCACCAAACAATCAGGATGGACTGGATGGACTACTAACCCTGATACCTTTGGGACCAGTCAATCCTGGAAGACCTGGAGAGCCCTAGATTCAAGGGAAAAAAGAAAAAGTAAGCACTGTGTAAACTGATGGCACTCAGAAAGCCATACATTCCTGATTCCAGTCTTAGTCACATGCCAAGTTGTTTTGCTTTTGTGGCTATTTCATTGTTAATAAGGCTCATTTGTTTGCTTGTTTCATCTTACCAAAATGTATTCCAGGGCTGGGAACGCAGCTCAGTGGTAGAGGGTTTGCTTAGCATGTGAAAGTCTTTGGATTTGATCTATAGCACACACAAGCATGTGCACACACACTGCTACACACACACACACACACACACACACACACACACATCAAATGCTTGCTACCTAAAGTGGGTTTGATACCTGCAACATGAACAGCATGGAGGGGCTTGTTAGAAATGCGGACTCTTAGACACCCACCTTCTCTTCCTCCCAGTTTTGCTTACCCACCAGCACCCATTGATTTAGAATCTGCGTTTCTACCACTATTCTTTGGTGATTCTCTTGCACATTAAATTCCACAAAGCCCTGTACTAGCCAACCAGCTGTTGGGGCCTGAGAAGGATGAATGCCACAATTATGATGGCAGACAAGAATAACTGTCAATATTTCCACGCAGAAATATCTCATTACCAAAACACTGTGTGCCTAACGTGCATAAGTAAATAAATAATGAAGTACGGGCTTCCCTAACCAGTGCTAAACTTGCTCTGGGTACATAATACAGGTTTGAGGTCCTGTTTCTTGAGAATAGCCTTAAATGCAGAATATTTAAACTAAGCCATTCACTACAAAATTTCAAACTGTCCAAAACTACGGGGCATCATTCCAGAGAGTTTCAGCATGTTTCGGTAATTTGAGAAAAGAGTGTTACAGAGTCTTCTGACGGTGGGCTGTCAAGGCCAAGGTAGGCCTTTCCTGTGTGAGGTGGAGTTCCAGGCCACACAGCCATGCTCAAGGCTGTTCTCTTTCTCTGGCAGGCGGCTGAGTTATGCAGAAGGCAGGAACGACTTGCAGGTTATGCTGTAAATTTTCTTATGTAGGAAAGGTTGAAAATTAAGCAAGGAATCTTGTAAATCTCAAAATCTTTTGATCAAGCTTTAATATGCTCTAATTGTGGTTGGTTGAATTTTCATTCACAGGTATACATAACTAAACTAGGTTTTAAAATACAAACTTTAGGACAACATGACACAGGTTTTGAGTTGATTTTATGGAACACTTGCACATCAGGAACCTATCCAAGCACCAACTGTTAATGACTATTATTTTAGCTGGCTGCTGGCATCTCTAAAGACAGAGAACAAGCAGAGTAAGATCCAGGGTAGGAGGAAAAGGGAAGGCTGACCTCAGTCTGTGTGTGAAGTGGTGAACTCATTCCGCCAAGGAAGCGGAAGCCAATGCCAGTCCGAGCCCCCAAAGAATCAATGAAATTTTCAGACTCTGCAGAATCTGAATGACTTTTCAAAAGCAGCAGACAAAGAGAATATGTCTGTGAATATGACAGTCATGGAAATGGGAGAATTCCCCCGAAACAGACACCTTTTGCATTTTTATTGTACACTGTAGGTCTGGGCTTAGATTCCTAGTTTCAAGAGTTTTATTCTAGCATTGGACATGTGGTATAAGAAATATTTACATTTGATCTTTGCCCTCAGTTGCTTGTACAGGGCTTATAAAATTCTTGTTTCTTGAATGACAAGGGTGTCAGGAATATGTTTTGTTCTAATATAGTCTTTGATTCTAGTTGCTGACACTGAGCCCCTAAATTGTTTGCAATTTTCTGGGGGTTAGAAACAGCTTTCACTCAAAAGAGGCGGTTGGGTTCCTGGGTAGAAGCTGCTCAAAGGAAAGAACCAACTGTGCTCGGATGCTTGGGGCTTTCTGCTTCGGTCCCCATCTTTCTGTGAGCAGCGGGGGGCTGGAGGCTAAGTTTGCAATTGTGTCTTTGTAAGGAAGCCTCACTAAGAATCCCTAAGTCACGCAGATTTCAGAATTTCTGGGTTGGCGAACACTCGTGCACCAGGAGGGTGATACATGCTGACTCCATGGGTCACAACCTCCCGAACCTGGGTCTTGTTCAGATCTCCCCCTAGATCATATCTCTTCAGCCGGAAGTTCATATGTGTTCTTCTCATAAATTGGTAAACTTAAGCAAGTGTTTCCTTGAGTTCCATGAGCTGTGATAGCTGTCAAGCCTGAAGTCCTGGGAGCTCTCATTTGTAGTCAAGTTGGAAAGAAGAGTGAATAAACTGGGGACCCACTACTAGTGACTGACATTCAGAGTGGGGTGGGCTGCGCAGTCTTGGGGGGCTGAACTCTTCACCTTGGCATCTGCTCTAACACCCGGTACCAGTGTCATATATAACTCAGTAGGAGGATAACCAGCTGGTGTCCTGCTACGGAATTTGTAGTGTAAAAAGAAACTCCACATAATATAATACAAGTTTTGAATTCTGATTTTGGTACCTATTAGTTGTGTGATCCAGGACAAATTATTTAAGCACCCTGCCAGTATTCTTAACCATGAAATGAAGTTATTATGGGAACTCACAGGGCCAGTGTGAGCAACAGATGAGACACAGTGGAAAATAAATCGCCCAGCTTTTGCCACACACTAAATACACAGCATGTTGGCTTTGATTATTGTGTAATATCATGTACATTATGCTAATACATATTCTGATATAGTATGGAATTTATTAAAGACCACATAACTTATCAGTTGGCTCATAGCCTCCTGGAGACCAGTAAGATGAATGTGTATGCATGAGAGCCCAGCAAGTCCAGCTGATGACCTCAGTAGGAAAGGATAATCAGCGTATCCAGAGGTCATGCAGTTATTTAGTAAATGCTCTTGAGTATTTGTTGAAACAAAGCCCTTTGTGGATCACAGACTTTAGAATAAAATAGTATGACTACTGTGAAGGGTAGCAGGCTCCGGTGAGAACTTAGAAGCCCATTGTTTAAGGGACCAGGCAAAGAGGACCCTATGAAGGAAGGAATGGATGAGGAGACAGGAGGCGAGTCAGGGAAAAGTGTTCCAAGTGGACAGACAAATGAGTCGAGGGCAAGAGAGTGAGCCACTTAATCTGGAACAAAGCAGAGAGGCTCAAGTCAGATAAAGACACCAAAGTACCATTAATGGTGGTCATTGGTGACTTCCGCAAGGATGTTTTCAGGGGAGAGGGACAGAAGGCGAATTATTGGCTAAGGAGTGAGTACAGAGAAATGACAGCATTTTATTCCTTCAAGAAGCAAGATGCAAAGGAAAGACAGGGAGGAGAGGGCAATATTTGGCTACAGGACCTAACAAATCCACAGGGCGTCTGATGCTTGGATGGTAAAATATTTTCATGTATAGGTATGAAAGAAGAAATCCAATTTCAAAGTTTAAGCTGGAATGTACGATGAAAGAGGACACACATTCCAAAATAAAGACCTCGGCCTGGGGATTTAGCTCAGCAGCATACGCGCCTGCCTTGCAAGCAGATAGTCGTGAGTTCAATCCCTGGTACTGATAAAAAAAAGAAAGAAAGAAAGAAAAAGAGAAAAAGAAAACCAAAATAAAGACGTCACGGGAATCCCAGCGATCAGGTGCAGGTGGATGGATGGATAGATCTTGAATGGAAGATGAAAAGACCTCATCCTCTCCTATAGAATGCAGGACAGGGCAGATGCAGTGTAGAACTGGATATGAGGGGGAGGCAAAGGGAGAAGGTTGAGTAAGGGACTTGAAGATCATAGTGATGGCCTGCAATCATCTTGAATAGGATGCTGAGGGCTCAGCTAAGACTGAAGATCAGGAACTTTTCATGCATTCACTAGTGAGTGAACTACCACATGGAACTGTCTCTGGGGTCTGAAGATGGGTTTGATGAGTACCAGAGTTTTTCAAGCTTACCTTGGGTCCCTGGGGTCCAGGAAGGCCTTCAGGACCTGGGAATCCTTTCTGGCCTGGAGAACCAGGGGGTCCAGGAAAGCCTTTTTCCCCCTGTTACAACCAAAACAAGATGAGAAACACACAGAACAGCAGCTCTCCAACAACACACACACCCATGACCACTGCATTCTCCACTTCATTGACTGGATAATGATAGTTTGCTTATTTTCTTGGATTAAGAAAATATTCATTAGCGCTCTGCAGTAGGTGTGTGGGTTTGATATGTCTGTAGGTTTGAGTACTTTCCTTGGGGCTGTAGAGGCTTGACCTCCCCAAGTAGTAAGTAGTTGAGCTATGCAGGACAGAGATTAAGCAGAAGGAATGAGGAAATGAAGGAAAAGGCCAGTTTGAAAAATCAAAGTAGTGGAGTATGGACCGTGGGGACAAGTCACTAAAATATGTTTTGAGAGTGTCAGTTAACACTACCATGCAGGTTACAAGGTTTAGGCCTTTCTTGATTACACAAGAATTAGTAGTTCAATCTGCTATCTGTGTATATGATACAGAAGACATTTCGAAGATAGCATAGCCAGAAGTACGAGTTAAAAAAATTTTAGAGAGAGTCAGATGGTACTAAGGGAAAGTCTTCAGAATAGGGAGGCCACTAAGTTCATTAGGTCAATGGCTGACAACATTCCCCAGGGAATAATCTTCCCATAGATATGGGTCTTTGGATTGTTCCTTAACATTAAAGAGGGCTGGTTCTTTGTGTAATTTCATTTTGCAACAGGAAAAACAATCAAGTCAGCTATTTTACATTTGTGCATATGAATGCACACACCCAGTAAGAAAAGAGCAAAAAAACTTGCTACAGCCCATTACTACTTAGATATTTTTTCATATTCTAGAAGTGCAAATCGTAGACAAACAAAAAATCCTTAAATGCAAGATTGCATTCACAGCTTCAGGAAAACACCTAAGTCAAACTACACACGACTTATAACTTAAAATAGATAAAACAATAGTAGTTACCGTTAGCATATAATTTATATGTAAATCATTTCATCTAAAGCACTTGAATATATTTTCATAAAATTTTTACAGACATCTTTCAGTATCGTTAAACAATTAGTGTCCCCGAGAAAAGCGTTTTGTGAATAAAGAACAACTTTAGTTCTGGCCCCATCTTTATTATCACAAATTGCAAGTTAATGGAGCGAAGTAATGAGATTTCACAGCATTCCTGTTTTTCTGGAATTCTGCGATGGAGCTATTTCTATTTTCCTCTGCTGAACTTGTTTCAAAACTGCACGCAGCTGCAGCGTGCTTCCACCAGGGGGGGATCGCGTACCAATACCGTGAGACAACACCCAGGGGTTTCAGTGTTTATTCAATGTTAGGTCAAAAACAAATCACATGGTTTTCTTCCCTCATGTTTATCAACCTTGTAGATAGGGTGTATCTGTGCCTGGAAGTTTTTTTACAAGTTTTGGTTTTCCACTAACTTGCTAGTGATTCCCACAGATCAAGAGAGCTAACAATTTAATTACCTGTATTTATTTACACAAGGTGTCTGAGGTTTCCTAGAAGTGGCTCCCGCCCGTTTTTTTTCCTTGGTGTGTGTGGGGGGTTGTTTATTTGTTTGCTTAAATTTATATGCAATTACTTGAAGATTGGATTTGGGGAATGGGACAACATAGTGATGATCTTTCTGGGCGGGTGGAAGAAGAGAGCGACACTTGATGACAAGGACAGCGAGAAAATCAGAGTTCAATCTGGCTGTTACCTTCTCGCCTTTGGTCCCGCTGCAGACACACTGGCCTTTGTCCGAACAGGCACAGCCCTAGAAGAGGGAAACAGGAAGGGTTTGTGTTAAGACAGCTTCATGAATCCGCTGAGAGGGCAGCAGCAAACAGGCCTCTCTGTTCCCGGAGTGCCAGACACTGGTGAGGTGGCAGTAATACATCAGTAAAAACAGGCCTGAAAAGTAAGACGATGGTGCTGTCTTGCAGGAGAAATGGCAGGTGGGCGCACATCATCTGGTTACACTTAGGAAATTTATAGAAAACGACAAAGTTAGCTTTTTATTCCCCCCAGAAAAGCAATTGGCTGCACCCTATCTACTCTGGGCAAATCCTTAGCTCTTTACCTGGCAGTGAGCTCGGGAACCCTTATCCCATCTAACCAGTCGTCTGGACACACTGAGAGCCTCTGTCCCCCTTGCTTAGCATGCAGCAGCACTAAGGAAGGTCAGCCTTTACCATTTTGTATCAGCCAGCAGAGGAACAAAGAGTAAAATAGTTATAAATTGTGGATTTAATGTGCTTTGACGTACATGATACATTCTTTGGTTATACATTAACCTTTTTCTTGATTTTATTTCTTCAGGTTAAAATTAACAGAAGCTTGCTTTCCTGAGGGGGGGAAACTATTAATTCATGGTAGAGGCAGAACAAGTCCAAGGAGGTAGGCTGGCTGGTTGATCTGGGAAAAAAAAAATGCCTGAGATATTCCTAAAATAGGGAATTCTGGGGCCAGGGAAATAGCTCAGTGACACAGAGCTTGCCTGGCAAGCGTGAGATGGTGAATTCAATTCCTACTACCAAAAAATAAGTAATATATGAATTTAAAAATAGGGAATTCTGTTTGTGCAAAAATTACCCTCAGCTATTAACTGAATATATTTCCTTACACCAGGATAGTGGTTTTTCAGTCACTCATAGAAGGGAATACATATCGATTTTTGGATACTCATTATTAATCCTCATCACATTTATGCACATTTTAATCTGTATGCATGGAAAGTACTAGAGTAAGAAGGGAAGTATAGTTTCCCCTAGTGCCAGTTATTTGGTATTGTAGAAGACTAATCCTTCCAATTTTCCCGCCAATTGCGTGGGGTCATTCAGTCATATTATGACTTCTTATGTTAACCTGGCCTTGTTAAAAAACGTCTATGTTCTCCTGTGTCACACACTCAAGGACATACTACAGAGGCCCCAGGGCAGCAGATTCCCTTACCTAGGAGATGCTTTTGTCCCTGGATTCAAACCAAGGCTGCCAGAAGGCAGCCTGTGGGATAGTGAGGCCAAGTTCATTAGGTCCAATGGCGACAACATTACTGGGGTGAATAATCCCTACAGCCCTGTGTTGGTAGAAGTGTGCATACCCTTTATGGTCAGTACCACAGGGAGGGAGGGAGCATCATGTCGCTTCTGCACAGTGTAACAAGAGCCCAGACTCACACTGAGGTGCAGGGCACAAAGCTCAACCTGCCCAGGGCTTGGTGCGCCAGGGTGCACAGAGCCCCAACTTTTCAAACATCAAGTATCTCTGATTCTTCAGACACCCGGATGCGACAAGGGATGCCACACAGTATCTGGACTCAGAACACCCTGTAGCCAGAGAAAGGCGAGGCAGATTCTTGGTCTTCTAACCCCAGGTGGCAAAGGGCCAACCTTTATTTCTTGGAAAAAGAGGCATATTTGTCCTTACCATTGGAGGTTTTTCAGACTTAAAGAAATTGTTTGCTAATTTGCTTCAGGCTAAATCTGGTGCCCTTTACTCTCCCTGCTAAGGGAATATTTGCAGTTGTGCCTTCAGGCTGTTTTTTCCCAGAGAGAGAAGGAATCATAGACTTGTTTGCATCACTCTCCTGCCATATAATAGGTGTTTAACAGATGCTTGTGCCTGATGGTTGGTAAGCTGCATTCATTTGGACTTAGAATTTCAAGGCATATGAATTGTCTGGCTGTTCTTGGGTTGTCATGACTCAAATGCATTGTATGAATTATTAATGAGTAAGGTAGGAATGGCGAAGGATAAAACTAGAGGCTTTGGCTAGTTTAACACATTATAATCAACATAAAACTAATTACTTACTAATTTCTTCAATGAAAACCATTTTATGGGAAAATCTGTAAATCTTTAGAAGAATACATACTGAAAAGAACTGAAGTCTTGAAAACAGTACAATAAATATTCATATACCCTTGCATTTAGGTTTGCAAACTGTAGACATTTATCCCACCCACTCCATTTCTTCTCTTTCTCTCTCTGTACACACTCACACATTTTTGCTAAATTATGCATAAGTAAACTCTAGACAGCCTTTCACGTCATCCCTAATACTTCTGTACGCACCTCCCCCTTAGTAGGGTAGATTCTTATCCAAGTACAGCATTATTCTCAATACCGCTGTCAGATTATTGCTTTTAAATAATATCAGCAGTTTCATACAGGGTCCTTGCTGACCATAGAAAAATAAAAGTTATTTAAGGTGCAGTGAATGTTTGATTTTTTACCTAAGATTTCACTGAGACGAATGTGTGCAACCTGTAATTAATACGTGAAGTCTCGACAAGTGGCTCTCATGGTTTGAAGAACATGGTTTGACCGGACCCACTCAATTGGCATCAGAAGCCAAGCGTGTGCTCACGGGTTCACTGTTCCCAGGAGGTCCCGTCTTTACCTGGGGTGTGGCTTCCCATCCCCCCTCCCCAGACACTTGACTCCCCCTCGCTGTCACATATACACAGTATGTCCTCGGCTTTTTCATTATTGTCTCTCAATTTTGATCTTGGACTTTTATTGTATTTTGTTTATTTTCACATTAAAATAGAAGCCCTGATGGATTATGCAGTACCAGCTAGTTAGATAGTTGAAAAAGTCAGGTAAAAAAGAAGTGAAGCAAGGAAGCCAGGTGTGCTAGTGCTTGCTGGTAATCCCAGTCCCAAGGACACTGGGGCAGGAAGGTCTCGAGCCCAAGGTCAGCATGGACTACAGAGTAAAACCCTGTTTCAAAAAACCAAAACCAAACCAATCCCCTGAAAAAAAAAAAAGCCCCAAACCAAGTACAAACAAGCAGATACATGAACACCAGACACTTTAATTTAAAACACATTAATGGACATCAATCTTCAACCTTGTGAGACAGGACCCAGGAACGGTGGGAATTCTGTGGGAATGGGTCTGCTGTGTAGGGATCCAGTGGACCGCATATTGTACCCACAATGCACTGCCCTTAACAGTTTCCAGTGTGAGTACCCTTGAAAGAGGCCGACCTCTTAAGGACACTTGTGCAAGTACCTGAGTGTTGAATCTTTCTTGACATTAAACCATATTTTTCTCTAGTGTTTCTAGTCACCTTTACTGGTGCAGCAATTTTCTTTCAGTTTAGTTTTTATCAACCTTGTGTTCACAGAAATGGTTTTTATGCTTGCATATTTAATCGAGTTGTCATTGATGTTTAAATTATTTTGTTTTGATAACAGGTACCACTGAGGGAAATTACAGTAGGAAAAGCACGTTAGCAAGCATAAAGTGTGGTAGTGAGACAGGCTCTTGCTAGGGAGCTAGCGGAAGACTTGGGTCTCAGCTGGCCTGTTGCTTAGAAAGCATGGAGAGTGTGAGTCCATCCAGCAGTTAGTTGATTAAGGTGAGAGTCATCGCCAGATGGACCACCATACCTGTTCCCTGTGCATCCATCTGGTCAACCACGTACGTGTGGCCACTCTGTTGACCAGACGCATGACCAGGGCCACAGCTGACTTTCCATGCTAGAGTTAGCACAACTGCTCCCAAATTGTTCCAGCTTTAATTCTCAGTTAAACTGGCACGGCATGGGCTGCCTGTGCATGTGTATAATTGGGCTGACGAGGACTTCAGAGTATGTGACAATTTTGCTGACATGTTGATGCTTCTCTTGATTGAATGAACTCAAAATTATGGTCAGGGCAGCTCCCTGCCAGTTGGTCAGCTACTGGTCTAGAAACAAGCCCCACCCTGGGGTGTTACAGCGGCTTGGCTCCAGGCCTCCTGAAATCAGGCACTTCAGTGATTTTGAATGGTGATGGCAGGGGCTCAAAATTTAAGATAGTAAATTCTTTTTATTCTGCTGTCTTCAAAAAATTTTTTTAATTTGGAAAACTATGTTTCAATAAGTCAATATTCAAATAAATTATCTGACTAAAAGATACAAGGACCGAGTTTTTGTTTACATTGATTTTCATCCACTTGTGTGGACCTATTTTTGAAATACTATGAATACTTTAGTGGCATATAATTCATTAACTACTATTAAAGCTCAGCGGCATAAGCACCTGCCTTGCAAGCAGGCAGTCGTGAGTTCGATCCCTGGTACCGATAAAAAGGAAAAAGACAAAAAAAAAAAAAATGCAAAATCAGTGTGGTCAAAGGCTACTACTAACGACACTTAACTGATGGATTTTTCTAAAACAACATTTTTATGACTTCTCTTTTTCCAACAATAAAGTATTGCTTAGTTTCCTTAATGGAATAAGAAATCATTTATCATGAAAGGAAGCTCTTCATGATATTGTGGCTTCTCTGCACCTTGAAATTCAGAAGTGACTCAAGGTTATACCATGTTTCAGCATTTTCAAATATTAAATAGTTGACCTTATGAGACTCATTCTCAATAGTTGCATTCATTTTGAATGGCATCAATTAGGATGCAAAATAAACTTTCATTGTGGAGAGGCTAAGGAGGGTTCTAAGTTCAAAAATCACAGGTCATGTGTATATGGTGTACGGACCCATTTGTATAAGATCTACTCCTAGTTTTGGTGGCTGCTAACTGGAACGTTGGGCAGGTTAGTTAACTCTCTCATGTGGCATTGCAGTATTTTTGTTTGTTTGTTTGTTTATATTGGGAATCAAACTTATGACCTCACACTTGCCAGGCAAACACTGTGCTGCTGACCTACATCCCCGGCCCCCTGCCCCTGGCCTGGCAGTATTTTTATGAGGAGTTGAGATGCTGTCAAAGGCCACCTGCAGACTGCTGTGCATTTAGTGGACTTGGGCACTGGGGGCCTGCTC